GACCTGAAGCAAGCAGTTCATGGGAGGAAACCCACCAACATAACAGAGATGAAGCTGTTTTGTATGGAGGAATGGGCTACAATTCCACCAAGTCGACGTGCAGGACTAATCAACAGTTACCGGAAACATTTGGTTGCACTTATTACTGCACAACAATGGGTAACAATGGTCTTGATTGGTCTTGAATTTCCTCCAATTGTACACAATCTGTCTGACTGTGGATTGGTGGGATCCATACACTTTAGAGATGGTTTTGTAACCTTTTCAGCCTGATGAGCATCAACAACTCTTCTTCTGAGGTCCTCAGAAATCTTCTTTGTTAATGCCATGATACACTTCCACAAACATCAGACTGTGATAGATCCCTGTTCTTTAAATAGAACAGGCTGGTCACTCGCACCTGAATGCCATCCCATTGATTGAAAACCTGAATCTAACTTCACCTTTAAATTATCTGCTAATCCAAAATGTTCCCATACTTTTGCCACTCACAGATATGTAATGTTAAAAAAAGTCCGATATCTTTGTCTCATTTGTTTAATTTGGTTCTCTTTATCTACTTTTAGGACTTGTCTGAAAATCTGATAAAGTTTAGTCCCATTTATGCAGAAATACAGAAAATTCAAAAGGGTTCACAAACTTTCAAGCACTACTATGTTGTAAGGTTTCCTGGGGCTGTATTGTGCTAAATCAGAACCAGGAAACACTGGAGAAAAACTACACACATGTGGCAGCAACAGCTAACAGGCTAACAGTCATACACACACCAGATCATTAGATTTAAGCTGTCACTTCAACGGAAGGTACTTGAGTCCTAATGCTTTTATGTGAGCAATTAACTGGAACCAAACCTGTGCTGTGGTGGGTGGCACCTAGCCTGCTAACTACATATCGTTAGCTTTGGCCAGTAGGCTACAGCCAAAAAACATTAAAAAACACGTTCAATTTTGGCTTTCTGTCACTCCAGTCTATTGTCTACGCTTGAAACCAAGTGCCAGTTTGTTGGAATCAAACCTTTATTGTGGTGTTTGGATCTGTAACCCACTAGCTAATCTGAAGTGCTTCTAACTAGGAGACAGGAGCCAGCTAGCCTAGCTATCCAAACACCATTTCTTCTTTCTGTCACTTTAGCCCAGCAGCTCGAGTTCATTAGTATCTAAACTTGCATCAATGTAGCTTCTGTTAGCCAGAAGCGAATGTATTCAGTGTAAAGCAGAGCTGATAGCATGCTAAGCTAATAGCTCCTCTCTTCTAGTTGGTAGCACCATTTAACATTAACCAACTGCTGATAGATCAGTGGTTTGACATTTATTTATTTATTGAATTGTGCATTGCTTTCATTTATTTGGCGACCGTGCAAGTAAACCAAATTTATTTAATTGTTTTCGGGTCTTGTTTGGCTTCTTTATACAGATGAAACAGAGCACAGGACTGAAAAGGAATAAACTCACAAAATCCTGCATGCCTTTATTGCATGTTCACCTTGGAGTCAGAGCAGAAATATATTGTTTTAAATAAAGAAAGGGAACTTAAGTGTCTTTGAGGAGAGCTAAGCTGCCCCTGGCTCCGCTGTAATCAAAACACTGGTTAATGACCAATGCTGTGTTTGAAATAGACCACTACATACTGCCTTGCATACTGTTGTGCCCAAAGTTGTAAGTAGTACGCAATATGTGACCAAGAATAATTTCTCCGGTATGCCAAACATGTCCGGATGATGTCCTACTCTGGCCAAGTACTCCAGTATGCAGCCAGAACTGTCTTCGCAATATACTGCACCATCTATTGCAACATTGTAATTTTGGTATGCTTTAATGGACATTACCACTTGGAGATTCATGGTACATTATGATGATTGTTGCATACTATAGTGTATACTATTTTTAAGGAATAGCATGCAGTATACAGTATACTAACCGTATACTGTATTCAGTATATAGTACAACATTGTAAGTATATGCAACTGTGGTTAAATCATTTAATGACAGTGGTTAACAACTTTCGCTGGAAACCCAGGTTTAGGTACTCAAGCTACAGTTAATTGCTGTGCACATGCACGTATAAAAGTGTGACATTTAACACAAACAGCCAAACACGTGAAACATGGAGAGAGGTCAGCAGAGAGACATGGTCTCATACTACACAACTATGTAGACAGTAAAGTAATTATGACAACAAAAACATAACATTGTTGCAACTAACACTGTTAACAAAGGTGCTTTTGACATTGTAATTGCTTTACTTTCAAAATACTTATCCAGTATAATTTCTAGTCCTTTGGCTGAACAGCAGAATTTTTCACCTGGCTGTCTGTTTGACACAATCATACAATCGAAGAAGTATGCTAAACAGTTGATTTTTTGTGTATTGTTAAATGAATTCACAGCTGATAATTTGCAAATTTATACAATAAGTGACCTGAAAAGGACCACAGGGGGTCCACCACCACCAGACGGTTGGCTATGATACTGTAGCTGGTAGTCCAGTAAAGTCCAGTCCAGAGGTCCTACTACCATGCATCATTTCGTGCATTCCCTGTCCCAACTTATCTGGTTATCAGCTAACTGTTAAGCTCTTCACAAGTCAAGTGTGGTTCACCAGTCAAAGATGGATCAAGTATGTGGAAGCAGGGATTAGTTGCAGGGCAGTGTGTCCCCATCACTGGAGATGAACCGCTGATCTAGCTGTAGGTAATGGCCTGGTCAACTCAGATACACATGTACGAGATGGGGGCAAAGACAGCAAGGGTGGAATTGTGTTGGTACCCTGACACAACAATGCCAACTGGAGTCCAGACATCACCACTGATCTGAAAGCCATCATAGTCACCCTGCAGATAAATTACCACATAAACATATTAACATAGCGTTTAAATGAACACTAACCTTGCACTTTCAATCTAGGTGTTAGCTCTGACTTGTTTATGGCAGTATCGTAGCTTGAAGGTATTTTGAACTCTAGTCTATTAGCACTAACTAAAGATACATTCTCTGAGTGGAAAACAAAACACTGTTTTTGCCACAAGCGCATGAACCACTTGGGTAAATTATTACCGTCTATGTACAAAATACAGTGCCATAAAAAATATTTGCTGATATAATCTCGTTTCTACTATTTTGGCATATTTGCCATAGTAAGTGGTTTCACATCCTCATAGAAAATATAACATAACCACAGGTTTGCAGATAATCTACAGTACATATCCAAAGGATTACAGTAAGTGCTAGCTAAAAATGACATACGTAAAAAATACAGAAAGTGACTGTACACAGATGTGAGTTGATCTCTAAAGATATTCAAGATATTCTAAAGCTGCTCTGCAAAAGGCACCAGAACTGTAATGATCAAAGAAAAAAACTCCCTTAGATTTTTTAATCCATTTATGTCCATACTAGAAATGTCAAATTTCCTTTACTACAGCAGTTCTTAAAGCTTCACTGAGCACAAATCTGAAAACAAAATTGAAACTGATTGCACAGTTTGGCTACAGAGTCTGATTTTATTATCATTATTATCATTATTACGTCTATGGACGTAAATGGGTTAAAACGGAGAAACTGAGAAGAGCAAAGTTACATAAGAGGAAACATCCTGCTGTGGGAGGAACCAGAGAGTGACGTTGTAGGCAAACAATTCATAGATGACACGTTTGTAAGCAAAGCTGAGAAACAGATGTGCCTGTGTTTTGCTTTCATTGTGAGCAGCACGAACGCCCTGACACAATGAGGAAAAGTGATCATGCGGGCTCAGACGTTCACTCCCAACATCCAAGACTTATATTATTAACATCAGACACTGCACTGATAGATTGTGCAGTTAAAAAGTGTCAATTTGTTGACAGTTCTCCTCTGAAGACGTTGCAGGTATATTGCTTCTGCTTTTGAATACTTCTGCACTGACTGTTGTAGTAGAATTGTAGAAACAGTGCGTGCTTGTGTGAGGTGTGAGATGAGGCCAAGTACGCAAAAAGTGGAAGCTGAATTTCATGCGCCAGCAGCAATGCTGACTTAGGGGTTTGTGATGCATGCAGCAAATTCTTTTGCCATCAACGCTACTTTCTAATGTTGGCTGGACTCCTGCACTCAGAATTTACAATAGAGGACTGAATGCTCCATTAATATTCAGACTGGCTGCTGAATAAATTTTTTAAATGAAAACAATAGTCCTAGCTTGTTATTTTAACTGCAATAGAGTATGTCAAGTGCCTTTTCACTGGAAATCATTTCTGAATGGTTTGGTAAACCACAAAACTGGTGTAACATCCTGTTTGAGGCAAGACGTATAACCATTATCATTATCATAAAACAGACTTTAAAATAGATCTTAATCTTATATTGTTTTGCATGCAAACACAGTCACAGTCCTACTACTGACAGTGTAAGGACCAATTGTTTAACCAAGCTTCGTGTCTTAATCCACATTTATCCATTTGACTTTAAGTTCTGCTGTCGCTTTCTAGTCACTTCCTTTTAGTCAGAGAGGGAAAAGAGCGCCAGTCAGCCCTCACCAATGGTCATGACTGAAGCTTTCCTGGGCTGGTACAAATTTAGTGACTGATTTTATTAATCGTAAACTCATTTGTATAAATGCTCAGTATTGCTCGCTATTTGAATCATTGCTTTACATTGGCTAACCAATGAAGAGGGCAAATGGCACAATATCAATTTATCATTAAATGTTAATATTACTGAAACAGTAACATAGACTAATGCACTCAATCTCCTTTGTAGCTTGACAGCTACATACATTTAGTCATAGAAATCACAATAAAAAAAAACAGATCAATTTTAGGACTGCAATAAATAAGCAAAAGGCATGATAGTTATAAATGTCCTTTTTAATTTCCTGCTTGCTAAGAGATGTGTCTGTGTTTCTGAGTGAAATTAACACCTGCAGAACTAAAATGTGGCTGTTGAACATGCAGAAAACCTCAGACCTCATCTTAACTTACATTGTGTCTTGTGGCATAGTTAGTGAAAATAACAGATGAGCAACAAAGATATAAGAAAATGCTGTTTATTAAGCAGTCATCACAAAATATTTACAGCACTCTAAATAACATTGAAACATCTGTAAATGGATAAACACATAAACGCCTCACTCACTGACTCATAATTTACATAATAGTTTCATTACAGTTGCCGAAACATTTCTCTTCTGAATAATAAGTCTTGAAATGAAAGGAATAGTTGAGTGAAAAAAATCTAATTTACACAATTTTCCCCTGCTCTAGATGCATCAATCATCCAAGACATGCTTGGTATCTAAATTGTGGTTCATTAGTTTAGTACTGAAGCTTTGAGGCTAATGTTGCTAACAGACACTAGAAGTCAACAGAACACCCACATCTTTTTTGCAAACACATCTCCAAACACCACCCAAACCACAACCAGGTCTTCATTAAGGTTGCACAGACTTGTTGGTGTGGTTTAAACAATAAAAATGAACAAATCTTCACTGCATAGCTGAACGATTTTAGATAACAGCTGTGGCGAATACCACATTTACATCATGCAGACATGTGGATGCTAGATTAAACTCACAATTTCTGTTGTTTTTATTTATAAATACATATATGTTATATATATAAATTGAAGTTTAGCAGTTGTTTATAAAAAGAACAACAGAAATTAGAAACATGCCCTGCAGTCCCGTTGTCTAATGTGGTTACATGTGGCACCCTGCTAAAAACACTAGCATAGACCAACATGGCTGTTCACCAGCAAAACCAGTAAATGTTGTGTTTTGAATGATAGAGCAGCATAAACCAGCATAGACCAGCATTAAATGCCTGCTGGACTGTGCAGTATTTTTCAGCAGGCCTTTCTCCTACATGGTGAAGTTTTGGTCTTTTTGTAGATTAAGAGAAGTCATACTGTACAGTAAACCACATCAACACGTCTGTGTGACCTTAATAAAGACCTAGATGTGGCTTAAGTGGGCTGAGATAACTTTTAGTGGTGTATTTATGAGAAAAAGATGTGGATGGCTACTGCCATTTAGTGGTTGTTAGCAATGTTAGCCTTAAAGCTGCAGTGCTAAACCAGACTGAAATTTGGACACGAAACATGTCTTGGATGATCAACTACATCTAAAGTGGCATCTTGTAGTAGAAATGGTGTAAATTAGATTTTTTTTTGTCAAAGACTTTCTTTAATACCTGAACAAGTCTACAGTTTAAGAGGCAAAAATCGAAACAGGTCACAATAGACTGGCCAGAAAAATATGACTATTTTAAGAATATAAAGAGAGGAAAAGAACACTTAAAAAACAAGTGAAAGACACCTATGTAGGTGTCATTCATGTATTTTCTGTTCATAAAATGCTTGTGTAAATGTCTAATAGAAGTGAAACCCAGATGTGTGAATACAGAAAAGATCAGTAGTTAAAATACAGAAACGGCTTGCAAAATCAAACAACTGGTGGGGTGCTCCGCCGTACTGCTCAGCAATGCTTTTATTCTGTGTGTCCTCGGGGGACTGCTTTCAGAATTGTGACTTTTTCAGTCGTCTGAAGTCCTGTCTAAGCGGCTGACGAGGGAGATAGCTGTATCATTTTTTTTCATCTGGATGTGGGACTCAGAGTGGCGAGAGCTGATGGAATGGCGAGGGGTGAGGAAGCCCAGGTGCTCCTCCGTAAAAGCACTCTCCAGCACCAGCAGCAAGGACTGCTTGAGCTTCGTCTTGAACTCCTCACACATGAACACATACAGGATGGGGTTCAGACAGCTGTTCAGATACGCCAGGCTCACGATGAAGGGACCAGAGGTGTTAATTATAGTTTGAGCTTCTTTACTCCACATTTTTGTACCACTGCGAATAATACAGAAATAGTGGATGTGGAAGGGAAGCCAGCATAAGAAAAAAGCTAGTATCACAGTCAGGATGACTCGGAAGGGGCGAAGTTTTTTGTATTTTTGGAGGCGTCGAGCTCTCACTCCAATCGCTACGTATGAACAGATGATAATGATCAAGGGAACAACGAAGCCTATCACAAATCTGAAGACAGCCAGATTCTTCATCACTTGCCCATCAGCGTTAGTGGCACAGTGTGTAATAGATCCATTTGTCCTCAATTTACGATAAGAGGCAAAGGGGATGCTGCAGGCTATGGCTCCCACCCATATGAACAAACATGCTATCCTAGCTTTGAGTGGAGTACGTTTGTTCTGGGCCCAGACGATCACCCATGTGGACAGACAGCGGTCCATACTGATGGCTGTCAGCAGAAAGATGCTAGCAAACATGTTGAGCACAGACACAAAGGTGTTGAACTTGCACATTTCGAGGCCAAAGGGCCAGTGATATTTTCGAGAAACGGATGCAATGCTCAGTATCAGGAAAAACGTGAAGAGGAAGTCTGCCACGGCCAAGTTGAGAAACCAGATGGAATTGACTGTTGTCTTCATCTTGTAGCCTGTCACATACATGACCAGTCCATTGCCAATTGTACCAAGCACAAATATTGCTATGTATGAGACCAGAGTGAAGATCTGGGTATATGTCAGGCCTTCATTTTGCTGTACTCCTTTGTTGGTGCTGAAGTTTGATGTGAGTGTAGCTGTTACATTCCTCGGGTCAAAAGCTGCAAAAGCACACAGAAAATTATGGTATACCTACATTTGCATGCTTAAGTTTGAACACCTAAAGCCAAATTACATATATATATTTTTTTACATATATTTTCAAGTGAAAGGAAGTAAACACAGTCTCATCAGCAAACTATGCACAGTTACTTTATAATTTATTACTTGAAAAAAAAATGTGCAAAACACTTTTCTAGTTGTGACGTCTTGGAACTTAATTAACTTATTAGGCCTTAATTGCATTTTTAGTATGGGTCAAGAATAGTCATTAGAAATTGTCAGTTGATGACAGATCCAGAGCGTAATAAATTTCTCTGACCCTTCGAACCTTATGATAACACCATTAGCTACGCTAAGCAGCTGCCTGAGGATATGAAAATGACGCTAATTGACACCTACAAAGCAGAGCAAGACTATACAGAAATCTATGCCCTTCCAGCTCCCAATTTTCACGGTCCGAAACGTTATTAGTAAATGGCAGTTAACCTCATGAAATCTCAGGCTTATTACATACTAAGGCTTATTATTCAGTAACTATATGGACTTCGATGCAATTTAGCACAGCTGTTCTTAGGTTATAGCCGTGTACAGCAAAACTTTGGGCCTGCCGATGGGCCCAGGCCATTTAAGAGGTTAAGGGGAACTCTGGAAGTCAAAACAAGAACTGGAAGACCAAAGAAACTCTCAGATAGAACTGTTCTTATTCCAGGCAGAAAGGCAAAACAAACCACCTCACGATAGTAAAGGACTGTGCCGTGTCTCTTATACGAACATGATCTGAGTTATCAGAAGTAAACTTTACCTGCAATCTCAACACAAAGGACATCAGAAAGATACAAAACAACATAGATAAGCCAGAAGCATTTTGTTGCTGTGAACTGATGAAAAAAAAAACCTCTTTGAACACAAGCACCTATGATATATTTGGAGAAAAAAAGAACAAACCATGAAGCATGCGGGTCGCTCTATGTTGCTTTGGGATTGGCAACCAGTGACACAGGAAACATTGCATGAGTAAATAGAGAAATGAATACCACTAATTATCAGCAAATTCTAGAAGCAAATGTGACACAGTCAGTCAAGACACTGAAGCTGAACAGAGGCTGGATTCAACAACAGGACAATTATTCAAAGCACCCCTCAAAAACTTCAAGAATTTTAAGCTGAAGCTTTTGGAAGGGCCCTCACAGACTTGACCATCACTGAAAATCTGTGGGTAGATGTTACATATGCTGCTTAGGAACATTACAAAACTAGAAGTGTTCTGCAAGAAAGGGCGAGTAATAATTCCTCAAACAAGACCAGAAAGACGCCTAGCTGGCCGCAAGAGGCGTTTACAAGCTGTGATATCAAAGATATTGTCAACAATGGTTTACTAAGTACTGACCTAATATGATGTTCAAACGTTTGCACATATAGCAAAATATATATATTTTTTTAGTTTCTTATTTAATTTAAATAACATAACTGTGAAATTGAAAGTAACTGTGCATTGACAATATGTTTTTTAAACATCTTGTAGCAGAGGTTGTGTTCACTTCTTTTTACTTAAAAAAGCAACCCAAAAAAAACTTTTGGATACAATGGCATGTTATAAAACATGATATCAAGATGGCAGTGAAATATAATTAAACTGTTCTCAGAATGATAAACAACTTTATTTGAATTAATTCAGTAAATTCAAGAAATCAAGAAAATTAAGCGCTAAGAAAATGTGCCCAATAAGAAATATGGTTTTAATCAACTATGAAATTGAATGTGTTGCCTTGTTTTCTGGTTTCACTAAAAGCTGTACTTCCAGTAAACAATTAAAATAGAATAAAAAAAGCAAACATCATTAAATGGCTAATAATTGGCATCTGTACATATAGTCAAAATTATGGTGATTGATGATACACTCACAGAAGATACATTCTAATTTTTTAACTTATAAAGTAGAGAACATTTTATCTTCTATTTAAATGGGTTAAACTTGTAGTACAGAATACTACTGGCATGAAAGATACAAGAGCGGCATATAGAAAACTGAAAGGAAACACACTTACTCATCTTGTTTTTTGTTTTTCTTCACTCAGTACTGTAATAATCCACAAAATATTGTTGCATTCTTCTTTTGCTGACAGAAGCTGGAGATTGGAGCTCTGTTCTGGCAGCATGAGCGAGTGACTGAAGCATGATCAGCAGAGAGGAAAGGGGTGGAGTCAGTATAGCAGAGAGCAGGGGGGAGAAAAATGATCCAAGTAACTGTACAGTTGTTACTGTCTCTGAGTGAGATAATATTTGAAATTGATTTCAAAATTGCCGTAGGATGTCCAGATTGTGGGATTACACTAAACGTGTGAATTATTTGGTTATAACGGGTCCAAGCACATTCCTTTTTTTTCCTTTGCATTTGGCTTCCTATTATTTTAATGTTCTGCAAAAATGTGAAATATGCAAACCATATATTTTTTCTACTCATAGTGCAAATGAACTTATCAGGATCAACCTGTTGGTGGTGCTATGGCACTGCATTTTACACATTTACACTGAGTCTTGCACTAGATGGCTTCACCTAGGCCACAGTTAGGCAATTAATAATCATGTTTAGTAATACAGCAGGAAAGATTTGAATAACTAAAATCAAGTTTGCAAATAATACAACCATATCAACATCAACAGATGTTTTAACTCACGAATGCTTTTTAATTTTTCTCAGAAAACTTGGTATGCATATATCTTAAAGGATTTAGAAGTATCATACAAATGTTGCCACACTTTTTTAAATAGAGGTCACTGTCACTGTGTCTCAGCAACACTGTTCTGATCTCTAGATTTTGCTGTATTGTTGTTTTTTGCGCTTGTACCTGTATAAGGGATTGTGAAAACCTGGCAGGCCAAACAGATTTCAGCAGACATTAAACTGACTTAGCATCAGCCAGTTGTTATGAAAGTTGTCATTTGGACCAGCCACTGAGGGTGGAGGGGGGATGGGGGTGTGTGATTTCTAGCAACTTTCCAATTTCAAATCAAGAATATCACTCACTGTATTTATTTAAAGGTTTACATTTTATGCACCTGTCACTGAGCCAGGTGCTGGAGTCAGGAGGTATGCATAGGTACAATTGTTGTACTAGAAAACACAAAATTAACACCGGATGTGGGAACCTTCTGGCAAACATGTGGTACTGCTGGCCCACTGGCCACAGGCACAACCAAACTGTTTGTAGGTCAGAAGTGGCCCTCGCTGTCCTGCCACGCTGCTGCTAGCTGAAGAACCTAAGTAGGACAGGTAAGAGCAGCCGCAGTAATGAGCCCTATGACTGCAGCTGGTGGCCTTCCTGGTACTAAGACTGAGCCTGAGCACCATGGTGCCCCCCAAATGCCCAGGGTGAGCGGGTTTATTGGCTGCAATAAATGAGAAGCAGCCTCTTGGTCCGAGCAGTTTGCGCAGATGGAAAGTAGAGGCTGATGCTGGCAATTTGTAGCCTTGCTTTAGCCAGATCTCCTTCTCCTCAATAAACTGTCTTTGAATCTTGAACAAACTTGCTACATCCATAATAATGGTCTACTCTGTTGTCATGAAGGGAGGTGTTGGAGGCAGGATGTGCATGAGTAGAATTTTATTAAAGCAGTACAAAACAAACACCAAGCAAAACACAGCAACAACGCAGAAACACAAACCAAAAACTAAAATAATGGAAGGAAAAAACACGGCTAGGTAAACAAACAGCAGGCAAAAACACCAAGGAAGACATGAGAATGGTCTATGCTCCATGGGTTTTTTTTTCAAATACTTGCAGTGTTAGTTAAGCTAGCAAGAAAACACAAAATTTGCTATTGGCAATTTGCTTTTGAGAGGTTCCAATATCTAAACTGCTGCCTTTTAGAATGCAAAGAAGTTCTTCTCCTATGATTTCATTCATTTATTATTTCAGGATTTATTACTTTGCAACATATTACAGTATATACAATTAATAAACAAAGAAAGACTTTGTTAGCTAACATAGCCACATGCCTAGTAGTAGACACATATGTTCTGTTATTTTTGACAGGTTTGATTGGTAGTGCAGATGCTTCACCTCACCTTTTGTGTCTTTAGTCTCTGAACTCTTGTCATGTCTGATTTGTAAGTTAACTCACACACAGCATTGCAGAATATTGTAAAGTTCTGAAAGCTATTTGGAAATGGCTGTTATTGAACCCTGTGAGCAAAAAGTTTTCACAGCCTATACATTTTGTCCTATGTACTTTTCTCTTCTGCATGTCATTGGATCTTCTGAATTGTGAGGTATTCTGCTGTGATACTGTATCTCTGGTATGACAGTATAATTTGGGGCCTTCTGAAAATTTCATGCATTCATTTGCCTTAGCAGGACTTGTCACAGTATGAAATGTGTTCCACACATTCAGACACCCTATAGTTGTCACCCTGGAATGGGAAAGTGTCAGTGTTGTGTTCTGCTTGGAAATGAAGCAGTTAGAGGAGGAGTAGGCTAGAATGGACAGGAATCTCAGGAGACAGGTGTAGTTGTTAACTGTCATTAAAGCAATTTGATGTTTTACCAAGTACTGTATAAGAAATTATGCATGCGAGTAATTTTATGTCTGGGGCGCCTACAAAGGCACAAATGTCACAGATCATATTCTCAAACACTGATGTTGTTGCCAGTGTAACTCATGATTTACACATTTGTGGATGTATACAAAAGGTCTCCCATTTGTATTTGATATCCCAACAGAATGTCTTTGATGCATGTTTATATATGTTTTGAATCTCTAGGATGTAAAAAGATACCATGTATATTTTGGAATTAAAGAGATTTCAATATAACTGCACTGGAAGCCAGTCTTGGTGTCTAAATCACAACACAAACTCTGAGTTGTATTATTATTTTATTGGGAATTTGCTTTTGCAAGTTTCCAATGTTTGACCCGCTGGAAAATGGAGGTAATATGACTTCAGCTCTTGCCTTAATCCTGTATGCTCAAGTACAGAAAAACAAGTCATTGAAAGTCTGGAGATGTTGCTTGGTGGTGGCTGAAGTCCTCCTGGTCACCCATACTGCAGCTGATAGTCTAGTTGTAGGCGATGGTCTGATCAATCCAGCTACGCAGGTAAGAGACGCGAGCGTAGACAGCAGGGGTGCGGACGTTGCAGTTGCTGGTACCCCAAGACACAATGCCCACCTGAATCCAGACACCACCATTGTCCTGACAGACCAGAGGGCCACCAGAGTCACCCTGCAGGTAAAACACCACATAAACATATCAAGATGCATCAATAAAAATATGGTATTGCCTCAAGCGCACAACAGCTGTGATGCCACATTGTCAAAATGATGTGAACACAGCACGGCATGTGTTTTATAATGTTTTCTATTTTCAGTGTTCTTATGTATTTATATGGATGCCTGTTTCACATTTCACTATCTAGGTTATCAAAGACTGGTAAATTTTCCAGTTTATCTGTAAGCATTAGTGACGCATCGCTCTGATACACTGGATGTGTGTCGGCACTAAAACTGACTTTCATTCAACAGATTGGGTATCGGCTACTGTTCATACTGTTTCTTAGACATGGTCACTCTAAAGTGGAAGAGTGACATTCCAAAACACAACACATTAAATTCTAACTTTGTGTTCTTATTAATGGACCTGAATATTCCACAAACAGGTAAAATTATGAAAGATCACATCACAGGCAACAAGTTTTCTTTGCAAACATGAAAACCTGTGTGTGTCAAAATAAAAGCCCTTTTAACAAAACATTGTAACACAATGGAAGCCCTATGCAAGCAGGCTTTTCTAATTCGACTTTACACTAGTTTTGTTAGCAAATAACTATTTTGGATTTTGCATTTTTTATATGTAATGTATGCTAAAAAATGAAAACAGTCTGTTATATATATATATATATATATATATACACACACACACACACATATATATATATATATATATATATATATATATATATATATATATATATATATATATATATATATACAATTCATTTATATTCATTTGAAGTAATATAATATTTTCAGGTATCGGAATTGGTGTCAGAGGAGAAAAGTTGGATCGGTGCATCCCTTGTGTGCATATGTATGTTTCTGTGCATCTGGCCAGACATGCTAACCTGGCAAGAAGAAACTCCAGAGGCTCCCGCACAGATCATAGCATCTGTGATCCTGTTCTGCCCCCAGTACTGCCTGCACTGAGCCTGGCTCAGAATGGGAAGGGCAGTTTGTTGCAGAATACGGGGGGTTGCTGACAATACACCAGACAGAGGGTAAGATAAAGAGACTGTTAGAGCTCTGAACATTGACAGATGAATATTTCAATTCTAAGTTTAGGGAACAGTGACATGAACATCCAATCCAAGAACGTTACCATTATTAATAAAAACAAACAGCTTGACAATTTAAAGGTACAGTGCTCAGCTTCAACAATTTTATGCTAGAATTTTGCTGAATATTGGCTCCATTTACTAGCAAAGCTGATTGTATAGTTAAGAAGCATGTAAAACTCTGGCAAAGTCCTAATTAAATTGTAAAACTAAGGATGCATTGGATTTCCAATGGGGCACTCAGAGAAGTTGAAAATACATTTTAGGTGCCTCAGAAAAACTTCCCATATAATGAGCCCCCTTGGGAGTTTCTAGAAGAACATATAATCCTAAAAGGGTGTAGTTTAAGATGTAATGCCTTATGCAAGAATGTCCAATTCTTTTATAAAGTAGATGATGAGTGCACTCACAGGTAGTTCCAGTCTTGCCCCAGCCAGTGGTGACACAGCGAGTGCCAGCAGGTACATTGGTGCTGGAACTGGCCACGCACACAGGGGACACGCGGTTGGTCATTTGAGCTGGAGAGGACAGCTTCAGCAGGGTGATGTCATTGTTAAAGGTTTGGCTGTTGTAGTAAGGGTTGGTGATGGCCTGGAAATGAGGTAGATGTGGACTGTTTAGGGAACTCAGCATGCATTAAGTAAGTGGGTACATGGGGAATAAATGACCAGTGGTAATTTGGGACTACATTTTTAAGGTTCTGATATTTTGTTGTTAGGACAACTTTTTGGCATGGACAGCAGGACGACACCTGAAATGTGCTGACCAAAACGCTTTAATACATCATAGAACAGACGTTATCAGCAATACCAATTTAAGTGATACATTTTAAACGTAAATATTCTCATATGCTGAAATCAAGAGAATGTCACAGACACATCAAATACCTTGGCAATGTTCAGAATCTGGAGAGGCTCAGCATTGGTTCCGCGATCATGCTCTCCAAGGATAACACGGTGACGCCCGGGTCTAAATAATAGAAGGGAAATAAGGATATAAAATAAAACACACAGTACTTCACAATTCTGGATTACAGTAGTGTTTAAAATTTAACGTGGCTCACGTGACACGGCAGTGGGCAGCAGTGAGGACCCAATACTGGTTCAAGAGAGATCCACCACAGAAATGGAAGCCAGTTGTGTCCTGTTACAAAGATGAATTACACTAAAAAGTTAATCAACTTTAAATGTGTTTTTAAATAAATATAATAAAATTATATATATAAAATTATTACAATAAAATTATTTTTTAACCAATATTAAATAGGTCACTCCATGAAAAGAGTATAATTTGAGTCCACAACATTCAATGCCTTATATTAGAAAAAGCAATTTGTTAGCAAGTGTTTTTCAAGCTTAGATATATGAATTCAAAGTTCATTAATAACACAGATTTTTTTTGTTAAAGGTAGAAATCTGTTTTTTAGGAATTAAGGAATTACTAAATAAAAGTTGTATTAAGATTTACCATGCTCAAATGTATCTCCCTTTTCACATGTAATTTTAATGCAACAATGTAAATTTTAAGGAAAATTGAATGTACTGTCACAGTAAAACCTAAAACCTCACATTAAAAAGTTTTAAATAGCATTTGTTTGACATTGATTATTTGGTTATTTCTCCATATGTGACAGGGTCCATCACGCATAACATTCCACCCTGCCACATGAAATAGAGTAAACAGATTTTTTTTACAATGTTCACATAAAGGTCATGTAAAGGTCATGGGAGCCAGTTCAGCCTGAAATATTCCACCTTGTCACAAGTTCAGTTTGACTGAGCTTTAATTGTCATCATTATTTGTGCAAAAATATTAATGTGGTTACTAGTTAAAGGTGAGAAAACCTGCTTTTTGTGTTCTAAATCTAAATCTAATTAGCATGTCCATTCGGCACCAGTGTTGTGGAAATGGCTTGAAACTGTCTACACACACACACACACACACACATATATACATGTAATATATATATATATATATGTATATATATATATACACGTGTGTTACCTGAAGAGACACCTGCCAGGGCCAGGACCCAGACACTGCATTCTCTCCATTCACAATCTTGTTGTAGCCACTAATTTGAGGCTTAATGGCAGGTACTCCACAGCCTGTGAGAAAAAAGTAAAGATTTCAGAGAAACACAATTTGCAATTTAAGCTTAAAAATGAAGTTTAATTGATGGCACCAGACCACATTTGCTGATATTAGCCCGAGAAACACTTACCTAGTGTGGACGCCACCAAAGCAAGACAACTAATGATCCAAAGCATTGTGCCAATGAGTGCCTTCGTCAATACTCCCAAGAACCAGGCACTGCTTTATAGTACAGCTAGAAACTGATATAGCTGGGAAAAAATCAAGCTGCTCCAGAGCACCTGGAGTAATCTCACAACTCTGTAACATTCATATCTGTCATGTATATTATGGGAAACCATACAGCATGTAAGTCAACACCACCAGTCCGTTTTTGTCAAAAGACATGGCCTTGGAACATTTTTTCTTTCTCAACACTTTTGAAATTCTGTGTGTTGGCATGTACTTATGAGTTATACATGTAATTTATGATAAATTAATAACCATTAAACCAAAATCATACTAACCATAACCTTGTTAAACCACAGAATGTGATGAAAGGACATGACTAATGTTTTTTGACTAATTACTCATAGATGTTCTTTCTGGTTGTCTACTGTATGCCTAATAAAACATTGTCATTACATAATTTTAGTCTTTAATATGAGGAACTTCAGAATGAATACATTCATTCTGTCATACAGACCACCCGCCCCCCCCAATCATGCACATGAAAACCTGGTTTTAGAAGAGAGTGTCACCAGAATTTTATCTCAAAACAATCTTATGCTAACCATACACTAGAAGACTTTGAAAAGACTTTTGAAAGACTAAAGTCTGACACCCTCTCCCATCTAAAGACAGTGTCACGTTTTTTAGTCACAGAATATGATTTTGCAAAGACTGGGGATCTTGCAGGGTCACTACAAGACTGCAACTAGAGTTTTGAGTTTATTTCCCATCATGCACCTGGTGGAAATTTACAAGCAGATAAACACTTTTCCTTCCACTATATAGTGGTAGAGATGGGAAGATACCTTGGCTGGGTGTGTAAAGATCTGGGCTCAGATTAGTTCACTATAGAACTGTATACTCTGGCAGATCATCACTCAGAATCTTTTAATTAACCTGTAAAATGTGCAGTTACTTTTTAAATTTGATATAAAGATTTACACATCAACACAACATGCAGCGATTCAGCATTGTGGATTGGGTGTCATGAACTAAACCATAAGAAACAAACAAACAAAATAAGAAACCAGTGTAACAGGTGTGTCTTACGTGTTACAGGCTCAGTGGACCTGAAATATTAAAACAGTTTACATTTTGAATTAATATGATTATTGTATTGAATTGCCGTTTTTTACAGAGATTTCAGGCAGTCACGCCTGCTTTCTCTCTCTCTCTCTCTCTCTCTCTCTCTCTCTCTCCCTTTATCGCGCCACGCGCCGGCGCTCGCCCGCAAGCACTCACGTGCGCCCCTGGCACGTCACAATTTGCATGAGCCAAGACTTACGATAATATTAAACACGGTTGATTTTGTCGCAGCGTCAAGACGAGAAAAAGACTGCCTTAAGACCTCCATCTTGACCAACTTACACTAAACGATGGAGATGAGACCCTCGTGATTTTATTCCGACATGGATATTTGTCTGCGACAGTGAAATCGCTTGAAAAGTCGTAAGGCCGACATTAGTCTTTACACAGCGTCAGGACTGGTATTTATAGCAAGGCTGAAAAACATATTTTACGTTTTTATTACATTTATATTGTCAGTAATGTTTCTCAGAAATGTAAAGTACTGTGCAAAAGTCAGAGACTTTATTCAGTTTCCAGCCCAAACAGCAGGCAGTATGTACCCAGCTGCAGCACTGAAAGACACTTCAAACCTAGTCTACAACCATCAGTCACACAAGTTTGGGGATTTCTAAAAACATTTAGAGTTGATAAATTGTTTATGATTGAAAGCATCATGCACACTGTTGAGAAGATCAAGACATATTCATCAAACAAAAAAGCTGTTGGCGGTGTTTACAAGAAGCATGGAAAACTGTCTGTATGTCTCTTGAAAAAAGTGGACACATTAAATACTAAAAAAAATGATATTGCATTTAGTTTTGAGGGTTCTGTGTAATTCTATGTTAACCCTTTGAAATCCCAGGCTTATTACATACTAAGACGTATTATTCAGTAACTACAGGGACTTTAATGCAAACTGGTTGAGCTATTCTTAGGTTATAGAAGTGTGTAATAAACTTTTGGGCCCACTGTTGGCCCTGGTCATTTAAGGGTTTGAATATCTTGAAGAAGAACCAGAGGAAAACACTGTGCTTGCAGTTAAATGCTCTGTTTTTGAGCATGTAGCAAGGGAGAAACACACCCAGCGTTAACCAAGCAGCTGTGATAGCAAACAGTCACTTCTAGCCCTACTTCTGTAATTATGGTACACATTAGACACTAGAGCGACATGAACTACCACACAACCCGACATAGAATATTACATGCAAATAGCCACTTCTCCTTTATGGTAGATGCTGGGCCCACACATACTACCTCACAACCCGACATAGAATAACACATGCAACATATGTACACATCAACAACGTCTAACACCTTTCCTTTTAACAATGTTCAGTAATTGTTTGGGATCTGAGGATGCCAGTTGTTGTAGTTATGAAAGTAGAAAGTTGGGACACGGTGCAAAATGTAAATAAAAACAAAATGCAATGACATGCAAATGATTTAAACCATATATTTCACTGAAAATAGTAAAAAGGCAACAAATCAAATGCTGAAACTGAGAAATTTTATTGTTTTTTGAAAAATGTATTCCCATTTTGAATTTGATGCCAACAACGTGTCCCAAAAAAGTTGGGATGGGGGCAACAAAAGGCTGGTAAAGTTGTGTAATGCTGAAAAAAAACACCTGGTGGTTAACTGGCAACAGGTCAGTAACATGATTGGGTATAAAAAAGCATGGGTGATTGGCACATCTGGAAAAGCACCATTAATGCTGAAAGATATATACATGTTTTGGCAACATATGCTGCCATCCAGACGACGCCTTTTTCAGGGAAGGCCTTGATTATTTCAGCAAGACAATGTCAAACCACATTCTGCATGTATTACAACAGCATGGCTCCATATTAAAAGAGTCCGGGTGCTAAACTGACCTGCCTGCAGTCCAGACCAGGCACCACTGAAAACATTTGGCACATTATGAAATGAAAAATATGACAAAGGAGACCCCGAACTGATGAGCAGCTGAAATCCTATATTAAACAAGAATGGGAAAACATTTCACTTTTTGAACTACAGCAATTGGTCTCCTCAGTTCCCAAACACTTATAGAGTGTTGTTAAAAGGAGTGATGAAACACAGTGGTAAACATGCCCCCATCCCAACGTGTTGTTGGCATCAAACTCAAAATAGGCATATAACATATAACAATAAGATTTCTCAGTTTCAACATTTGATTTGTTGTCTTTGTACTATTTACAATGAAATATAGGGTTTAAATGATTTGCACGTCATTCCATTTTGTTTTTATTTACATTTACATTGCAGAGTGTCCCAACTTTTTTGGAAATCGGGTTGTAGAATTTTTTCTGATTCTTGCTTGATATAACTCTTCAGGTGCTCAGCAGTCTGGGGTCTTAGTTCTTGTATATTGTGTGTATAATGCACCGCATGTTTTCAATGGGAGAAAGGTCTGGACTGCAGGCAGGCCGGCCTACTATCTGCACTCTCTTACTACAAAGCTACGCTGTCGTAACACATGCAGAATGTGGTTTGGCACTCTCTTGCTGAACCAAGCAGGGACATCCCTGAAAAAGTCATAGCTTAGTTGGCAGCATATGTTGCTCCACAATGCGAATGTACCCTCGGCATTAATGGTGTTCACGGTTTTCTTTCTATCATAAAGCTTCTGTTTATGAAACTTAAGATCTGCTGCGTATATTTTATCACAAGTGTCTGTCAGTTACTTTAGTTAACAGGTGTCGCCCACAGCCTGTAGTTTACCCGTTTATACAGCCTAGTTTAGCTGCTGTTTTGGAGATAAACAGTCGAGAACGGCTAAAAAACCTCATCTAATTCAGGTTCTTTGTAAACTCTGGAAAGTGATTCTGTCGCGCTGTCGACTGGCCTGATCTGATCCCCCCCCCTCTCTCTCTCTCTCTTCCTCTCTGTCTTCATCTCTCTCATCCTGTCTCTCTCTCTCTCTCTCTCTCTCTCTCTCTCCCCCCTCTCTCTCTAACTCTCTCGCTATCTCTGTCTCTGTTCCTCTCTCTCTGTCTCTTTCTCTCTTCCTCTCTCTGTCTTCATCTCTCTCATCCTCTCTCTCTCTCTCTCTTTGACTGTCTAATGCAGTAATACTGTGATTCTGTATGAAGTGATCTCCATGATTAGTGAAATGTATTACAGTAAAAATCAAAGCTGGGTAAGTTGCTGATGTTGCTGCTGATTTTAATGGTGTAAATGTTCTGAACTGATATCAGTGAAAATATACAGTGTGAAGGCTGTGAATGTGTTTACTGTCTGTAGAGGTTCACAGCTATTAACGTAAGCTAGAGTCCAGGGAGCTGATGAGCATCAGCTGGGATCTGAGGATGCCAGTTGTTGTAGTTATGAAAGTAGAAAGTTGTTACACTGTGCAAAACGTAAATAAAAACAAAATGCAATGACATGCAAATGATTTAAACCATATATTTCACTGAAAGTAGTAAAAAGGCAACAAATCAAATGTTGAAACTGAGAAATTTTATTGTTTTTTGAAAAATGTATTCCCATTTTGAATTTGATGCCAACAACGTGTCCCAAAAAAGTTGGGATGGGGGCAACAAAAGGCTGGTAAAGTTGTGTAATGCTGAAAAAAAACACCTGGTGGTTAACTGGCAACAGGTCAGTAACATGATTGGGTATAAAAAAGCATGGGTGATTGGCACATCTGGAAAGGCACCATTAATGCTGAAAGATATATACATGTTTTGGCAACATATGCTGCCATCCAGACGACGCCTTTTTCAGGGAAGGCCTTGATTATTTCAGCAAGACAATGTCAAACCACATTCTGCATGTATTACAACAGCATGGCTCCGTATTAAAAGAGTCCGGGTGCTAAACTGACCTGCCTGCAGTCCAGACCAGGCACCACTGAAAACATTTGGCACATTATGAAATGAAAAATATGACAAAGGAGACCCCGAACTGATGAGCAGCTGAAATCCTATATTATACAAGAATGGGAAAACATTTCACTTTTTGAACTACAGCAATTGGTCTCCTCAGTTCCCAAACACTTATAGAGTGTTGTTAAAAGGAGTGATGAAACACAGTGGTAAACATGCCCCCATCCCAACGTGTTGTTGGCATCAAACTCAAAATAGGCATATAACATATAACAATAAGATTTCTCAGTTTCAACATTTGATTTGTTGTCTTTGCACTATTTACAATGAAATATAGGGTTTAAAAGATTTGCACATCATTCCATTTTGTTTTTATTTACATTTACATTGCAGAGTGTCCCAACTTTTTTGAAAATGGGGTTGTAGAATTTTTTCTGATTCTTGCTTGATATAACTCTTCAGGTGCTCAGCAGTCTGGGGTCTTAGTTCTTGTATATTGTGTGTATAATGCACCGCATGTTTTCAATGGGAGAAAGGTCTGGACTGCAGGCAGGCCGGCCTACTATCTGCACTCTCTTACTACAAAGCTACGCTGTCGTAACACATGCAGAATGTGGTTTGGCACTCTCTTGCTGAACCAAGCAGGGACATCCCTGAAAAAGACATAGCTTAGTTGGCAGCATATGTTGCTCCACAATGCGAATGTACCCTCGGCATTAATGGTGTTCACGGTTTTCTTTCTATCATAAAGCTTCTGTTTATGAAACTTAAGATCTGCTGCGTATATTTTATCACAAGTGTCTGTCAGTTACTTTAGTTAACAGGTGTCGCCCACAGCCTGTAGTTTACCCGTTTATACAGCCTAGTTTAGCTGCTGTTTTGGAGATAAACAGTCGAGAACGGCTAAAAAACCTCATCTAATTCAGGTTCTTTGTAAACTCTGGAAAGTGATTCTGTCGCGCTGTCGACTGGCCTGATCTGATCCCCTCTCTCTTCCTCTCTGTCTTCATCTCTCTCATCCTGTCTCTCTCTCTCTCTCTCTCTCTCTCCCCCCCCCTCTCTCTCTAACTCTCTCGCTATCTCTGTCTCTGTTCCTCTCTCTCTGTCTCTTTCTCTCTTCCTCTCTCTGTCTTCATCTCTCTCATCCTGTCTCTCTCTCTCTCTTTGACTGTCTAATGTAGTAATACTGTGATTCTGTATGAAGTGATCTCCATGATTAGTGAAATGTATTACAGTAAAAATCAAAGCTGGGTAAGTTGCTGATGTTGCTGCTGATTTTAATGGTGTAAATGTTCTGAACTGATATCAGTGAAAATATACAGTGTGAAGGCTGTGAATGTGTTTACTGTCTGTAGAGGTTCACAGCTATTAACGTAAGATAGAGTCCAGGGAGCTGATGGGCAGCAGGACTCTCACTAAAATTACATTTAATTAAGCAGTCTACTAATTTTGACTCTTAATCTATATTCTTCTTTTAAATGAACTTAATTAAACAGTAACATCCTCTGCACAGTCTTTCAGGGATTCTGAAACAATTTATTAGAAACAGATAAACTAGGACATCTTATATAATCATCTAACCATGGAATGCATGCAGTTTAATGTAAACCTTGTTCCTTACACAGTGTGACTAGCAGAGTGGACTGTGATCATTCTCAGCTCTCAGAACTTTAGCTTTAGTGTTTTTCTGTACAGATTATTTCCAGTGATGTAGCTGAGTCAGCTCAGAAATACGTTCAGGTTGTGATAGCTGAAATATGAAAAAGTAACTAAGTAACTCAGTACTTAAGTAGTTTTTTAATGAAGTACTCATTTACTCTTACTTGAGTAATTTTATTTACTAATACTTGTACTTGAGTAAATTATCACTACAGTAACAGCACTCGTACTTGAGTAGGGATTTTCAGTACTCTTTACACCCCTGGCCATTAGTACTAACACACACCCATACCATGACAGATGCTGACTTTTGAACTTTGCGTTTTTAACAGTCTGGATGGTCCCATTCCTCTTTGGCCCCAAGAACAGAACAGTATTATTTCCAAAAATAGTTTGAAAGGGGAACTTGTCAGACTAGTCAGTACAATTTTTTTTCCAGATAAGCTTTAGCCCAGAGAAGGTGGCGGCGTTTGAATGTTGTTGATGTATGGCTTCTGTTTTGCGTAGTAGTCTGCATTTGTAGATCCAGCGATCTACTGTGTTTACTGACAAGGGTTATCTGAAATATTCCTGAGTTCATGTGGTTATATTTATTACATAAGCATGTTGCATTTTGCATTTTTATTTGTTTTTATTTGCATGATAGCAACTGTCCTACCTTTTCTGGAATTGGGTTTGTACTTAAAGGCCATGTTGACTGGAAATAAAATAAATGAAAGGGTGGTCCTTGAGATTTGCACAATATTTCACATAGTAAGTGATAAAACAGAATTTTTTAACTGGCAAAGTTATGTGGCAAGTCAGCTTTTATTGCTTTAGAAATAAACATGTGCACACATCTGCACGAGAAGAAACCATCTTATTTTATTCAAGAGAGTGGAGTGGATGAAATGTTCACCACAGAACCTGCTACGTAGCTCAGAGTAGAAAAGAGGAAGTCTGCCAGGAAATGTAGCTACAAAGGAGGAAGTAATGGCACAAAAAAAGGCCTTGAGCTAAGCATAGTACTTAGTGTGACCAATCATCAGAAGATGGACTAAAGTTTATTGATTAAAACACAACTAATGCATAGTTAAATGCATTAATGCACTAAAATAAATATTGTGTTATTACATAAGAGACACACTGATTTGGTCAGCTGTATGTTGGTCTCAGTTGGCACTGGCTCCCATTAACAAATTCTATGAGATTCACTGAAATACGGCCTTGGTGTGAGGTGTGTTGAAAAAAGGACTCTTCTTTGTGGTTACTGATGCTTGAATTTCTCTCTCTCTGTCTGTATGGTTTTAGGTCTAGTCAACCTCCTCAATGGTGGGGCCAGAGGAGGCGCCAGCGCCAGCACCTGCACCTCCAGGGAAACCTCCTGGGCCACCAGGCATTCCACCTGGCATGCCCCCAGCACCCTGGTAAAGCTTGGTGATGATGGGGTTGCAGACTTTCTCCAGCTCCTTCTGTTGGTGCTCATATTCATCTTTTTCTGCAGTCTATGAAAGAGAGAAGGAGAATAAATCACACAACAGCTGTTATGTAATGTATGAAATCTAATACATGTTCATGATCCCAACAGTTGATATATTATTGGGGTCTAATAGCTACTGTAACTATGTAGCTATTATAGGATCTTCATATATCTTCCTGTTCCCGGTGTGAGGACACAGCAAATCTTAGTAACTGTTAGCAAATGATAGCATTGGTGTTGCACAAAAACTTCAGAATTATGGTTTCACTCTACTCTTCATTTGACTGCCATTACAATATTTTCATTTTTTCTGAACCTAACTAACATAAGCTAGCATACTTAACTTAGTGAGTGACACAGTTAGAGAATGTGATGTGAGAAGAATTGCCACTCAATAATGTATTCCAGGTTGGTCAAATGCTAGAGGTACGTTCATGGCAACAGTGAGCGCAAACCACTTTACTTAGCCAATGAGCTGATCAGCTTGCCAACTAATCAGCACTCAGTAGAAGTAAAGCTAGAGAAAAACAGAGACATACTGGTAAGTTTTCTTTCATTTTTTATTGGAATACACCCTTCCTTGGGGCAGTCATAGGCTGGAGGTTAGGGAACCAGCCCTGTGACCAGAATGTTGCTGGTTCGATCCCCTCGGCTGACAGTCCATGAATGAGGTGCCCTTGAGCGAAGCACCTAACCCCCAATTGCTCCCTGGGCCCTGTGGATAGGGCTGCCCACCGCCCTGGGCAAGTGTGCTCACTGCCCCCTAGTGTGTGTTCAATAGTGTGCATGTATGTGGGTGTTTCACTGCACGCATGGGTTAACTCAACCAGTTAACCAAGTACTTCCATAATCTTAATGGTGGGTGTACACCACGTGTAAAAGTGTCCTTACCTGGTTCCTGTCCAGCCAGGCGATGACCTCATTGCACTTGTCCACAATTGTCTTCTTGTCATCAGCGCTGATTTTGTCCTTCAGCTTCTCATCCTCCACTGTGCTCTTCATGTTGAAGGCCAGGGACTCCAAAGTGTTCTTGGCTGTGACCTTCTCTCTCTGGGCTTCATCCTCTGCCCGGTACCTGTCAGCCTCCTGCACCATGCGCTCAATGTCTTCCTTGGACAGGCGTCCTGAAAAAGGCAGAAGTGGTTAGATGGTGCGAGATGGAAGAAGTAAGCCTATCTGAGTCTGGGAGCACTTTTGTGTTGGTACCTTTGTCATTTGTGATGGTGATCTTGTTCTCCTTGCCAGTGCTCTTGTCCACAGCAGACACATTGAGAATGCCATTGGCGTCAATATCAAAGGTCACTTCAATCTGTGGCACACCTCGGGGGGCAGGGGGGATGCCTGTCAGCTCAAATTTGCCTAGAATGTTGTTGTCCTTTGTCATGGCTCTCTCTCCTTCGTACACCTGACAGACCAAGGAAGAAGGCTTTATTGTAGCAGACTATAAAACAGTTTACTGGGCTTTGGGGTGACCAGGTAAAAACAGAACTCAAGCAGATCTAAGACATTGTAATGGACTTAGCAATCTTCATTCAAGAGGGAGTACCTGGATCAGCACTCCAGGCTGGTTGTCTGAGTAGGTGGTGAAGGTTTGGGTCTGTTTGGTGGGGATTGTAGTGTTCCTCTTAATGAGCACAGTCATGACACCTCCGGCTGTCTCAATGCCCAGAGACAGAGGAGTGACGTCCAGCAACAGGAGGTCTTGGACATTTTCTGACTTATCGCCTGAGAGGATGGCTGCCTGGACCGCTGAAGGGTAATATGAGAAAATCAGAGTGTAATAATGTTTAACGATAGAAAGAAAATTTGCATTATTGTATAAACATACAGGTGTGTGGAGAATGGGTTTGGCCGAGTGTCAAATTCAGGACGGAGAGCCAGTCGGGCTGAACCAGCAGGCTAAGTAGCTGATGATATTCCCCTGTGCCTTGTTTCTGCCAGCCTACTTATAGTCATCTCTTCCCTCTGTAGGTGGCAGAGCCCAGAGACAGAAGGAGACCCGTGAAGGCGTAAGCGCGGAGCTGAGCAGAGCTAAGCTGAGCTGAACTGAACAAAAGAAAGAAAGGACTGAAAAGTCCCAGTGAGCGCCTTGTCTTAATTAGTCTGTGGACTGAAAAGCCGAGTGTTTTTTGCGTTGTGTATAAATAATAAAAAAGCTCTCCGTCTCCACACCTGCCCCCGCCATCCTCCCTCCACCCATTATTAAAGTTGTTAAAAGGTGCTACTAGACCACTTGTAATCTGTCACCCACCTGCCCCATAAGCAACTGCTTCATCAGGGTTGATGCTCTTGTTCAGATCACGACCATTGAAAAAGTCTTGCAGTAGTTTCTGAATCTTGGGAATGCGAGTGGAGCCTCCAACAAGCACAATGTCATGGATCTGGGCCTTGTCCAACTTGGCATCGCGCAAGGCCTTCTCCACAGGCTCTAGAGTACCACGGAACAGGTCAGCATTGAGCTCCTCGAAGCGTGCCCTGGTAATGGAGGTGTAGAAGTCAGCACCCTCGTAGAGTGAATCTATCTCAATGCTGGCCTGTGTGCTGGAGGACAGCGTGCGCTTGGCACGTTCGCAAGCCGTCCTCAGACGACGCACTGCTCGTTTGTTGCCTGTGATGTCTTTCTTGAATTTCCGCTTGAACTCAGCAATGAAGTGGTTGACCATACGGTTGTCAAAATCCTCACCCCCGAGGTGGGTGTCACCAGCTGTGGCCTTGACCTCAAAGATGCCATCCTCAATAGTCAGAATGGACACATCAAAAGTGCCACCACCCAGGTCAAAGATGAGGACGTTACGCTCACCACCAACCTATGGCAAGAAGAGCATATTTTGAACCTCATAAATATGGTGGCCAAGTGCCAAGGAGAAAATAAGACTACTTCTGTGAGACCCAGGTTACATGTATTTGATGTAACTGAGAAATAACTTCTACTCCAAATGCAAACTGCTTTGTAACAGTAATCCTTAAATGGTATGTGCATGCAAAACTATTGTGTCCTGATCAGGCTTGTCACAATTACAATATTACAGATTACAATAATTTGAGCTTCTGATTGGTGCTATAACACCTTTAGAGGGCAGCACTGAGTAATGTTTGTTTATTTGTGCTCCTGCTGTGTCTGTCTTTAGTTGGGAACTACTAAGCATCAAGAGCTAGAAAGCCTGATAGGTAATCGGCCAATTTATAACATTTAGGCTTGTATTTTAATAGTTGAATTTAATGAGACAAATTATTAATCCTAATTATTCATATTGCAATTAATTGCCAGTTAAAATCTCATGTTTGAGACAAGGCCTAGTCTTGATACTGACATTTGCTATGAGATTGGTTAGCACTCATTCTAAGTGACTTTTAGCAGTAAATGTACCATCTGAACACAACTGGACACAGCTCAAAGAATCAGTGTACCTTCTTGTCCAGTCCATAGGCAATGGCGGCTGCCGTTGGCTCATTGATAATGCGGAGAACATTCAGGCCAGAAATAGTACCAGCATCTTTGGTGGCTTGCCTCTGGGAGTCGTTGAAGTAGGCAGGTACTGTGATCACTGCATTTGTTACAGGCTGAAGAAGCAAGAAAACAGCAGGGAAATGTTTTATTCGGTGTATATTTTTCATTTGACAAGGATTTCCAACCTTGTGATTGCTGTTCACATGAGTTCACTTGCTAAGGTGGTGACAAAAAGCAAACAGTGACACTCTCAGATAACTAATGTCTGGAATTATTCTGTGAAGCTTTTGTGGAAACAAGCAGATGTTCGAGTGCAAATGATGAGTCAGCTGCAGTGTGTAAATTCAAGCGCCAGACTACCAGTACCTCATTTACATTCACGCAGATGTCTAGGTAAGGAGTCAGTAATTCAGCATTCTGTGGCTTGTGAGCCAATGGCTGTGCTTGTAGGTGGAGTTAGAGGTCCAACATTGAGTCCCAGTGAGTAGTTGCATTAATTGTTTAAACCAATGTGGATGTAAAATAAGTACATCCACTTTTGGACTGGATTTCCATGTTCACAGATTATTAGTATGATTGTTTTTTTTCCAATTTTATTCTTATATTTGGTATTATAGATGATGTTAATAATAGTGTTGGTTAGTTAACTGCAAATCAAGCAGCTGTTTTTAAGTTGTCACTCAAAATTAAGTTTGATCATACAGATGCACTAAAGATGTACTTGATGAATAAATAAACTGTCGGTGAAATCTGCGTGCATATTTTTTTTTCTCAAATTAAATAACAAGATTTTTTTGAGTTAATTATCTTGCGATAGTTTTCTGAGATATGTTTTCTTGAGAGAGTGTTAGGTTGTTTCACCCACTCTGGACTATAGATGGCAGCAGTATGCTGTTTGGGGAGCAATGTCCACTTCCTCCTAGCATTTTGGAGTGCATTCTGGTTAAAATTGGTTGAAGTTCGAGGTTCAGTAAAAGCCTGCCAAACAATGGGTTATGTTTTCTCTATATATCTTGAGATACATTATCCTGTGAAAATGATCTTGAGGTAATTATCTCGAGATATATAATCTTGAGATAATTATGCCAAGAAAATTATGTTGGGATGATAAGTATAAGGTGAAAAAATCAAAGCAAGCAATCGAAGAAAATACTAATAACTTATGCCCTGACAGATTTTTCTGATTCATGATTATCATTCAGTTAATAAGGACTTATTATTCATAACTACTATGAAATCTATATGTAAATTATGTTGTTATGAGAGTGAAATGTAAGCCTATAAATGACCCCAACAGTTTAAGGGCTTAATACATACACTGTTTATTCCTGATATTTGTCTTGTACTGTCGAATGTTAAAGCTGTTGCACTTTGCCTTGACTAAGGAATGTATTGTGCAGTGCAACCTTGTAGGAGCAAAATCTTTTATCACCATTCTTGTAATTCTTGCACATTTTTATATCATTTGAACATGCAAGCAGGTATGCCATGAAGAATAGATGAGTCGAATTGGTCCAAAATCATATGAAATAAATATTGTTGCGTTAGCTTATGTTGAAAATAACTTTTCCTTCTCCTCTGAAGTTACTTTTTTGGAAATAGGCAGCTTTGTTCCAACAGAGACAATGATAAACATCTTCCAGCACCCCTGAAAAATGGACAATTTAATAGCAAAATTTGAATTCTCAAATCTCAAAAAGCTTGTTTATGCTGGTCTGGTGCTGATTTAGCTGGTCACTCAGCGAGGTCATGCTGGTTGACGAACAGGCCAGCACCCAAAAAAACAACTGGCTGTTTTTCGCTGCTGATGCCACAATATGCTGTTTTTGCTGAGGATGAGCGATGTTGGTTTATGCTGTTTGTTCTAGCAGGGCAGCTAGATGTTTCTTTTCTGTGTATTGGTTAACAGGCCTGCCCTGTTGTTGTTAAGTCTACATGTGAGTGATCATATGCCCTGCAGCTACACACACAACTTCACCAGCTAAGCACTACATCAACAACACTATCAATTGTTTGAATGTTTTCATCAAGTCAAGCGACCAAACACAGCTGCATTAGTTAATATTGAGGCTTTGTGAACAGGAAGAACGTTGCAGGGTAAGCATGTGATAACCAAAGATGTGCGAAACCAAAGTGTCAAAATGGACTGTTTTAACATTTGGGAAACATATGTGGGTGTTTTTTTTCAAAGACGTGTAACAAACATCACCTGATAATTATCTGCAGTTTATTTTTCTGAGAACTCCTCTCTGCACCTTTCTATTCAGAGGCAGAAACCTCAACATTTCAGTATATGTTATACATTTGAACTTGACTGTGCGTTTATGACTTTAATGGCATCTACTGCATGTCCTGAAAGAGTAGCAGGGTAGAGGAGAAAAGCGGGATATTCAGTGTAGAGCGCTTACTTTAGTCTTTGTAATATATATACTGTATGAATAGGGGCTCTTTTGACCTTTGGAGTGGCAGTGATTTCCTCCAGATTTCTTCTTACCTTGCCCAAGTAAGCTTCAGAGATCTCCTTCATCTTAGTGAGGACCATGGAGGACACCTCCTCAGGATAAAAGGTCTTAATCTCTCCCTTGTATTCCACTTCCATCTTTGGCTTGCCCCCATCACTTATCACCTTGAAAGGCCAGTGCTTCATGTCTGACTGCACCACTGGGTCATCAAACCGTCGGCCAATCAAACGCTTGGCATCTTTGCGAAAACACAAAATACAATGTGTTTGTAAGCACACATTCAGACTATATACATATGTGTATGTGTGTCAAATGACGTTTTCTGAAAATAAAATTTTCTGCTAAATTTAGTCCACAATATCTTTTAATTTACATGTACTGAAATACAATATAACATAAAATATAAAATGTATCATAACTTTTGTACAAGCCACATTGTATTTCTTAGCAAATAAACAGCAATTGTGTATAAAAAAAGAGTAAAAGTGTGTCCTCTGTGATGGATGTGTTAATCTATTTTCACTTAGAAAATCAACACAACATGTCATTTCACACCAGGGATGTCAAACACATCATTTGACCAGGGAGTGTTCAAACATATGGTTGTACATTGTTATATTGATAATACATCCATAAAAGGTGAATTATATATGTAATGGTCAGCATAAACTTTGCATTGCGCAAAAGAGTGCGCAATGCAAAAGCGCACTCTTTTCAGCTTCACCTGTTGTGAAGTTCATTATTTAGTATTTAGTGTCTGTACTGCCATCCCGTGGAGTAGACTGACTGCTACAAGCACAAAGCTGTCTTTCAGAGAGCTTGCTATGCACAGCCTGTTTCTGACCAGTAAACTTACAGGCTGCCCAAGAGCCCACAAAATCACCTTCAAGATGCTGCGAATGAGATACAGTTCACTTTACTCAGTGTCTTACCAAACACAGTGTTGTTGGGGTTCATGGCCACCTGGTTTTTGGCAGCATCTCCAATCAATCTCTCCGTGTCTGTGAAGGCAACGTAGCTGGGTGTGGTTCGGTTCCCCTGGTCGTTGGCAATGATCTCCACCTTGCCATGCTGGAAGATGCCAACGCATGAGTAGGTGGTGCCCAAGTCGATACCTACTGCTGGACCTTTAGACATTTTGTCTGAAACATGAGGGACATAGCAAGTGCAAAAAGAGAGAGAAAATGAGTGAGAGAGCTATGGTCCAGCTGCAAGTATAAATGGTACACAAAGTGGGCATGCTGCCCAAGGCCATTCTAGAAAGCTCTAGAGCAAGTACCTGCTTGGCTGTATGCCAGGAATAAAAATCATTCTTGAAACAGTCACACATTTCACTAGACAATCTGCAAAACCTCACACAAATCCCTCTATTCATAATTATATAGACCTGCTTTCCATATAGAACTCCTATGAACTTAGAAATTGATGTAGACTTTATGCAAGAATGCAAGAAGGCAGAATAAAATGGTTAATGTTTTTAACTATTCATGTTTTAACTTTTAGAAATATGTGTTTCTGTAGTACTGAATAAATCTGTAGCAAGAGGTGGACGATATGGCAAAAACAACATCACAATACATTTAGACATTTTCTCGTTCCATTATTTTGCTTTTCTGAGCTTTGATAAGTTGGAGAAAATATTCGTACAACAACAAAAAAGTTGCTTCACACACTGCACCACAGTACATACAGCTAAACAAGACTAATCATGCTCCCTTTGTATTAAACACGCAGTTGGTCAGTGTTCTTTAAAGCTGTACTATGTATGGTTTTTTGTTAAAATTAAAAGAAGCAGTGTTACTGAGCCAGGAGAAAAAAAGGTCTCAAATCCAAAATCAGCATTTTACTGATGAAAATATATGACAACAGCAGATAATTCACTTACATCTTTGGGTCATTCAGCAAGTCTTGACTGAGTCCTATTTGAATACTTTCAGTGGCGTCACAATTATCAGATTCATCTGCTTTAAGAAGGGGTCCGAAGCACGACTCACATTACAAAATTTTCTTCTGCATGTTGCATGCAATTTTCACCAGAGAGTTCTCCAAATCCTACTTACATAGTGTAGTTTTAAGTACTGAAAAGCATATTGTGAAGGCCCTATCACTGGAAGACTGTGAATTCGAGCCCTTGTGATGCCACAGAAATCTGTGACCAGGTTTCGAAGAGAGCATAATTAGCCTTTCTCTCTGGGTCTCCTATAATTGGCCTCGCTCTCCTATCAATTAGCGTGGTGCTAACCAACGCGGGCATCTGTTAGTTGAAGTAACAGGATTGGCAGTTAGCATTCTCCTCCAAGCGTGTTGTGCTGTCTGATGATAGTTGCATTAATGACAGTTTAAAAAGAACTTGTCTTGTGTGTCTTGGAAGAAGGATGTGCTAGCCTTCACCCACCCAGGGTTCAGTAGTGTGTTGACACCACATTGGGGAAATAACTAGGTAAAAAAATAACAGCATATTGTGACGTGTAATTAATCATAATTACATTATGCATCATATTGACCACCTCTGTCATTAGCACTGCTGGACTATGAACAAACAGTTATCAGTCATTGTAAGGCTTATAAATGCTAAATCAGCTAAACTGACAAAGGAGAATTTTAGCTGTGTTTAAGCTACATGTTGTTTTCCAGAGCAAGCTAATGAGACAAGAGCACATTGCTGGAAGCAAGCAGAATGTTCTCTCTCTCTTTAGTTTGGAGCCAGTATGGTCATGTGGCCTCTGCACAAATCTGGCAGTGTGCTAAATAAAATCAGCAGAATTGGTATTTTGTGTGCTGTGTAATCTTGTGTGTATCCAGAGTGAAACATGTTCTTATATGTGCAAAGCCAGTTTGGTTTAAGATAAACTACAGGATCTTATTTCCCCAGCAGTGACACGGCAGAGTGTGTGTGTGGTGAGAGATAGAGACAGAGATATAGAGAGATAGAGACAGAGATATAGAGATATAGAGATAGAGAGAGAGAGAGAGAGAGAGAGAGAGAGAGAGAGAGAGAGAGAGCATGTATAGTTAAAGTTTATAATTCTAGCTTGTGTATAAATACAGGATTCCTCATTAAAGCCAATATCATCTTTTTACAGTTTTTATTGTAGATTGAAGCACTGCCTCAACCACTGACTACCTGCCCACTAACTACATAAAGGTCATCAACTCTATAAACTTTATTCTCAGGTGAAAATTCCCCAGAGTCATCTTGTAATTCTGTTACACAAATGACTACATGAGTCAATCTCTGCAACTAATGCTAGGTTTCAGCACCAATGAACTTGATTTATTATTTGTTGTGATGCATACAGGCACAGATTGTACAGTTTGGTCCACACCAAAGAACACTGCCACCTTGCCAGCTGGAGAAGCAGAAGCCAAAAAAAGAGTTAAAAGCAAATGAACAAAGAAAGAAAAACAGGACAAAATGGACTCAAGCAGGACAAACACAAACCCAAGCCCCAGTTTTTTGCAGGCTATTTGCAACACCTCAGAGAAAACCTTTTACCTTTTTTTTGGTTTCAAGTTGCACTTGAGAGATAAGTGTATGGAACGTATGTGTCTTCCTCAGCCCACAGACAGCACTAGTGTGGCCTCGGCTTAAGCCCCTCTATAGAGCACTGCTGGCTCCTCTCGCACTCCTGCCCCGCTGGAATCAGAGGCAGAGGCTCTAGACTGTTCTGCGTTTATACCCACAGCAGCCAGAGAGATTCCAGCGGGCGGTCACCTGACCCTGCCACACACAGAAAGTTCCAGACTGCATTGCTCATGTGTTCTGGCCCAGCCAACTAACTGCCTGGAACACTAGTGCACTGTTAGCACTAATGCAAGAGCACTACTGAGCTTAGAGACACTGTTTTGGGACACATATAGTATGTCCACAGCCAAATTATGTGTATGCACACAATATTAGAATATTCTTAATGTTCTTTCAGACCTAAGTAATGCGAAGCTTGTTGTTTGGCTAAGTTGACTCATTAGGCTGCAGTGGGTCAGATAAGCATGTGCTCTGAAGTGATAAGCTCATAACTAGGCACTGGAACTGAACAGCGTTTAAAATGGCTTTCCAACCTAAACCTGGAGCTTTATATGTCATTTGTTGTGTTCTGTAGCACAGCATTATATTCCTCAGCTTCACTGTTTTGACTGAATTCATGGTTCCATCCTTCATCAGTGTTCTCTTACTACAGTGCCCAACATTATTATTATTATGCATCATCATACAATCACTGGGAATCTCTGTGGTACCAACCAATCCTGATTGCTCGCATAGACAATGATCTATAGGGTAATAAATACAAATAAGCTAGCGCTCGCTTGCCTAACAAGCCTTTGCTAGCACTATAACTCTGACCTTGGTTGATAAACAGTAATTCTATCTTTATTCAGTGCAATACAGATGCCATAGAAAGGAGCTAAGGACTCAAGATAGCCATGTAGCTATAGTGTCAACTTCAGCTTTTAGTGTCTTGTCATTTCTATAATTGGAGTAATCCATTCTCACAGTGGTAATGATGATTTGAAGACAGTTGCTATAATTAAATGGCTGAGATTTGGCTTTCTAACAGTAACGTTAGCCCTATGACTTTATTCACCAGCTTAGATAAAAAAAAAAATAATAATAATAATAAACAAATAAGCCTTTCGCCTGATGACAGCTGGGATAGGCTCCAGCACCTCACCATGACCCAGAAGGATAAGCGATTTAGATGATGTGTGTTTGTAAATAAATAAAAATATTAAAACAGCTTGCCCCCAAAAATCCACCCTAAATCAGTCAATTTGTTAAGGATTTCTCCCACCTTCAAAATACATCATCAGAAAGGGGTTTTCCTAGTTTTTAAACTGGAAAATCTACCTATGGAGACTGTTGCGATGCTGCTGTAGGAGGTGAGTAATAATGTTTACAACAAACATAGCAATGGTTAAATTTTTCATTTTGGCCAGTGTCTCTTTATGCTTTACAGTAAAGAAGTAAAAGAATGTGAAAGAAAACACAACTGCTCTCTCCAGTTTATTCAGCATGGATCTCTTGTCCTTTTGAATACGGTGAAAGCAAAGCTGCTTGCACTCTCAGCTCTATTCTTCTTTCAGTGAGTCAGTCTGAAAGGTTGCTTAAATGTCACACCGTAATCTTAAAATAAAACCCAAACGACATCTCCTTTCCCTCTCAACAACCATAGCCCCCACACACAGACACAAAGCACACTTTGTTCATGCACTGTAGGCAGATTTTAAGGAAAAAGCAGTGGATCCAAGGCAATTCCCCCCAAAAACATCTCCAATTCTTAGGACAAAATTCCAAGGAAATAAATGATTGATTTTCAATTAACAACCCTCTTAATTTGCCAAAAGAAACTTTGAGTTGCCTGTCTTTTTAAAGCACAGCTAAATCTTCTTCAATATTCTAACTCTGCACAGCCATTTGTGCTGCACTTCACTTTCAGCAGGACCCCCACACACTCCTTCCAGAACGCAGAGAGTTTCAAAGGGACGTCCACTCCCCAGGCTATTTCTGACCTTCTGATACTTGAGCACTGCCAGTTATCAATTGGGATCCACCACACCGGCTCTTCTAGAAGGTGCAGTACTCTGGTAACCTTACACTTAAGCTTTCTGAGAATTGACAGTGTAAACACTGACTATATGTAGGTTTCTATTATTACAAAGATCTGATCTTACTCAGAGAGCAAACAACGTTACTTTTTGAGCCACTAACTCTAACCCAGCCACAAAAGCCCATCAGGATTTTCAGTGGTGGCACTACATTAAATGGCTAAATACAAAGTAAATACAATTTTGAAAAACCGATTTTCTGTCACAGTCTTTATCACAGAAGTGTGTTATTAGTCTGAAAAACTGCAGTGTATTTAGGGGCATTCCAGCCTACTAGCATTTAATGACATTTGTCATGTTATGCTGTATTCTAGTGCAGCATTGCATCCCTCAGCCTCCCTGATTGGACAGGATCCTTTCGTAATCCTTGTTGCCCACGTTTTCAGCCAACAGTGTTCTCTCACTAAAATACCTAGGATAAATTACGCAAATACATAATACAATCACTGGAAAATCCCCCTGTGGCGTTAAAGAAATCCTGGCTGCTAGCTGTCTGCCTTCTTCTGCATTAGCCAGCTAGGAATAAAATTCAAATGCCCTCAGGTATCTGCCTCAAAGCCCTGGTAGTTTTGCAAATTCCTCCCACCTTCCAGATACAACATCAGATGGGTCTCTTCCAAGTCAGAAAATTTCACTCTAGTGCCTACTGTGGCACCACTGTAGGAGGCTAGTAGGCATGATTACAGCAGATGTAGTAATAATTTAATTTTTTTTTTTGTTGCCCAGAGTACCCCTTTGAGATGAGTACTATGCTGTATGCCCTAACCATTGGTCTAAAACTGACCAGATAATAAATAGCATCTAAAACAACACAAAAAGCTTTAATTAATTATCAAACACAAAATTATGCAACACAAATAAGGTATTTAATGTCACTTTCACTGACTACCTGACATTGTGAATTATTTAATAAGACATTTATTTCAGTTAAAATACGTTTGCATATGCATCCATAAACAATCACTGACAGGAAAACGGCACCTTTATCTATTACTTATTTGCCAAATAAACCAAAATGCTCTTGCACATGCTACATGTTTACATTGTGCAAATCAAGCCCTTAGAGTTTTGACTTATGAGATTATAACACTGAGCACCCGTGTTTGCAGTTTTTTTTTTTGTGTTTCTCTTAATCCAACACAGCAGATTCGATTAGATAATTATAAATCTGTTGATAAGCTGCATCAGATGTGCTGGAAAAATGTGCAGCGCACTGCATTAAATTAAAATATATTAAATGTAAACAACAAGAAAAAGAGAAAGGGGCAAAAGTGGAGCTCATGTGAATCTCCCTTTTGTTAAAGGAGATTTAGAGCTGACCACGTCCTCTTGAACCAATCGAGTGGTTAAGCAGCATCATTCAGTTTAAAGCCCTTTTAACATTCCTTCTGTCTTTAGTAAGGTCCAGAAATCCAAATATGGGAGACAGCGCAGCCTTTCTGTCTTCTGTTATTACAGAAACCTAGAGTAGGAGATGAAATGTTTCAGCTCAGGAGAAGAGGTTGCGGAGCTGATAAAGAAAGTGCTCCTCTTTTCTCTTGCGCTTTCGACAGTCCCATGCCGTGCGTTTGCAGTAGTTGTAGAAATGCTCCTCGGCTTTCTCCAGGCTGCTGTTCAAATCCAGCGTACCCTGTAAACTGCACACAGATAAGAAGATAAGCTTTGCTTCAGTTCTCAGAAAGTTTACGTGCTGAAATACTTTTCTGTTCATCACAGCATATTAAACAAAACTATTACTTCATTAGTGGTTTGCTTGTATGCTATTACTTTTACATACATACATACACACACATATATATATATATATATATATATATATATATATATATAAATAAATTTTTTTACATTTATACAACATGTGAACAGTCAAGCTGGTCTAACATTACGCCTTCTCAAGAACCATCAGATGTCTAAGCTCTATGCTCCACCAGAGGGCAGTGAACAGCCAGCGTCTTATGTTTTGGTCACAGATTATTCGTTTACTCCAAAGAAGGAAGAAAGCTGGTTTAAGGCAAAGATTATAAAGGCTATCGCACGCCGGACAAGGTTGGGAATAATTCCTTAAAAATGTAAATATTCAAATTTAATTGAAATGCCCATTCCTACAGTTCATTTATTTTAATTTAGAAATTTTGGTGTTAGAAATTTGAGTCCTCAATAAAAATATACATTATAAAAATGTGTATCACCTGTAATCTAGAAAAGGTTTCGAGTGGATTGAATTCCTTCACAAGGCATTGCATACGTAACGGACAAAAGAAATACACTTTATTGTAATCCTACACTAAAACCACTAAAGTTGAGCTAATTAGTCTAAAGAAAAAAAAAAAAAGTAAAAACTAAAGTTCCAACCTATTTGTGAACTGGATGAGCTGGACCTCATTTCTGCAGCTGAGCAGAGCATCTCTGTTTTCCAGCAAAATGGTAGCACAGATGAAGAGTTCAAATGTGAACTCTGTGTTAATGGCCTGAGGTTCTGTCACTGGCTCATCCTCTGCAATGTCAAGACAACATTAAACAGTTTAATGAAAATGCTTCCTTAGAGACAATGTAGAGCAAACAAACCCTGACATGGTGGTTGAACGTCCTGGACGAGACAGTGACTAATGGAGGTAACACTGCTGCAAGCAAAATAATACAATTACAATATTAAATATGATTCAGTGATCATTAAGGAAATCAAAGACCAATCAGACTAGCATTTAACAACATTCAAAAATCTAAAGTATGTACTAATCTAATAATTAATCATGTAGTTTGTGTTAAGGCTTAATTCTGCTTCTGTCTTAAATCTAGATGAGTTACAGCAAGCAAACGCTTGGGCACCCCTGGTCAAATAACACGTTTTTCTAGGTAAAAATATATATGAATATACATTAAATACATTAACATCAGCTTTTGTACAATTTAATGCACAACTGCTGTTTATTTGCTGAATTTCACATACTGGTAAACACAATAAAACATATAATGTGTCGTGTACAAAGATTATGACTAAATGTGTTTCCCCCAAATATGAGGGGAATTCCACCATTTTTCATGTTTTCAACATGACTGAATCATTATGATATAAACAGTCATTCAGAGTAGTTTGATGTGAAATGCTTTATTCTAGTAAAACTTACTGACTCTGATTTCAGGAGTCACAATGTCTACAACACAAATACAAATACAATTTCATTTACTATCCAAAATGACCAGTGAACCTATATGGCTGTATATTTATGTGTAATGTTGTAACTGGTAAATAGGGAAAAAATTAAATCTGGAAGAATGGGGCTAAAAAAAACTCTTTTAGGCTTAAGCCTTCTCTCAAAACTATATATATATATATATATATATATATATAATGATATATTTCTACATTTCATTTCTACATTTCTAAATTTAAATTTAATACTTTGTATATTTTTCTTGTAATCTTTGTACATATACATATATATCTTTATACTTTTATTGTTTATTCTATTTTATATATTGTTTGTATATTTCCTGCTGCTCCGTCTTCTGTGCTGCTGTAACACCGCAAATTTCCCCGTTGTGGGATTAATAAAGGATTATCTTATCTTATCTTATCTTATCTTATCTTATATATGGAATGAACTTTGATATATATGGAATGAACACTGATATATATGGATTGAACATTGATATATATTGAATGAAAGTCGCTGTTGAAGTGTTGAGGATGGCCAAGAAAAACTGTACATCAATAAATGGGCATTAACAAACTCCAGGTGGAGCTTAAAGGAAGGGAATTCTGATAAAGTGACCAGTATCTATACACAGTGATCCTGTGGACAGAGTGACCTGAGAGTGGCTGATATATGATGTGAAGACACAGATGGGTGGAGTTTCAATATATACATAATTTGACATGGTGCAGAAGAAGAGTCAGATGAGGCCATAATTTCTGTTTGAAAAATGCTCTTTTATTGAGAGCAAGGGAAAACAATGCCACCTGAAAAGCAACTGAAAATTGAGGTAGGTCACTCCTAGCCCTACTCTTTCTTCTGAGGGTCACCAAACACAAACACACTCTCACTAACTCTGACCTGGACACAAAATAACAGAGTAAACACATACACACACTGTAACTGAAGAACAACAACATAGCAACATTAAATAACAATGTAAACAGTCTGTTTGGCTGCATTTTATGAATTATATTATTCATTTTTTCATCTCAATGTTCGATTCATGTACATCAAGTTTCATTCAATATATATATAAATTTTCATTCAATATATATCAATGTTCATTTAATATATATCAATGTTCATTCCATATATATCAATGTTCATTCAATACATCTCAGTAGAACAAAGATTGATATATATGGAATGAATGTTGATATATGGAATGAACTTTGATATATATTGATTGAACATTGATATATATGGAATGAACCTTGATGTACATGGATCGAACATTGAGATGAAAAAATGAATAATATAATTCATAAAATGTTTTGTTTGGACAGAGAGGGACTTTTTGCACCCCCCCCCCAACAGACTGTATACATTGTTATTTAATGTTGCTATGTTGTTGTTCTTCAGTTACAGTGTGTGTATGTGTTTACTCTGTTATTTTGTGTCCAGCTCAGAGTTAGTGAGAGTGTGTTTGTGTTTGGTGACCCTCAGAAGAAAGAGCAGGGCTAGGAGTGACCTCCCTCAATTTTCAGTTGCTTTTCAGGTGGCATTGTTTTCCCTTGCTCTCAATAAAAGAGCATTTTTCAAACAGAAATTATGGCCTCATCTGACTCTTCTTCTGCACCATGTCAAATTATGTACACTGCTCAAAAAAATAAAGGGAACACTCAAATAACACATCCTAGATCTGAATGAATGAAATATTCTCATTGAATACTTTGTTCTGTACAAAGTTGAATATGCTGACAACAAAATCACACAAAAATCATCAATGGAAATCAAATTTATTAACCAATGGAGGCCTGGATTTGGAGTCACACACAAAATTAAAGTGGAAAAACACATTACAGGCTGATCCAACTTTGATGTAATGTCCTTAAAACAAGTCAAAATGAGGCTCAGTATTGTGTGTGGCCTCCATGTGCCTGTATGACCTCCCTACAACGCCTGGGCATGCTCCTGATGAGGTGGCGGATGGTCTCCTGAGGGATCTCCTCCCAGACCTGGACTAAAGCATCCGCCAACTCCTGGACAGTCTGTGGTGCAACGTGACGTTGGTGGATGGAGCGAGACATGATGTCCCAGATGTGCTCAATCGGATTCAGGTCTGGGGAACGGGCGGGCCAGTCCATAGCTTCAATGCCTTCATCTTGCAGGAACTGCTGACACACTCCAGCCACATGAGGTCTAGCATTGTCCTGCATTAGGAGGAACCCAGGGCCAACCACACCAGCATATCTCACAAGGGGTCTGAGGATCTCATCTCGGTACCTAATGGCAGTCAGGCTGCCTCTGGCGAGCACATGGAGGGCTGTGCGGCCCTCCAAAGAAATGCCACCCCACACCATTACTGACCCACTGCCAAACCGGTCATGCTGAAGGATGTTGCAGGCAGCAGATCGCTCTCCACGGCGTCTCCAGACTCTGTCACGTCTGTCACATGTGCTCAGTGTGAACCTGCTTTCATCTGTGAAGAGCACAGGGCGCCAGTGGCGAATTTGCCAATCCTGGTGTTCTCTGGCAAATGCCAAGCGTCCTGCACGGTGTTGGGCTGTGAGCACAACCCCCATCTGTGGACGTCTGGCCCTCATACCATCCTCATGGAGTCGGTTTCTAACCGTTTGTGCAGACACATGCACATTTGTGGCCTGCTGGAGATCATTTTGCAGGGCTCTGGCAGTGCTCCTCCTGTTCCTCCTTGCACAAAGGCGGAGGTAGCGGTCCTGCTGCTGGGTTGTTGCCCTCCTACGGCCTCCTCCACGTCTCCTGGTGTACTGGCCTGTCTCCTGGTAGCGCCTCCAGGCTCTGGACACTACGCTGACAGACACAGCAAACCTTCTTGCCACAGCTCGCATTGATGTGCCATCCTGGATGAGCTGCACTACCTGAGCCACTTGTGTGGGTTAAAGAGTCCGTCTCATGCTACCACGAGTGTGAAAGCACCACCAACATTCAAAAGTGACCAAAACATCAGCCAGAAAGCATAGGTACTGAGAAGGGGTCTGTGGTCCCCACCTGCAGAACCACTCCTTTATTTAGTGTGTCTTGCTAATCGCCAATGATTTCCACCTGTTGTCTATTCCATTTGCACAACAGCATGTGAAATTGATTGTCAATCAGTGTTGCTTCCTAAGTGGACAGTTTGATTTCACAGAAGTTTGATTTACTTGGAGTTATATTGTGTTGTTTAAGTGTTCCCTTTATTTTTTTGAGCAGTGTATATATTGAAACTCCACCCATCTGTGTCTTCACATCATATATCAGCCACTCTCAAGTCACTCTGTCCACAGGTTCACTGTGTATAGATACTGGTCACTTTATCAGAATTCCCTTCCTTTAAGCTCCACCTGGAGTTTGTTAATGCCCATTTATTGATGTACAGTTTTTCTTGGCCATCCTCAACACTTCAACAGCGACTTTCATTACATATATATCAGTGTTCATTCAATATATATCAAAGTTCATTCCACATATATCAAAGTTCATTATATATATATATATATACATACATCAATGTTCATTCCATATATATCAATGTTCATTAAATATTTCCTGTTTGGCTTGCCATAATATATTATAGGCAGTGAATTTGTAACTATTTCATGTAATAACTTTTTGTGAGGGAGCTTTTAAAGGCATTAAATTCTTCAGATGTCTGGTTCCTATCACCACCACTGTGAACAATTCTGAGGTACTGTAAGTTTCTCTGCAATTGAGCATTTCGCACCAAACCACTCTGAATGCCTTAGTTTACATCTTTTTATTAACAATTCTATTACAATTTGGAAAAATTAATGGAATTCCTTTCTAAACTCAGCAAATAAACAGAAATTGCACTCTAAAATTTGAAGAAAATTGCCATATTTAAGTTTGTTTGCTGTAAAGAATTTGTTTTTTTCATATAGAAAATCAACTAAATGTGTAATCTGACCAAGGGCATCCAACTTTTTGCATATGACTCCATGTGCAATAATCACGTACTCTGTCTTAAAGGAGGATGTCACTTCTTTTTCAAAATTTCTGTTAAATGTAATCATTCAGATGTAAACAAAGTCATTCACAGCGGTCTAAACACTCTCAAATTATTACATGAAATTTTTAAGAATATGTATACTGATGCATGGTTCACAACACTGACATTGTTTGTGAAAGTTCTGAGATATGCTTTTAGGCTATAATGTATTTTTTTTTATCCACGCATGGCAGTGATGTACATGCAGGGATTTATAACAAAAGTATTTCCAAAGAAATCATTTTTGGATTTACTATTTTGTCACAATAACCCTTACACATAAACACTCCGAAGACGTGTTGGTTCACTGGTCATTTTTTGGATAGCAAATAAAATGGCTATATTTGCATTGTAGACATTGCAACTGCTGGTTCCCATCACCACCGCTGTAAAGAAAAGCTGGAAATACTGTCTACAATGGACCAATTCACATCAAAACTCTGAGTGGCATCTGAAGGACTGAATTATGCAGAGATTTTAAAAAATCTGCACTTAAACAAGACAAAAATATGCTGCATAAAAAAAGCATATGTATTTGGAAAAATGGCTCGCCAATGTTTATATCCACAATAAAGCAGATGGAAATTTAGGAAAGGGAATTTAATGGAAAGCCTTAAATCAAAGACCAATGGAAGGAACTTTAATGTGACTGAATCACTCACTAATATGCTGAGGATATGAGGCTGCTTACCAAGGCTATGCTTGCAGGCCAGTCTCTCTTGGTAGCGTGCCCGGTCCACCTGCTGAGAGATGAGCTCCAAATGATCGCAGCTGAGAATTTCAAACAGCCGGAGTGCATCACTGTGCTCAAACTCACGCTGGAAACCCAGCAGCAGCCACCTGCACAGCAACACACAGAGACATACAGGTAGATGAGCTTTTATGAGATAAGGACATAAACGGGCCTACATCCATACAGAATAAAGTGGTTCTAGACATATTAGTCAACGAAGAGGGATACAGCCAGAGTTAGCATAAAAATAGACAGGGAAAAAAAACAGAAGAGCGGCGATGAGGAAGGGTTTATATACCTGTGACAGAATGTCAGTCTGTCCATGTTGTCTGTTACTAGATGAGCATGAAGCTGGGGGTCCAACTCTTTCAGCAGAGCTGCCTCTAATTCTGATAATCAACAGATAAAACTAGTTTTATGTATGAATTTTCATGTTTTTAAATAATTCAAATCAAATTTTACAGGAAGATAAATTATTCCACACTTTACAGCTTTAATGCCAAACCAGGAGCGTAAAGCGCTGTAAAAGAGGACTTTTTAAATGAAACACACCAATCTTGCGGTGCAGGCCATCAGCACGAAAGTCTTTAGAGAACTTCTCCATATAACAGGAAAAGCTCCAGTATGTGTCCACTTCTGAGTCCAGAACCTCCAGGAACCGACTGCACAGATCATTCATACCCTGTGCATAACTAACCTCTGAAAAACAAGAGAGACATATAACATCAATATTCATTTCAATATTTAATATTTTTTCAGACTTGGCAAGACAAAAAACCCTTTAAAAAATCAAATTAAAAAAGGGCAGTTTTTCATTTCATGACAGTTTTGTTTATTTGTGGGTTTTTTAAAGGTTTCCTGCAGGTTGAATTTTCCCCCTTCGACTGAGTAACCAAGAGACTTTTCATTTGGCTGAGGAGATTTACCAGGGATGCCAGCAAAGAGATCATTTTCCAAGGAGTCTTTCTGGGCTCGCTGGAAGAGAAACCTTTCCCCGTGGCTAAAAAGCTTTTCTGAGCTCACTTGGACTGAGGAGTATTTCTGGGATGACTGGCAGAGAGACCATTCCCTAAGGTTGTGGAGTCTTTTTGGGCTCGTCAGCAAAGCAAACTTTCTCAGTTGTGAAACAACTGAGAGAAAGGCGCTATATAATGGAAAGAATTACTATTATTTTTATTATTATCATTATTATTATTATTATTATTTATTATTGTTATAACCCTAGTCTGAAAGTGTTGTCTAACAATTGTGCAGCTAAAGAAAAATGAAACAACGACACAACAAAAATAATCAAAGAAGCAAGAAAGCAAACAAGCACAGTGCCTTGCCTGGGTGGAAAGCAGCATAGGTGATGAGAATGTCTCTGAGCACCAGCAGGTTACCCAGGCCTTCATTCCTGAGGAAAAAAGCACACAAATGCCTCAAACCTCAAACAATGCTGCATTACAGTGACTTGGACAAGCCATATCATCAACTAAACAAATGCTTCACTGGTAAAAAAAAAAAAGAAAAGCAACAGAAAAAGTGAATAAGTGAAAAAAACAAACCAAACAAGTGACCATTTTAATGAAACATGCATCATGAGGGTTATACCAGGTTAGGGTTTGTCCCAACATTCAGGAAAACATGTTGAATGACTAGTAAACAACTTTCAGGTACAGAATTGTTGTGGATGCAAATGCAGTTTCTAAATCTGGGCCTGTTCATTTGAGCTATCATGTCTGCTGGGTGTGAAATTTTAAATCTTTGTGTGTATCATCACAAGTATTCTAACCATATTCATACAGTCATTTATTCATCTATATACTATAAATTGTCACAATCATTTTTGTGTTGTAAACCTCGTGTTATGAACCTACTGACCTGTTCAGTTTCAGTGACATAACATCATAGCCATGCAAGCATGCGTCATCAGTTAGCTATGAGTAATACATTAATAACAGTCTAACTTTATATTAGAACAATATCTTTCAATATTATAAAAAGATACAAATACTCTTTTTCTTATAGGTCAAGGACATTCATTTCCTCAGCCTAAAGCTCTAGGAGAGTGTGAAAGAAAAGAAATTTAAAAGTTTCACCACTAGATGTCGTGGTTGTACTTGGCAAGAGAGAAATGCAAGCAATCAAAACCATGAAGGGCTTTTACACTACTGTGATGGTCAAAACACACTGCTGCTAAATGTCACTATAGTAAATACATTAAATTGAATCTACTGTAACTTATTGGTCATGAAAGATGTCAAGTTTTTCTCCCCAAACTTGTTTTGTTGTGCTTTTTTGACTGTAAACTCCAGTGGTCTTCAGTTTGTTGCCCCCCACTGGCACAAATTGAACAATCTTTGTACACCGAATGTCACTGTAAAATACATGTGGGCTGTAAATATTCATTCATTCATTCATTCACTCACTCACTCATCATCTAAGCTGCTCATTCTCCTGAGTTGTGGAGGGTTCTGGAGCCTATTCCAGCACTCACTGGGTGGAAGGCAGGAAAGACCCTGGACAGGTCACCAGTCCATCAAGGCACACACACAGACATACACAGTCACACACACAGCCACACACACTCACACCTTGGGGCAATTTAGTATCTCCAGTTCACCTGACTGCTTGTCTTTGGACTGTGGGAGGAATCGGGAGCACACTGAGGAAACACACACAGACATCCCAAACCCCCGGGAGAACATGCAAACTCATCATGTTCTGGGGAATCAAACCCAGGCCCTTTTTGCTGTAAGGCGATAGCGCTACCCACATTTTTCAAAAAGGGTTATCATTCCAGCCGTAATATTGAGTCCTGCCTATTTGAAATACTTAATGACACTATAAATGTGGCCAAAAAAGTGTTGAAGCTGAACATAATGAATGAGGAAATCTTTCCAACCACCAGTCTGTTAATGTCTAACTGCAGTCAAACTGGAACGTGAAGGCTTGTTTACTTTTATATGGGACACACATAATCGTTATTTTGAGCTCCAAGGTTGTTTGATAAAGTGGTGTGGCAACAAGGACATGCTTCGATTGTGTCAATAACAGTTGTTTGTAGTTCAAAGCTAGTATCAATAAATTGTCAGTACTAAATGACATGTGGACTGTCTAGTTTTATCTACCCACTGTCAACAAAAGAGAGCTTAGAATGGAAAGAAATAGACAGGTTTTTTTCTGTAATTTTGAATTTAAATGACTCTAAATCCATAGTTTTGAGTTTTATAAGAGAGTTTAAAGTGCAGGGGTTTTAGGCCATGAGTAACTTAAGTGAAAAGCAGGCAGCACTCTATTCAAACATTGATATGCTTATATCAGTGGAAAGTCATATATGCGTTTCAGCATTGTGCCTTCCTCAGTAAGAATCATTAGCAGACTGTTGCAAGTGACCTGATTAGAAAGGGTATGAAGACCTTACAAACAGGCCTATAAAATACACCACAATCCATTCAAATTCAGACATCTTACTGCACAGAGAACAGTATGCCACACAATGTACTACAGTAGATTTAATTGCCATTTTAGGTATTTAAATTAATACATTTCAGACACCAACGTCACACTGTTCCACTGTTACACAATGTCTTTGATTGGAACTGTACAAAAACTAATGGCCATCTAGTCAACAGAGGACTTTCTGCACTGCGGTCTGTCCCCCCTGGTGGCCACTTGTACCTGCAAATAAACTACATTTTCATCATGTCTACAAGCTGTCTATGCAGTCTACCGATTCAGTGAGCCAGTGGCAGCAGCAAGAATATCCAACTTAGGACCAACTTAAAGAGTGAGCATGTTTTGACAAACTTTATATCACCATTTTTAGGTTAGGTACTGACTTCACTTGGGACAGTGTAGGAGACCATGTTGTATGATGCTCTACCATGATAAAGATTTGAGTTTTGAGATTTGGCTTGCTGTAGGGCAGTGATGTCATTTTTAAAGCTTTGCAATTTGCGCAGAGGCAGATGGACTGTTAAGTTAATAGCAGTACAGTAAGAATTGTCTTTGGTTGAATTCCTGAGACCGTAATTCATGTGACTAGGGCTGAATGATTTGTGGAAAATACCTAATTGATTGTGACTTAAATGTGATTACTGTCAATAAACTAAGCTACAACTTTCTTTGGCCAGAAGACGAATGCTGAACTGACTTATATGGGTACTTTAGAAAGAGTTTCCAGATATGGTTGTTCTGTTTTCTTTTCACAGATAAGAGTCTGAAGATATGATCTGTGGTGTGGGAAAATTTTTAAATGACTGCAGAACACAGATAGGAAGGCTGTAGTGAAGGTCGACCATCAGAGATATACAGAGGCATAAGTGTGATATGAGATCACTGTAGAGCAGGGGTGTCAAACGTACAGCTCGAGGGCCAGGGCCAGGTTCTAATATGGCCCACCAAATGAATGTAGAATCCATGTCCCAAATTAAAAACATCTTACGCACCACAACTAAACGGATATATCCTGCATTACAAAAGGGAAAATAGCTAGTCGGTCACTCCACTAGGAGGCAGAATACAGCTGTAACCTAAGGGCCGGATTATAGTCTACTGACATCACACCCTAATAATGAGTTTACTAGCAGGCTAAGAATTTGATGCTTTAAGTAAGTATCTTTCCACAAGAAAAGAAGTTGACAGCATTGGATTTTCCAAGAAAAATGGACCAGCCTGTGCTTCTCACTGAGATAAGTAAAAGAAAGAATTTAATATTCAACACCATTGCTAGATTTATCATGTTAAAAAAAACAATGATTGGCAAAGACAACTAAGAAGGGATAACATAAATGTGGGTTTGATTAACCAGCAGTTGGTTTTTAATTGCAGCCAAACATCAGTGATGTAGCTGTTCACCACAACTGCAATCTGTTGGTCTGTTTTGTAAGTGACACTGTACGTGATACTTGTTTGATGTGTGCATTCACAATGTACCTTTCAGATAAATAATGATAAATAATGATTTTTTTGGTCCAGCCCACTTAACACTGGACTTACACCCGTGCTGAAGAGTTGTAATTTGCTGTAAAAAACCTTGGTGGTACATGTTATATTAGGTTTAGTTGAACAATTACAGCTGTTAAGGATCCGTAGCTGCTAATATATCGGAGGGTAATTTCTAAGGTCATTTATTATGTGAGGCCATCTTAACTGAAATGAGGGCTTACAATGTTTAAGTGAGTACAAGCTTTTTCAAAAGTCTAGAAAAGTATAAACTATAGAACTTTTGTTTCAACCTGCAATAGTCTAGTAAGTGAGCATTGCATTCCTATGTGCTATGGTGCAGTGAAATAAGAACCGTCCATAGTCAAAAGTTACAGAAAAGCAATACAGGCAAGCTCCCCCTTCCCGAGTGAGACAGCACAGAGAAAGTGCTCAGTAGGGTGAACGGGTGGTAGCATCAGCAGAAAAACAACACAATGAAAGACAAATACACTGCAACGTGTGGTACGTCTGCTGAGAGTGTGGATCTCTGAGGAAGAGCTCAGCAATTACCAGACAAGCTTACTACACAAAGACTGGGAGTTAGAAGAATCCAGAAAGACACTGAGTAAATGTCACACTGAATAGCTTCACAAAATACTGCAATTATAATAGAGCAGACTTAGTTTGCTTAATGACTAAGTTTAAACCTTTAACATAAGCCTAAACATAAGCACAAACTATTAAAATGTCTGAAGAGGATCTACGAGTGTATGAACAGCTAAACAAGCTTACATGTAGTAGGCCAGGTCTCTGTCAGTTCTAGGGACATCTTTGTCAATGATGCGTATGGCTTCTTGAAGCTCTTCCAGGTCAAAAGTTTCCCGTTCAAACAGGACCTGAAGATGAAGATACCAAGTACAACAAATCAAATGAGAGAAAGCAAAAAAGTCCCATGTTTTTGACAGTGCAATGGCATTAACACAGCACAAATGCAATCAACAGAAACAGATTCACCACAGCAATAATGAAAGATGCTTTTAAGGCCCACACTACAAACACCTGGTGATGAAAAGTGGCAGAAAGGGGCAAAAAACTTTACATACTACCAAACAAATGCGACAAAAAGAAAAAAAAATAGTTTTCAATTATCTTTTTTTTTTATTGTTGGTACACAAAGCACAACTCAGGTTATTAGGAGTGTTTTTTATAAACAGTTTTGAAGTGAATGCATACTGCCTGATCTGATTTAATGTCCGACTTTGGTTTTAGAGGTTTGCTTTATCATTCTTACAGAGCGCAAAAGTCAAAGCGTAAAATCCATTTCTTATATATCAGGAAGTTTTGGTTGTAATTGAAGCTCAGTTCTAGTTATTGACATTACAGAAACGATGCAGAATAATTTGTTTCTTTCTTTACTACGGAAGGTAAGCCACTATCTTTCCACAATTGATAAGCCTGAGGCTGCAGTGTAGAACTGGAAATATCCGTCCAATCCCAACAGAACCGGACTGTTCATGTTGGGTTCAGATGTCATTTCTCAAATAGGTGTTGGCCGATTTGAAATTTCATGTTAAGGTTCTAACAGCCCACCTCACAACTCTAACAGATTTTAGTCTTAATTTTGCCACTGACCTCACTAACTCAAACAATTTTTTGGTGGCACACTTGAGTTACTTATTTCGCACTGAGGTCCATGAGGCCCACACTCATGAGAAAAATGGGACAAACAGTGAATTGATTCAGGAAACTACTTTTTAGTGCTGTCAAAAGAACATTTTGTTTGCTTGGCCAGAGGTATTTTAAGCTACATGTACAACATGTTCTGTGTAACATGTTCAATGTGCAGAAGCAGAGTTTTAGAATTAAATAGGGGAAGAATTAGATAGGCCACATGGTTCAACACTAGTAGTCTACTTCACAGTAGCAATATAAATCACAGTAGCAATATACATCACAGTGGGTGTGTGAAATACCCTCTGGTATTCAGGGGATCCCCTATTGGCTGGCTATTTCAGTATTGGCTGGCTGCTAACTCGCTCGCCATAGTCCCACTGATGCTAGCTTCAATGGCAACAAAATGTTTGGTTTAACAAGTGTTCTTTTGGAAATGCTCTTTTCTAGTTTGGTAATGTGCTCTTCTACACGTTGAGATCTTACACATCTCCCATTTTGTCTTTGGTTTCGGAAATGAGTAAAAATTCACTCTTTCCACCAAACTCTTGACAAATTGGCCCAAGTTTTAGATTTAAAACTATGCTACGGAATATTGAAAGGTTTTTTCAGGGGTATCCAGGGCATAGTTACAGTCGCTAGGCAATTAAGGACCAGCTGGATGAACCAGTTTACTACAGTGCCACCCTGAGGCCGACCAAGGCTGCATTCCTAGTTAGTTAAGAATACCAAAGACAGAAGCTCGAGGTTTTGTGGGTGAGGCGGCTAAACAATGAGCTTTCAGTGAATTTGTCTTTTAGCATCTTTCCTACCAAACAGCATAACATCATGATAACTTTATTTTCAGGGACTCGCCAGAATTTTGATTTTGAGACATTCAGGGGGTCCAAGACAGGGGTGTCCAATCTTCTCCGCAAAGGGCCTGCAGAATTTCACTCCAACAAAGCAAGACCTCACCTGATGAAATGTTTGAAGACTAAGACCAACCGATTAAACAAGTGGAATCAGGTGTGCTTCAACCCCACCAGCCCTGGATAAGATTGGACATCCCTGGTCGAAGAGGTTAATTAGGAGGTCCCTATTCCCCCCAGGAGCCTGTATTTCACACTTTGATTAGAGTAGCTATTAAACACAGACTTGAAGAATACCTTTCAACTGCATTATAAATCTGCAGTGAGCAACTATTCTTAAGTATTACTTTCTGTTTGTGTGAGTTGGTCACTTCAATGGCCTTTGTGGTGGCTAGGTTGAGTAAATCATCACTGCTGTAAGAAAACTTAATATCTCCAAAAATGTAACTTAGAAAGAAAAGCACTCTTAAATTTAATCTACACTCATGCTCAAACGTTTGGAATTATGTTTTGCAATAAAATAAAATACAAAAAATGTTACAGATAAATGTCTAAATTTTGATGCAAGTACTCTCAAAACTCTCTAAAAAAAAAAAGATGTGTCAAGAATGATGACAGAACTGTACATGATTCCTCAATAGCCGAGAAAGTGGTTAAATATAAGGTAATAATAAAAAAAATAATAATAAAATTAACATTCACATTGCCTCGTATTTGAAACTTGGTCAAATTTCAGACAAAAACATATAATTACATTTTGTTGTTCCCTAAACATTGAAATACTAAAACCCATTTGGTGTATATTTTATGGTATTTCGATCTACTTATTGAGTAACTTTGAGTAAAATGACATTTACAAATATCACAATGATTCCAAACCATTCAACTGTAGTGTACATTAATGTAATGACATAATGAGCAATTTTGGACCGTTCTTATTCATGGAATGCTCACACAATTTATCATGAAACCATTTATAATGAAATGCTTACACAATGTAAAGAGCAGCTGGCATTTTCAAACAAAAAAACTGAATTAAAGGATTTTGATATGAGAGTGACGAAACTGAGGGCTCAAAGGAAACTGCTGATGATGAAACACAATATAGGTTTTTGTAATACTGATATCACAGAGCAATAGGCAAAGAGGCTTCTTTAGAATCAAAATGTTCACTGAGTGCTGTGAGCATTTTGACCAACCCCAGTTTAAGATTTACCTGTGTGTGTTTTAATTTTTTGTTGGGAATATCACAATCACAGTATGTCACAATATAATCCATATCATGGAGTCATATCACACAGAGAGCATCAGAATTTTGCTAGCTGGGGATTGAAGAGGATGGTATTTCTTTCATGTACCTGAGCCTGAAGCTCCAGAAAGGACATCCTTTCTCTGACCTCTTCTGACTGGTACTGCTGCTGCTCTTGCTCTCGCTGCTGCCTCTGCTCAAAATACTGCACTGCTGCTACCAGCTCAGCTGACAAAGAGTGGGAGAGAGAGAATGAGGAGGAAAAAGGGACTAGAACTTACAGCTCATATATATAAAAGAATCATGATTTTCATGGTTACATGTTATGGTAACAGGAAACGGTCACTGCTACATGCAAAAGTTTGCAAACTCAGAATGAGGTTTACCATCAGTGCCGTTGAGACGTAGACGAATGGCTCCAGGAAGCAGCTGCTGCCACTTCCTCTTCATGACCTGATATCGGACAGTCATTTGCTCCAGCAACAGGGGGCGCTCCAGAGCTGTGGAACTGCAGGGGTACATCCCAAACAAGAAGCGCCACACGGGCCCCCGTTCTGCTGGTGAAACACCACCTAAAGTGCCCAAAGCAAGACACTTTTAATTTTAGCCTCTCCTGCACAGGTTGGGTTAGAGAGAAAAGAGTCTTTTGACTATGAAAATGGTAAATGCAGTATATTAGAACTGAAGATGAAAAGGAGGTTAATACTTCAAAACTTGTATGTAAACAAAATGTCTAATGAACTAATTAAATAACAGCAACATCACTGTGAAACTTTAACCTCTCTCACTTTATATGCACAGTCACTTTAATCTGTACATTGTGTGCAGTTTTATTATTAATATTTGTAGTTGCATCACTAAATACTATTGTTAATTATCAGTGCCTTGTAAAAATACACACACAACTATTATTGCTGCTGTGGACCAACAGCTGGTGGCATAGTTGTAATTATTGTATATTTTAAGAAGAATTTATTGTATAGTTTATTGTATAGTGTATACTGTATTTACTGTCTGTCTGCACGCACTGTTGTCTACTGCTGTTCTATGTTAAATGTATTTCGTTCCTCTCTCAACACATCTATGATGCGAAGAAATGACAATAGTGCTGACTTTAAGACTGTTAGTGACTGTAGACGAAAAAAGAAGGTAGCAGTACCTAAAAACAGTAGGCTGATACTAGAAAATACAGTAAAACAGACATTTTAAAAAATATTTTCCCTCTGAAACTCACCCATAACATCTGTTTCCAACCTTTCTTTATCTTGTAGATAAAACAGGCTGTTTTTGTTACTGTGTTTTTAAGACTGACATATGTCAATGGCCTCTGTTCTAACATCACAAGCACAATGAATTATTATGACTCATTTGGAGTTTACTTTTTTAAAATAAAAGTTTGATGGATTATGCAAGCATTGTAAAAGTTTTACAATGTACTGTTCACTCCTTAGTTCATTTTGAACCTTTAACTATAGTTTAGATTAAACTTCTATTAAAAAAACAAACAAAAAAAAACAACAAACACAAAAACAAAACAAGTACAATTCCGTTCTCCATGATTCCTTTTAAAGCAGTGGTTTATAGTCCTGAAAGACCACGGCTCTACCCATTTTAGTGTTTTGCCTGCTCAAACACACTGGATTCAACTCAGTAGTGAATTAACAAGCTTTTCCTGATGTGAGCTGAGTGCAAGGCAACAATAAAGGCAGAATACAGTCTGAATTGAGTTATTAACAATGAGTCAATCAACAAAATCTTTAAAACAGTTATTTCCACTTTATCGGCACTAAGCAAACTTGCATCAAAATGACAATCTATTGAGCTCTTATCTTAGCATAGAAAGCTTGTCACTGGTGCTGGGATTGATTCACTTTCTGATTATATCACTTTATCTACAGACATTGATCTAATTCAGCAGTGCACAATGAGTACACATAGTAACTAGTCTCCACTAAAAGAAAGTCCACAAAGAACAAAACAACACATAATCCCCCTCTCTATGAACTTTATCCCCCTTCTTAAAGCTCTTTAAGGAATCTTATTATGGAAGGTGTTGGCCCTACAAGAGTTCGTCATGCAACTGAAGAAAATGTGTTTTGGAGATGAGAGGCATGTTGGGTGCAGCACAGCTCATACAATGAGGGCCTGTTTGCGTCACGTGAAGTTTTTCATGCTAGCTCATCACTACAGTCGGCGTGTGTTCCTTAGCATTGCAGTTGAAATGAAATTTGCTTGTGGTTAAGATGTGCTAAAGGTCAAATGGGAAACTGCCAAAACAGTGCTGTGACCGCCTCTGGCACTGATTCCTGACTGTGGCTAAAAAAGCATCACACAACGCACAACAAAGCTTGCTTTAGAAATCCACTGAGCAGCTTTAAGCATGACCTGTGGCAGAAACAATCCAAGAGTAATTCTGCTTCTGCTGTTGTTGCAGAAAAAAAGATAAAAGAAGTTATTTATAGCAGTGGGAGCGATGAATTTAAGATTTGTCTGCCGATTTCTTTATTATGTGTGTGGATGGCACGTATGTGACTAAAGGCTTTAATGTGAATTTTATGATTGTGGTTCTGTATGGCTCATTTCTGTACAGCCTCTATTGTTATGAGTGGATCATTTAGGTAGGCCTGTCATGATTAATCAGCTAAAAGAAGTTATTTAAAAAATTACCCTTTTGATGTATCTGTAAGGATTACTGAGCAATGTGCATGAGCATAATCATGTTTTATGGGTTTCTTGATGGATACACACATTTAAATCCATTACTTATTTATATGAGTTGTATATTTTTCTTAAGTAAGTCTTTTTAAAAGGCTGCCTAGTATTTTTATAGAATCTTTGAAAAGAAATGCATGGTTTGTTATTGATTAGCTAAGTCTATTTATATTGTTTGGCCTTTTTTTAACTGATTCATTCAAAAATAATCAGCAGCTTACTCAATTACCAATATAATCAATAGTGACAGCCCTATTTAGGAGTATAGTCTCTGCAGTGCTGGTTTCTTTTTAGACTGCTGGATTTTCCCATGTTCCCTGAGGTGGCGTATCACTTGACTAACATTTCACAATAGCTGTAAAACAAGAACAGCTGACAAACCTAAGTCACGGAACAAATAGCACGCCAATCACCCTCTCTAAAATTCCCACTGAACAAGAACAACATGAGTTTCAGTAATATTTCATCTAAGCCTACTACAAATATTCAACATGCAATCTGACCACTGGACGCAAACAGCCTCGACATTAGAAATACACCGATCAGGCATAACATTATGACAACCTGCCTGTTTCTACGCTCATTGTCCATTTTATCAGCTCCACTTACTATATAGGTGCACTTTGTAGTTCTACAATTACAGTCTATAGTCCATCTGTTTCTCTGCATACTTTGTTTGCCCCCTTTTACCCTGTTCTTCAGTGGTCAGGACACCATGGACCCTCACAGAGCAGGTACTATTTGGGTGGTGGATCATTCTCAGCACTGCAGTAACACTGACGTGGTGGTGGTGTGTTAGTGTGTGTTGTACTGGTCTGAGTGGATCAGACACAGCAGTGCTGCTGGAGTTTTTAAACACCTCAGTGTCACTGCTGGACTGAGAATAGTCCACCAACCAAAAATATCCAGCCAACAGTGTCCTGTGGACATTGTCCTGTGACCACTGATGAAGGACTAGAGGATGACCAACACAACCTTTGTAGCAGCAGATGAGCTGTCGTCTCTGACTTTACATCTACAAGGTGGACTGACATGGTAGGAGTGTCTAATAGAGTGGACAGTGAGTGGACACAGTGTTTAAAAACTCCAGCAGCACTGCTGGGTCTGATCCACTCGTACCATCGCAACACACACCAACACACCACCACCACGTCAGTGTTACTGCAGTGCTGAGAATGATCCACCACCCAAATAGTACCTGCTCTGTGAGGGTCCATGGGGGTCCTGACCACTGAAGAACAGGGTAAATACTGCCACTGCGTCAATGTAGCAAGCTATAACTGCCTGTGTCCCCAGTTTGTTGCACTGCGCCTGCTCAGAAATCACTTCTTTTAGCCTATGGACCACACAATAGCGGAAAACCGCAAAACTCCTTTTGGATTTAATTTCAAGACCTTCAGCAGGAGTTTAATTCAGAGTATTAGAAGATGGAAGGGCAGGAGAGTGGACTTCCAGGAGAGGGGGTTGACGCCAGTTGAGTTGGTGCCTCTGATTGGGGCAAGGGAGAGAGGGGGCACTTCCTACCCACAAAGGAGGTCTTAGACTGGCAATGCATTATTTTTGTGTCTAAATAAACACTTATGTTTTTTTACTTTTCATTAACCTGTTTGATCCAAAATTCTTCCCAATTTTGAGAGCACATGAATTTTACTCCTTGTACAGCCTCATAACACAAACTATATGAATTATTTTTAGAAACTGCTTTGGAAAAGTTCCCTAAAAATAAAAGTTTTATTAATTGTTTCAAAAGTGGCTGTGGGAAACTATACAGTCAAAAGTGGAATCAGTTGACCCAATTACACAAGAATGAATAAAATAAATAACTGAGCTGATAAACAGAGAAAAAAGCAGCACACTGATATAATGATGGCTGGGAAAATCAAAAGCAAATATGGCCATCCCACTGGTCACAACTGTCACCGCTCCCATGTTTCATCATCCCCTCTCATCCATGATATAAATATGGCAGCACAATCTTACAACAGCCCCCCAATCACCCTCTCTAACATTTCCTTTAAATAGTTTTTTTCTAGTCATGTGACCAAATACACCAGACACATAAAAATGTAATCATAATAAAATAATAATAATAATAATAACAGACCCTTAGATGGTACATGTATCCTTATTATAACAGCTCTCTGGTGCATATTTGAAGGTAATGGCTCTGGTCATGTGACCAAATACACCAGCCACATATAAATAAACTGTAAGACATCAAAATAAACTGTAACTTAATTTATACTAATACATATATACATATATATATATATATATATATATATATATATATATATATATATTATATGTATATATATATAATTTTTAGAGCTTTACAAACTTTACAAACAATATTTTATTTATTTATTTGTGATTTTCTCAGGACTGTTTGTCCGTTACCGTGCTTAAAGATGTACATCCTCAGTCTAGACTCGTCCACTCTCCCTTCACAGTCCATCACACCGGGCAGCTGGATGTTGGCGCAGGGCCACGCGCCGCAGCTCACCGGCGCCACGCGGGACTCTCTGACCTGCCGCTCGAGCGCGCCGTTCGCTCTCTTCCCCTCGCGCACAGGCCCGTTAATGCCTGAGCCCGGCTTCCCTCTCACCGCCGGGGCAGAGCCGCTGTGAGAGGAGGCGTCCGCGGTTTGACCGCTGCTCGCCATATTCCGCCTGTAAAGCCCGTTAAGCCCGCTAACCGAAGGCCCATCACACTGCGGTTAAACTCTCGGCATGAGCTGCTCTCTGTGGATTAAGTTTATTCGGTCGAATTCGTGCTCAGCAACAACCGGCAGCGCTTCAAACACACCGTTCAGTTCCCGGGCTTCAAGGCAGAAGGCTCGCTCCCTCCGCGCGTGCTCTAACCGAGAAAGTTTACATTGGTAAACTTCACACCCCCTTCCGTCATATGACCAGAGACTGCGGTTTAGCCCACTTTCATCTGGGTTCAAAGCAGAGCCCGTCAGAGAAAATGTACTGGACGCCCCCTTGTGGTGAGACCTTTTAGTCAAGTCAAGTCAGATTTATTTATATAGCGCCTTGTACAACAGATGTTGTCACAAAGCAGCTTTACAGAGAATCCGGGTCCACGCCCCCAGTGAGCAAGCCTTGGCGACAGTGGCAAGGAAAAACTCCCTCAACAGGAGGAAGAAACCTCGAGAGGAACCAGACTCAAAAGGGGAACCCATCCTCCTCTGGTCGACACCGGATAACAGCACAGACACAAAACAGTATAAGTGGATACAGTTTTACATTCTGTTTAGTGCGCCGGCCGCATCAGATCCCCCTGGGACGTGATTGAGTGGTGTTCACATCAGACCCTCTTGGGTCGGGCAGCCGCTCAGCTCTTTTACCTACACCATGTAGACTCTTGGTAAAATTAAAGATTAAATCCACCAATTTTTCGAAATGTCTGCCTGTTTCAGTTGAGGCAGGTGTAAGTCATTCACAGCGGTTTGAGGTAAGATGGTGCATTTGAAGAGAAATGTCACCTCTGATTTATTTGCAGTGGTGGTCAGAGCAGGCCTGCTCCAAGCCATGTCTGGGCCTCTGGACAAAACTTTAAATGGGCCCGCTCTGCCTGAAGTCAGACACAGATCAACTTCACTCTCATAGTATTTTGTAGATAGTATGACAAGAACACATCAATACAGTATAATCCTATTTATACAGTAGCAATCCTATTCAGGTACGATATTCTTGGCTGCTTTGTCATTTTGAATGGCACACTTCATTTTTGTGTAGTGACACATAGGTCTGGTATCATCCAGTTAAATTGACTGATCTGATGCTTTGGCTATTATTTTAAAATTCTGCAGTAAAATCACCTTTGATATGATTTTTTAAAATGATTTTTGACGTGTATAGTGGTATCATGCACTCTGACAGTGAAATAATTGTTTGTGTGTACATTCCAGTGTCATTTGGCTCTATCATGTGTGCAGTAGTTTGTTCCTTCCTCTTGATTTTGAACACTGCTTGTTGTTACTGCTAAAATCTGCTTCCTTCTTTTCTGCATCAACACATCAGTATAAACCAGGCTTAGCACTGGTTTTATACCAGAAGAGGTGGTCAAAACTGGATTAGGCATAACCGTATGGGCATAACCAATTAGACTTCCTACACTGTAAAAAGTAGCTCATCAGATCTACCTAAAAAATACTTCATGTATTTATTTAGGTTGAATAAAACTAGGAAATTTACTTGTTACCACATGAAGTATTTTTTTAGGTAGATCTGATGAGCCACTTTTTACAGTGTATGAATTGTCTTTAGTTTTTAGATGTAAAAGTTGACAATAGTAAAAGCAAAAAATGTACGCGACCTGCATATACTCATACTCTCCACCATGAATGCATTTAAAGAAATAGATTTTAGGCCAAAGTCTAAAACCTCATAACTGATGTAAACAATACTTCATTCATCAGGCAGCATATTCCTAACCATTTCATGTAATGTAAGCCTATCTCACAGAAAATGAGGTAGCTTTTAGAAACAAAGACTTTGGACCTCTGGTTTTTATCACCAGCACTGTGAACAATTCTGACTCTGTAAGTTTCTCTAGAACAGGGCGTTTTATACCAAACCATTATGAATGACTTTGTTTATGTCTTATCAATATGCAGAAATGTAGAAAAAATCCTCTATAAATTGCCATATCATTTTCGGCCTGGCAGAATTATTGCATATTTGCCTAAGTGCGATTATTTAAGCCGACTGCATTTTTTTCCACGGTAGTTAACTTTCACACTCATATCTCATATCAGTGCAGGTAGTCTAAGCACAACCAATGTTGCAAAATGTTCTTCCCCTAATTTAGCTTTAAGAACTCCTGCTACTGTACACTACAAAAAAATGGTACTTCAAGAGTTCTTTAGTAAAACAAATGGTTCTACTGAAAGAACCCTGTGCATGACTAAAGGGTTTTTGTTTCATGAAAGCGTTCTTCAGACAGACAGAGAATGTGCCGTAGATGGTTCTATATAGAACCATTTTGAAAATAGCACCCACAAGGGTTCTTCTATTGTTAGTGTCGAGCTTCTAACAATAGAAGAACCCTTTACAGTGCTACATAGAACAATTTTCAGAAAGGTTCTATATAAAACCATCTATAGCACATTGATGCACATTCTCCTTCAGTCTGAACCCTCTAGTCATGCAAAGGGTTCTTTGAGTGTTCATGGTTCTATATAGAACCATTTTCTTCACTAAAGAACCCTTGAAGCACCATCTTTTAAGATTGTAGTTTGTCTGTTCTCTTGGGAATCAGAATCAGAGGAATTTTTGAATGGAAGGTTTCACAGCAGCTCACAAAGTTGGTAACAGAAATTCTACATAGACATCCAGAACTGAAGTCTGCCTCACAAACATGCCGACATACAAACTGTGGAAAATGAAAGTCAGCTCATCTTAATATTTAAGGTAACTGATTACACTGCTTTTCTTGAGTTCTAAGTTCAGTCAGAAGTTCTCCTAACTCAGTATTTCTTAGTTCTGCATCTCAGTAAACAGTACAGAATCTTTTTTTTACTCAGTTTCCCCACTAGCTGGTACTGTTTCCATCATACAATAGATAGACAGCTGCACAACTCAGGAGCCACTGAAATTACTCAGACTAACTACAAATAAATGAATTCATATTAATGAATTAATTAATGAATTCGGTTCCATTCTGCTTCACATTTAGTGCATAACATTTTTGTACAGCATACCTATTGTTATTGTTATTGAAAAGGGTAATAATTGCATGCATACTTGTGAGAAATATTTTGATCCAAACATTGTATCACATATGACTGAACTCTTGAGTCTGACTCTTTTCTCCCTGTCGTGGCTGAATAATATTAACAGAAGAAAAAATAAACATCTCATCATTTCATATTTAGTTCTCTTCCACAACTCATACTTTTCAGCAATTAACTGGTACAAAAGGAGACCTCATGTTTTTCCCATTAGTCTCCAGAACTTATTACAACTAAGTGTATATGTTAATCTCCTCTATATTGAGAGAGAATTGAAAAACAAACTTCATTAATACAACATTCAGATCTTATTTCTTTTGACGCATAGAAAAGTTAAGAAATACATTCGTTCTTCTTTAAGGGCTGTTCTGTAAGAAATTCAGTGTTGAGGTCATTATTTTATTGAAGTAACAGTGTATACTTGAGTGAGGCTTTAGGTTTCTGTTCTGTTGACTTATACAAGCATGTATGTACATATTTAACATTGTCTATAGTTGTCACAAATTATCATAATCAGATTTTCCATTTCTTATGAATGCACAGAAGAAACAGTTTGACACATCCTTCCTGGTGGGTGTAGATGGTCTTAAGTTTGCAGAAAGCGGAAACCAGTCATCTGATGCTAATGGAAAAAACTGCACATCTGTTATGATGAACAAACCCTGGGGTGAAACAGGTAGGAGACAGAGAGGTTTAATAAAGAATCAAATTCTGTAAATGAGTAAACGATAACCAGCAGTAACAATGGACATAAAATGAAAACAACGTGTAAGTGCACAAAAACACAGTCACAACCAGCTTTAATGATAATGGAAGAAAAAGTAGGAAGGTGTAAAGAATGTCATCTGTGGTTTTCTCAGTATATGCATCTGCAAAAAAAGGAAATGAAGTAAATAACAATAATATGAACAACAAAAACAACAACAGTAATCATCTAAAAAGAAGACAGAAAAAAATAAATAGAAAAACAAAACATAATAGTCATAATAGTCATAATAATAATAATAATAATAACAATAATAATCACTTAATTTAAGACCATATAATTATGCCTACACTCTTAAAAAAGGTGGTTCAAGGGTTCTTCAATAAAGAAAATGGTTCTATATAGAACTGTGAACACTCAAAGAACTCTTTGCATGATTAAAGGGTTCTTTGCATCGTGAAATTGTTCTTCAGATTGATGGAGAATCTATCGTATATGATTCTATATGAAACTTTTTGAAAAGGGTTCTATATAGCACCAAAAAGTCTTCTTCTAGTGGTATGGTGTCAATAGAAGAACCTGTTTGGGTGCTACATAGAACCCTTTTCAAAAAGGTTCTATATAGAAGCATCTAATGCACATTCTTCATAAATATAACTCTTTCATGATGCAAAGAACCCTTTCATACAAAGCGTTCTTTGAGTGTTCATGGTTCTATATATAACCCATTTCTTTACTAAAGAACCCTTGAAGAACCACCTTTTTAAGAGTGTAGTTTATGACTAATTCACTAAAGAGCTCAGTGTGACGTACCTGTATAAACTGTGTTAGTTGTTATAACAGTATCTGTTGTTGCAGTAGCCTCTTCATGGACACTGAGGTTTGTGCCACGTCCATTATGCTGAAACATTCTCCCATCAATCCGGCAGATGTAATTGCAATAGTACTTGCCGGTGTCGTTCACTTCAAGTGTGGTCAGTGAGAGGCTACCACTCCACCGGCTGCTGTCCGTGAGCTCGTGAAATCGTCCTCTGAACTGCGAGAGTTGTTTGACCTCTGGCCATCCGTCCTCACTCTTCCTGTACCACTCTACGTGGCAAATGGAAATATTCTCTCCTCCGTCTGCAGAAATCTCGCAGAACATGGTGGTATTTTCTCCAATTGTTTGATGCACTGCTGATGGCTGCTGCTCCACGCGGACATTACAATGGACGAATGCTATATTCGGGCATAAAAGGTAGTAAAGCAGATAAGGCTAAAAATAAAGAGTGATAAAGGCAGTTGACACTGAAGAAGTTTTTTTTGGGTACATTCTTAAAAAATAATACTTTTGGCAACTTTATTTTTTAAAAGTGTCCTCTCGATGTCTTGGCAGACAAAAACATAGTCCCTTTAACCCCAGGGGTCTGAATTTGGGGCAGAGGTTATTTAATCTATGGGTGTGTTTACATGCACTTAATAATCTGATTATAATTGGATTTCTGGAGTTATCTGATTATTCAAATTGTCATGTTAACAGCATACTCTGATTTCTTTTATGGGAGTAAGGTCTACAAATCTGATTAAGAAATCCAATAAAGAGAGCTGGATTTTAGCTCAGTAATCAAATTTCTCTGTAATCTCTTACTCGGATTTCACTTATTCAAAGCCTAGTTAATGATTATTATTCTTTTATTTATTGATTTAATGTTTGTTAGATGGTAGATCTTTTTGAAAGAGCTGGCAGCCAATGTCTAAGTTAACCACAGTAAATGGCTGTAGTTCATTATATTCATTTCATACAGTGTTCAGCTGTAGGTTTTGTTATGGCCTGTATTCTTAGTGCTCCGGTTTCTACCCACAGTCAAGACATGCAGTCAGGCCAATTGGACGTGATAAACTGCTTATAGGTCTGTGTGTGTGTGTGTGTATGTATAGGTCTGTCTGCCCTGTGATGGATTGGCGACCTGTCCAGGGTGTTTCCTTCTGCCTTCTGCCCATTGGCTGCTGGGATAGGCTCCAGCACCCCCAGGGACCCAGAAGGATAAGCGGCTTAGAAAATTGTGTGTGTGTGTGTGTGTGTGTGCGTGTTCTTAGTAAAAATAGCTCCAATAAAGGGGTCTAGGAATTCCTTTTTTAATGCCAAATGAAACCATTAAAAAAAAAGAAAAATCATTAAAAGATTAGAGGCATTAAAAGAGGAATTCCTAGAACCCTTCTTTGGAACTATATAGAGCTATTCTCACTAAGAACACAGACTTTTGCTGCAAAACTGTAGGTTTTTGAAACCAATTAGACAGAATTTACACTACCTGACAGATGGATAACAGCGAAGAGGAAACCATGAGATAGCATGTTTCTGTGGAAAAAAGAAAACATCAGTACTTGCACAATCTCTTTATGTAACATTTCTCAACTGATTTCCTCCTGCCACAGCCACCTTTGCCTGTGCTGTACTGACATGTAGCTAACAGAGGAGCATGTACAGTGTCAGAAGAAGAATATTGTACAGGCACGTTTTAGTCTCCCAAAGTACAAACAATGTAAACGAGTCCTTAAAAGTACAGAACTGTCCTTAAGGGCCGATTGTGTGAAGTCTGTAAGTAAGTCTGTAAGTAAACTGCATTGGGTTGTCTGTAAATCATTGGCTGACATGGTAATAAAATTCTTACACTGATGTACTTTGTACACCTACTTTCAAATGATTATGATAATTCAAGTTGAGCTAATTTAGGGTGACTTAAGAAAAAGGCCCCAGGGCAATTTATCCCCCTCCCACAAAAACACCTTATTTTCTCTCAGTTTCAATACATTTCTCAATTGCTATGGTCTAATTAATCCAATCTATTTTTTAATTATGATTATTGAGGTGTTGTGGAAAGAGCAGGTTTTATATTTGTTTCTTTTGAAGTGAAAATGTAAAGTTAGATTTTTAACCTTAAAGTTAGACCCTTATTATTATTATTATTATTATTATTATTATTATTATTATTCATTTTCAATGCTTTTTACCCCAGGTAGGGGGTCTTCTTGCCCTTTTTTGTGGGGTAAGAGGCCCCTTTTAAAAAGTTTATTTTTATGCTATAAAAATGTTCCAGTGTAGTTCCTCTGACTGAGTGTTCGTGCATCAACATTGTGCACAGGATAAACTCACAGATATGGTTTAGTTTTACAGTAAATGGGTGCTGTTTTCCCTGAAATTCCTCTAATACTTTCACTCTGGTAAAGTGTTAGAGAGTTACTTTCATTTTTATTTCTTTATCATTCTGAACTGTGTACCTGTAGTTTTTGACTTATCTTCTAACACAGTATGTGAAGATCGCTTAATACATAGAAAAATATGGCTTAATACAAAAAAAAGATGTGTCCTCTTCCCTGTACAGTAATGTTACATTTGATATGACTAATGGTGAACATTACTCTCAGTACAGTGACTCTATTTGTACAGTAAATGTGCAGCGATTGGAATGGATTTACTCTCAGTACAATGCACTCGACAGGTACAGTGACTGGTATGGATTTAGCTCCTTCTATGTTATATACATAAATGCTCTATTTGCTTTGACAAGCCCACCTTACAATAAATAAACTATCTGGCCAAACACGTCCCCATACATTAAGTGAAGCAGCATGAAATGATGTAAGTATCCAGCCCTTTTTCAAAGAGTAAATTGCTGCTAAAATAATATACAGCAAGTTATAACTTATGACTTACCTATCTACTCACCAAACAGTAGTGCTTCTTAATGTTGATTGTACTTCTCTTCCGCTCCACTTTGTTCCACTTTGATGGAACAAAGAGAAAAGTATGTGATGGAGGGGGCTTTGAGGGGGCTTTCACACTTCTCTAGAGGCAGGCTTCACTCATTTCCTTGCTGATTTTTTTCAGAACTGTATCTCAGTTGTTACTCACTTGTTTTTACACATGTAAAAGAAGTAAAAGTACAAATACTAAAAATATTCTAAAAAAAAAGTTTTAGTACAGTTTCAAATTATTTGTTTTTTTAATTAAAGCACAGAAGTGTAAACTTTCAAATTTACATAAAGTATAAAAGTAAAAGTAGCCCCTAAAATAGGGGTTTGTAGGAAATGAATCAAGAAAGACTCATAAATGAAAGAGTAATAAAGCCATGGATGAGGAAAAGCTTGCAACACAGTTGTTTCCACAACACTGGCTGGTTTAATATTGGTTGAAATTGAATTGTCTTTCATGTTAGTGAATGTATTGATGAATTTTATGCTGTGAATCTCCCACTTTACCACATCCCAAAGGAGCTCTTTTGGATTCAAATCTGGTGACCAGTGAGGTCACTGAAGTACACTAAGTTTGAAATGACAAAGTGCTTTGTGATAAGGTGCATTATCATGCAGAATAATGGGTATTGTAGCCATTAATGGAGGCACATGCTCAGCAATGATACCCAGAGAGATTGGGGTACTCAAATGGTGCTTGACTGGTATTAGATTGTTCAAAGTGTGCCAAAAAACACCAGCTTGAAGTGTTGACACAAGGCAGGTTGGTTCTGTGGATTCATACATTTTACACCAAATTTTTTACCATGCAATCTGCATGTTGCAGCAGAAATCAAGACATATCAGACCAAGCAATTTTTGTACAATCTGTGACTGTCTAGTGTTGATGAGCCTACGCCCACTGTAGCCTCAGATTCCTGTTCATGGCTGATTGTGGTCTAACCTGATGAGGCATTTTGCTGTTGTAGCCCACCCACCTCAAGATTGACATGGACACTGGGTGATGCTTTCTGATGTCAACTGTTGTAAAGAGTGGTTATTCAAGTTACTGTAGCCTTCTTGTCTGCTTAAATAAGTCTGGCCATTCTCCTGTGTCCTTTTTCATGAACAAGACATTCCTGGCCACAGAACTGCTGCTTTTATGCATTGAACTCCTGCAACTACTGGATAGTTGCATGAATGAGCAGATGTACAGTTGTTCCTGATAAAGTGATTAGTGGATATATATTAATAAAATATAATAACTCTACAGCTCCAATTCCAAAAAAGTTAGGACAGTATGTGAAATGCTAATAAAAACGGAAAGCAATGTTTAGTAAATTCTGTTTGACTTGTATTCAATTGAAAACAGTATAAAACCACAATATTTGTTGTATTACTTTATCAACTAAATAAATGCTCAATCCAAATTTAATGTCTGCAAAACTGAGAAGAAAGCAGAGGGTTATCATTTGAAATTTAGCAAGTACAAGACAAAAGTCTGAAAAACTCAAGCACAGAACAAATATTTGAGAATCGTTAAGCTCAGCAGCAATTTTTAGTTTACTCCTAAGTGTTTCTTAACTTCTGGTTATGAAGCAACAGGAAGTCAACAGAATGAAAATGACTTGTCAAAAAAAAAAGGAAGAAAAATGAAAAACAGCATGCTTGTCAAGTAGATCACACAATCTATAGCTCTTGCGGCAGTTTAGTGCTTCAGCTCTGAGGACAGTGGCTTACCATCAATGGTAATGTTATCTATCAAATGTACATGTACTTTTGAAAAATTATAGTAAAATAGTAAAATATGAGCAGTACTTAACACTTCATCATTCAGTAAAGAGTCTTATTTTGAGAAATTAGAACAGTTTTAGAATGAAGTCATAAAATCTAACTACTTGTGTATCTTTGCTTGCCTGTAGATGCCGCTTTCACAGTGGATAGCAGCCATTTCCATATGCTGTATGCTAACTGATCCTGTCACCAGCTCCAAGGGTAAGATTTTGTATTGACATTTACAATGTTGTACAAACACTGAACATTATTTGTGTCCTTGAATTTTATCTGTGCACTCAGTGTTGTAAAACATGTCAGTTAATAAGATATTACATCATGGTCTATCTTCAGGACACTGGAGTATCAACTTGCCGGAACGAGAGTTTAACATTGCAAAATACACTAACATCACCATTAAATGCAAAGTGACATATCCTGATCCTGAAGCAGCCAAACGGAACATCCAGGCCTTTTGGAAGACGAAAGACAAAGGAAAAATGAGTATAAATAATAATGACAAGAACATGTTCATCTTTCATCCCAATGACTCTTTTGTGATTGAGAGCTTTCAGAGAAGAACACAACTCCTTGGAAATATTAGTAATCATGACTGTTCTCTGTTAATCATCCGTGCACGAAGTACTGATGTTGGGCAGTACTACTTTAGAGTGGAGACTGGATCAGATAATTACAGCTTTGTTCAGAAGAATGAAATCATACATAGTAAGTATCCACAAGTATTTCAGCAAACCTCACAATCCTTTATGCAAGACTATAGCAAAACAATGTAAACACATCTGTGCTGAGAAATCTTAACTTGTGCCACACAGAAATTGGTAAAGGTTCTGAGTCATGTTTGCCTGCAAATGCAACTATAAAGTATGATGTGCAGAGGTGGGTCAGGTAGTCTAAACCCAGTCTAAGGTAATATAAGTCCATAGAATGTCAGTGGAAGTACATCCAGCATATCTCAGCACTGGAACTAATGCTTATTATAATAATTAAAGTCAGCTCAAATTATAAGGTAACTGATTTCATGACTTTTTGAATTACATTAACTTAGGTTTAGTAAATGATTAAAACAAAACCCTCTAAAATCAGCTGCCTTATACTTTTTAGATGTCCTGATTACTTTTATTGTGTGTTCATATATATATATATATACGTGTGTGTGTGTGTATATATATATATATATATATATATATATATATATATATATATAGATAGATAGATAGATAGATAGATATAAAACCCTGGACACTGAAAAGTACGGCCAACAGCAAAGCAGTCCAGGTGCTGAACCAACAAAACAATATGATATATAGAAGAAATATACTTGAACAGAATTAAATGCATCAGTGTTTGGAAATATTCAGAGAATAACAACTCTATCAGTTTTTCTTAAAGGGGAATTCTGCAGACTTTTCAAATTTTCTGCAGATTAAATGGCTAAGTTGTAAACAAAGCCTTTCAGGGTGGATTGGTGTGAATGGTCTGTTCTAGAGAAACTTACAGAGTCAGAATTGTCCACAATGGTGGTTATAGGAATTTGAGTTTAATGCCTCTGAAATCTCTCTCACAGAAAGTTATTACATGAAGTAATTTTTCAGTGCTTGATATGTGATGAGACAATAGTTTTGTGAAGGTTGTGGCCAAAACATGCATTTTTAAATCCACTCATGATGGAGAGGTACATGCAGGGTGTTTTTTCAAGCTTACCTCTATTTTACCATCATCAAAATTCCACACAAAAACTCAGAAGACCTCTGAAGGTTCCATAACTAATGAAGGTTGCGGGGGAGGGCGGCACTCAGTGGGGTGTGAGAGGTGCGACCATGTAACTGATACAGCTTGCACATACTGCGCATTCACACATTCAGTGTTTGTGCTGCTGAGCGAAAAGCAAGAAAGATCTGCAGATATACTTTAACCGAACAGATAAACAGTCAAATCACTAGTGTTTTAAATTACAAATATATGCACTTAATAATGATAAATTAATATTATGATTATAATTTACACATATTCACCCATGATTCCTGCTCTTACTTCAATGTCCTTCCCCCAAATTAAATGTCTGTTATCAGGTTAAGATGTAAATTCAAAATTCACTGGTGTTGGATAGTAAATAAAATGCCTGTATTTGCGTTTTAGACTCCTGGTTCCAATCACTACCAATTTAAACAAATCAGAGCTACAAGTTCCTTTATAATTAAACATTTTACATCAAACCACTATGCATGAAAAACTAGTGGAATTTCCTTTTAAGTACATGTAACTGAGTACAAGTAAGTGTTACCACCCATCTCTAATAAAGTAGCTTGCTGCTTTATTTCTCTTGACCTTACCATCAGGCCATATTTTCAGGTCAGTGTCCTGACCATTAACTGTGTTTACATGCACACCAATTGTTCAGTTTTATACCACTAATCTGACTATGCTATGGTCATGTAAACAGCACAGTTTGAGTGTCACAGTTCCACTACAGTCTTATCAGATCTGAACTTAGTGCAATTAAATTGTGGTAACAGAAAATGATATCGAACATACTGTCAGAGATCAGGTTTAATGTGTAGATCTCTCCACAGTGTTTGGTACATTTTGCAGCATTTTCTGCAGTACCGCACTTGTGATGAGAGCTTCATGACACCAAAAACAAACATGGTGAAAGGGCTGGGCTTCCTGGAGAAGGAAGAGATGTCCCCAATGTAAAGCATTTTGCCAGAAAGAGATTTCATTTCATATTTGAAAGGATAGGCAGAAGGAATATATTACTTTAATACAGATAGAAACTCATCCAAGGATAAACTTAGATGTGTCATGAAGGGGCCTTTTATGATTGCAAATTCAGATTATAATGGTATGAACAATAAGTAGACTACAAATCGACTATAAATGGACAACTCAACGCAATGTTTTAGAAAATTGAAAACTGACTCAATCAAGTTCAGCAACATGGGGAATTTTGGTTAACAAGTTTCTGCAAGTCTACTAATAGCAAAATTTAGCTGAAGTGAATGATCACTGCTTCAGTAAAACTGTGACTTGAATGAACCTCTTCTGATTCTGAGGTACAGTTTGCTCTGCATGACCTTGTTTAGTCCTCATATCTTGCTTTTCGCAGCTTCTGATGTTCTTGTCCACAGTGGTTGTAGACACTTGAATAGTTGCTGTTTGTCTGAAGAACTTATTTCTTGACAGGATTCTAAAAAAGAGTTATTTTTTTTAGCTAACCAAACATATTTTGGAATCTTTAAAGAGTCGGTGGGTGATATGGCAAAAATTTAATATCATTTCAAAAAGATGATTCTTCAAAGGTACTTTAGTAAAGAAAATGGTTCTATACATTTTCTCATGTTGCCCAGCCTTACTTTACAGTGTCCTTCAGAATTCTTGGAACCTTTACTAAAGATTAGCTAATAAAATTATTTTGTGTGTTGTTATCAGCTTGATGCTTCACTGAAAGTATGAGAGAAATTTAGCTTCAGAGGTAAAATTACCCCCCCCCCAAAAAAAAACAAAAAAAAACTCCTTACTAATGTGTGTTAGCACTGACACCTCTGCATTTGGTTACACCCTTAACCAAGATAACTGCATCATGTCTTATCTTATAATGCTTCTCTTAGTGATCTCCATTACCAAACTTCAGATCCTTCAGAGTCCTTGGTTCTTGCTTGTAGACTCTCCTCTTCAGCACACCTACATTATTTTAATGAGGATTAGTTCAGGCGATCAGTATGGCCACTGCAAATGAATGACTCAGTGGTCAGAGAACCATTTTTGAGTAGATTTGGAGGTTTGCAAACCACAAGCCAGTGTTAGGTGTTAACCTATTGCCAAACAGATCCACCACTACACAGTGAGGACTACACTTTTTATTTCTGCATGTCTGTGACCCACCTCTGGTGTTTGATTAAAAAATATGGTAACACTTTATTTGGATGGTCCACTGTAGATGCTTTGTAAATGCTCAGTATATCTTTAAGTAACATTCAACTAAATATCTATCAACTGTAACCTGATGTGAAGTTGAGTGTTATTTGGATGGTCCACTGTAGATGCTTTGTAAATGCTCAGTCTGTCTTCAAGTAACATTCAACTAAATATCTATTAAATGTAACGGAACTTCAAGTTCAGTATGAAAGATTTTATTAAATCTATTCCTAACCCTAAACCTAAACCTAACCCTAACCTTAAATTCAAGGCAAAACCTACACCTACTCCTAACCCTAACCATAGCCATACTGTTGTTGATAATCAGCTGAACATCACCAGAAAGTTTGCTAGTGATTTAGATATCTGTAGAGCATCTATAGGGGACCATTCAAATAAAGTGTGACCAAAAATAATAATAAGAAAAAAAAACTCTTTTTATGATCTTTGTATGGAGCCCACACTGTGAAAAGTGGAGCAGGGCAAACTGATTGTTCATCTTAACAAAAATTTTGCCTTGCATTGTTGCATTTGAAGTACTTATTTGTTGAATAAAATCAGTTTAATAGTTTGTCATCACATGAATTAATGTTGAACTGAGAAAACTTTAGTGTTTAGTGTGGTGTACCAGTGATGCTTAACAAACCTATATTTGTGGTCTGATGACAGCAGACACATTTCTCTGGCCTTCCATATAGTTTGTTGCCATGGAAATGTTAAATGTGATTGTAGAGTACTAAGTACTATAGACTAAGATTTATAATTTTATAGACTATTTTATGACTGTTGTTCAGTATTAAATACTAAAAAAGCATTATAGACTGCTACATACCATTTTGAAATTCATGAAAAAGTTTTTTTTAAAAAGTGTGTAGGGGAGAGCGAGGCACAACCTAACACATTTTGTTTTTTTTGAATAACTTTAAAAATATTTAAGCTGGAATAATCATATTTTTATACAACATAAAACTAACATAAAACATGTACATCTCTGCTACAGATAAACACTTAAACTTTGTTTCTAGCATCTATTGTTCATGTACAGTTCCACTGAAAATGACAGGAAGCGCAATGTTACAGTTTATCATGTGGGTGGGGTTCACTGTAAGAGACAGAGGGTTAGTTGTAACACTTGCTAGAAAAGTCTGATGAATTAGTGCAAAGTTAATTAAATATAATTACATTTTGTAAGAAACAAATATAATTTCCAACCATACTGCATGATATATTATCCCTCTATAAGCCAGACAGACAGCTCAATCGATAGATACACACACACATCAAATCATACATGAAAACTGACACAAGGCTGTGTATCAAACAATGACAGATTTATTTTTCTTCGGTTCAGGACAGCAAATAAAAAACCTCACAAATCAGTAAAATATGACATACAGTTTCTGAATATCTACAGCTTTACCAACAGTTAATGTCAATTTTATTAATATACTTATTTAAAACCAAAATACTAACATCTGAAAGATACTAATAAAGTAGAAAAAATCCTTGTGTTCACGTTTTCTCTCTTTCATTTTAAAATCTGTGCAAACATACAGAACAAAAAGACAACATTTACTTTGTTTGTCTTTGTTTACTAAAGGTGGCTTAGTTGTAATGTCATCAGAGGTTTTACTTAAGCCTAATGTGCTATGTTGTAGGATTTTGTGATTCACACAAACAGCTCAGTAACTGGAAAAAAACTTGAAAATGTTGAAAAATATTACCTACATGCCCTGAAAACACTCTGCCACAGATCTCTTTAAAACGCAGACGAATCACTCTGAATTTTGGCAGGAGACTGTAGCTAGGACATGTGGTAATGTGGCCAGAAGCACACACTGCTTGTCCTTCTTTAACAACATAAAAAGTCTGTGTTCATTTGTGCCCCACTTTAGGTTGTTCCCCGCGCTCCTCTACTCACAGTACAAATTTAATATGTAAACTTATGTCCCAATTATTGTTGCATGTTATGTGTTCAGTTGTAGATGTCAACTCTAGTGTTTCAGGGAATGAAGACATTCAAGGTGAGTGTGATCAATTCTCTGATAATCTACAGTCATGTACGTTTGTCAATATTTCTTCAAAATTTTGTAATCATAATTTCAATTGTATTAGTGTTTGCGCATCACCTGCACTTGTGTCTGATTCACTGTATAAATAAAGTAGCTTGCTGCTTTAAAGACATATAAGTGTAGAATGGCCTAGTCAGAGGGGTATAATCTTCACTTGTTGTAAGAAACGAATATTTCTCTTGACCTCACCATCAGGCCATATTTTCAGGTCAGTGTCCTGACCATTAACTGTGTTTACATGCACACCAATTGTTCAATTTTATACCACTAATCTGACTATGCTATGGTCATGTAAACAGCACAGTTTGAGCGTCACAGTTCCACTACAGTCTTATCAGATCTGAACTTAGTGCGATTAAATTGTGGTAACAGAAAATGATATCGAACATACTGTCAGATATCAGGTTTAATGTGTAGATCTCTCCACAGTGTTTGGTACATTTTGCAGCATTTTCTGCAGTACCGCACTTGTGATGAGAGCTTCATGACACCAAAAACAAACATGGTGAAAGGGCTGGGCTTCCTGGAGAAGGAAGAGATGTCCCCAATGTAAAGCATTTTGCCAGAAAGAGATTTCATTTCATATTTGAAAGGATAGGCAGAAGGAATATATTACTTTAATACAGATAGAAACTCATCCAAGGATAAACTTAGATGTGTCATGAAGGGGCCTTTTATGATTGCAAATTCAGATTATAATGGTATGAACAATAAGTAGACTACAAATCGACTATAAATGGACAACTCAACGCAATGTTCTAGAAAATTGAAAACTGACTCAATCAAGTTCAGCAACATGGGGAATTTTGGTTAACAAGTTTCTGCAAGTCTACTAATAGCAAAATTTAGCTGAAGTGAATGATCACTGCTTCAGTAAAACTGTGACTTGAATGAACCTCTTCTGATTCTGAGGTACAGTTTGCTCTGCATGACCTTGTTTAGTCCTCATATCTTGCTTTTCGCAGCTTCTGATGTTCTTGTCCACAGTGGTTGTAGACACTTGAATAGTTGCTGTTTGTCTAAAATATTTTAAACACTAAAAAAGCATTATAGACTGCTACATACCATTTTGAAATTCATGAAAAAGTTGTTTTTAAAAAGTGTGTAGGGGAGAGCGAGGCACAACCTAACACATTTTGTTTTTTTTGAATAACTTTAAAAATATTTAAGCTGGAATAATCATATTTTTATACAAGCAACATGTACATCTCTGCTACAGATGAACACTTAAACTTTGTTTCTAGCATCTATTGTTCATGTACAGTTCCACTGAAAATGACAGGAAGCGCAATGTTACAGTTTATCATGTGGGTGGGGTTCATTGTAAGAGACAGAGGGTTAGTTGTAACACTTGCTAGAAAAGTCTGATGAATCAGTGCAAAGTTAATTAAATATAATTACATTTTGTAAGAAACAAATATATTTTCCAACCATACTGCATGATATATTATCCCTCTATAAGCCAGACAGACAGCTCAATCGATAGATACACACACACATCAAATCATACATGAAAACTGACACAAGGCTGTGTATCAAACAATGACAGATTTATTTTTCTTCAGTTCAGGACAGCAAATAAAAAACCTCACAAATCAGTAAAATATGACATACAGTTTCTGAATATCTACAGCTTTACCAACAGTTAATGTCAATTTTATTAATATACTTATTTAAAACCAAAATACTAACATCTGAAAGATACTAATAAAGTAGAAAAAATCCTTGTGTTCACGTTTTCTCTCTTTCATTTTAAAATCTGTGCAAACATACAGAACAAAAAGACAACATTTACTTTGTTTGTCTTTGTTTACTAAAGGTGGCTTAGTTGTAATGTCATCAGAGGTTTTACTTAAGCCTAATGTGCTATGTTGTAGGATTTTGTGATTCACACAAACAGCTCAGTAACTGGAAAAAAACTTGAAAATGTTGAAAAATATTACCTACATGCCCTGAAAACACTCTGCCACAGATCTCTTTAAAACGCAGACGAATCACTCTGAATTTTGGCAGGAGACTGTAGCTAGGACATGTGGTAATGTGGCCAGAAGCACACACTGCTTGTCCTTCTTTAACAACATAAAAAGTCTGTGTTCATTTGTGCCCCACTTTAGGTTGTTCCCCGCGCTCCTCTACTCACAGTACAAATTTAATATGTAAACTTATGTCCCAATTATTGTTGCATGTTATGTGTTCAGTTGTAGATGTCAACTCTGGTGTTTCAGGGAATGAAGACATTCAAAGTGAGTGTGATCAATTCTCTGATAATCTAGTCATGTACAGTTGTCAATATTTCTTCAAAATTTTATAATCAATTTCAATTGTATTAATGTTTGCACATCACTTGCACTTGTGTCTGATTCACTGTCAGAACTACTTATATGCACTTTGTCGATCACTTTTCTATATTACAGGTGTCACTGAACCAGCAGCTACATCAGGTCATCCATGCAAGTATTAAGAGAAAGTTTCTTTAAAGAAATTAGTCTCCCAAAATTGTACAAGCAGCACTATAATTGAATAATTTTACATAGACAGGGATGACTTTATTGTACAATGTGAGTACAAGGTGATGAAATAAAGATTGCCATCTACCAGAAGCGGTAGCAGGTAGTAGCAAAGTGCAGGTGATGTACAGTAAGTAGAAAATGTACTATAAGTAGTGATTATGTACAGTAGTTTACTGGGGATAAACAAAATGAGAAACTTATAGGTTCATGGAAATTAATGATGTATAGATTGTGAATATTTATGGCTAATTTAGATTTCCTTACAGAAAAAACTTGCCAACCCATACATTTTTATAAGTCTTTTTTTAACCCAAAGCTCAAATTAAGTTGGCTAAATGAACACATGAAACACTAACAGTACTTGCAGCATTTACAGTACTTTCTAATAACATGATTTGCTCTTTAACGGCCAAAACAGGCATTTAAACAAAAAATCAGTTGGTAACTTTAGGGCAGGCAGACGAGAAGGCAGATGTTTTTTTGAATATTTCAGATGAACTTGAGTCCAGAGAAGTTGGCAGTGTTTCTGAACATTGTTGACATATGGCTTCCTATGTGCACAGTATAGTCTTGACTTACATTTGAAGATGCAGTGATGAACAACAGTTATTTACAGTAGTTTGTATTCCCAAGCCCATATGATGATATCCATCACAGAAACTTGCCAGTTTTTAATGCAGTGCTGTCTGAGGCATCAAAGGTTGTGGGCATTTACTTACTTTTTAACTTTTTTTTTTTTAGAATTTCTATATCTTTTGATGATATTATGCACTGCAGAGGGCGAAATATGTAAAATCCACCAATTGCTTGTTGAGGAACATTATTCTTAGACTGTTTCGTTATTTGCTGATGCAGTCCTTATTCACAAAGGTCCAGGGCTCTCCTGGATATTTTTCTTGATACACAAGCATGATTGCATCACCTGTTTAATATGCTTTTTAAACATTTCACCACATCCTTAGTTATGCATTTTTCTTGTCTCAACTGTTTTTGGAGTGTATTGCAACCATACATTTCAGAATGAGCATATATTTACAAAAACAATGAGGATGATAAGGCAAAACATTAAGCATCTTGCTTCTGTACTGTTTTTGTTTCAACAGAGGTAAAAGTGGATTTACAATCACCGTGTTCTGTTTCTGTTTGCATTTCACATACTGTCCCAACTATTTTGGAATAGAATTTGTAACACAGATCAGTCAAAATTCAAACAATCAACTGGCTGGTTACATGTTTAGAGCAAACATTCTTATCTTGGTCGATATATATGTGTGTGCGTGAGTGTGTGTGTGTGTGGTGTGTGTGGTGTGTGTGTAAATTCAGGTACACCATGTGTAATTTACAGACCTTGTGTCTTTATTTTATAACAGCAAATTCCAGAGTGGAGGCCATTAGCATCTCTGTCCCTGTGGTTCTTATCCTGCTTGTTGCAGCTGTGATTGTGATAGTGCTTCTCCTCAGACGAAAAAAACGGTGGGCCTCATTTACACAGACGTCAGTAGTTTCATAAATCTAGCACAGCATTTTGCTAATTACTGACATGTTCAGTGTACCCAAGTGACAGAAATGCTACCTTATTATGTGCACAAATTCTGAATGGAAAATTACAGGAGTTAATCTGAATTCATTAAAGTTTTAACATAAAGGATTCTTGTACAGAAAGCATAAGAACATGAGCATTTATAGAAACACTGGTTATGTTGCAGAAGAAGAAATCCTGTGAGACAAGAGATGAATTACTATGAAAACCTTCAAGTGCCTTGTGGGAAGCCACGTGATGATGGGTGAGAAACTGCTTTTGCAAACAAAAACTGCATATCCAGCTTTTATTGTCCCTGCTATTGCACTGAACACTAAAAGACAACAACAAAACAAAAAAGACCCAGAGTTCACTGCACGTGCGTGGCCTCTGATTTTGCAACTTCTTTTTAAAAGAGATAAAGCAAAATTCTGCAAAGGGGCTCTCCAACCTCACCCATGAGCCACATAAACCATCTGCAATTGCCAAACAGTCACACCTGACACCCCAGTACTCCCACTACAGTCCTCCCTCCTTTAAAACAGTTTGCTCCATCTCTTGGTCTAAGAATGAACAGACCTATACAGAACAGAATGAGGTATAAAAAAAATATTTTTGAATAGAATGTTTTCTATAGAATCTTGAAGAAATGTGAATATTAATATTACCATAAGTACTGTCAAACACAAGCATAGCACCTCAAAAATTATATATTATAATAATATTATTAATTTTATCAGCTGCATCAGGCCCATTCAAACCAGCTCCCTCGGACTTCCTTTTACACATTTTCCAATATGAAATGCTATTTATACATTGGCTTGGCTGAATACTTGATGGTTATTATTTACTGATAGATGTGCATCCGTACTGCCCAGTATGCCTATCTAATCAGCTATTTTCAATTTTAAATTCAATATTTAATCCATAGTCAGTATCAGTCCATTGCTTTCCATTTTGCAGTGGTCAAGGGTTACTAGTAACTAAACCTTGACTGAGAGACTAGATAATCACTGCCTGTTTTAAAATGATGTGCGCCTATGAGGAGTGCGCCATCACGGCCATATTTAGTCTGGACTGGACTGGTCTCCACAGAGATTGCTGCTGCAAAGTACAAGTTTTATTTTAAGGACATGGATGTGAAAACGTTAATGCACAATGTAGTTTTCTTTTCCAAGCTAGTTTGTGAACACTGTTTCTTGTTGGTGTTCATCAAACGTAGCAAATAAACAACAAACAAGTTGTATTTCACTCTCACAGACTTGAGAGAGATACACTGCCCAGCTGGCTCATCAACTTTCATCGGTTAAATATTGCTGTTTTTTGCTGAAGTCAAACTTGGAGAGGAGAGAACACAAGTTTACCTGTTAGCTGTTACTGCAGTTCACTCTCACAGTTTCTTTGTTTCTTTGTTTGTGATGAATAGTTCTGCTTCATTCTCTCATAAAAGTTGTAAATAATAAGCTGTTTTGACACGGGGAAGCTGAGGCCCTTAATTTGCAGGGCCCTATGCAATGTGTGTAGTAAGTGTACAGGGCCAACCGGCTCTGCTTATAGCTCAAATACAGTTCTCTGACACTGTCATGCATTTTTATTTTTTTTTATATCTGATAATAATCTTTACACAGGCATGACTCAACAGAGAAGGACGAGAAAGAGCAGGAACCACCGTCCACACCTGAAGACACATCCATTTACGCCAATGTCCAGGTAGCGTATGAAATGTTAAATAGTACTCAAGTTAAATTAATATGACTTGACAAAGAAAATTTTAAGCCCATGAAAAAAGTGTTGAAGTCAAGAACAATAGAGGAGAGTCTGAGCCAAGACTCAGACCTAAATACATTGTACATGATGCGTATAAATAAAAAATATTCTATTTCATAAAATATAATATTAAATAGCATTTAGTTTAAAATAATATAAAAAATTTGCATTGTAACTTTTGTTAAATAGCAAATGATGGTGAATTCATTTTTATTATTATAGAATAATTACATTTGGAGCCAATGAACAGCAACACACACACATAATACTCAGTTAAGTCATCATGGAAAGATTCAATAGGATTCTCGTCAGGTAGTGAACAGATTTTATTCAAACATGTAGAGAAAGGACTGTTTTATTCTGGTTCAATGTGTTGTTGATAGTTACTAATGATAAAAAAAAGAAGTCTCCAGTTATCTTAGATGGAGGCATCACACTCAGCTAAACTCTTACCCTGAGACAGAGACAAGACGCAGTCAAAATTATGAAAGACCAAGACCGTTAATTCATGGTCTCAAGACCGGTCTTGAGAGTGAAACCGGACTCAAGTACTACAACACTATTTAACACACTGAACTGAACATACATTATTATGAATGTCAGTAAATAACCAGATGCCCAAATAAAGCCTCTCTATGTGTCTTGTTTTGATTCACAGGGTGGATTTCTTGAGGAGCCTACTGATTTTGATCCAACAGAAAACATCTACTCTAATTTTGGCTATGATGTACAGCTGTAGGACAGAAAAAGCTCAACAAATACATGATCATGATACATACAGTCAAGCGATGGTCCTCCATGCTGAACTAATGTATCTAATGTATGTATGTGTGTGTGTGTGTATATATATATATATATATATATATATATATATATATATATATATATATGTGTGTGTGTGTGTGTGTGTGTGTGTGTGTGTGTGAATATTTTTGATTACATTTATTGTTTTATTTGATATTTATACTATATACTATTGTTCGTTTATGTTGTTTTTGTTTCTTTGTAAAGCGCTTGTACTGAAAGTGGTATTTAAATAAACTTTATTATTATTATAAATCAAGGGCTGTTAAACTGCTTGACAATTTGTGCTAATGCAGATCTTACAGTGATCTGTTAGTCACTTCCCTTTCGTTACTGACCTTGCACTCACCCCTTAAAGGCAGTGAAAAACAACCCTTTTCTGTTTTCTATGGTGCGATGTTTCACAGCTATGCACCAGAGGTGTTAGTGTCAGGGCTATTTCAGATCTATGGGGGAATTTACAAAGCAAGATTTCTCAGTAAGCTGGATAACTTCAGCCAAAACTGACGATTGTCCAGAAGGAGTGGTCATGATCTCTTCTTCTACTGAACAGACTTGACTTTGGGATTATCTGGATGACTAAGAATTCCTTAAAGTTTTTCCTTTAAAATGAACATGTAGAGGCACATGGCATATGCCACAAATGTACATTTTAACCTAACTGTTTTTATGTCTTCAATTCAATGCAATTCAATTCAATTTAAGAAACAGCTTCATCTCTTTGGGAGTCCCTTCAGAATGTGTTATTATGTAGTAGTAATGTATTGTTGCTGTCCAAAGAAAAGCAAGTATCTCCAAAATAGTCACTTTACAAGACAAAGCTGCTTGTTGATGTAAGTCAGTCATGTGATTTTGGAGCATTTCTTTCAGTCCATTCATCACATGATGTACAAGACAGCTGCTGCATTCAAATGATAGAGAAAAATAAAAATGGGCAAAAATGGAGATACATGTTTTTTTTAGACAACCATGATCTATGCTTGCATGCTGATGAGTATATGTATAGAATAGAATATACATATATAGACTTCAATGCTTACATGTTGATGATCATACTTAATGCACTTAGGGCACATTTAAAAAGACTCCCATTGCATTGTGGTGCCATGAGAGCAACAAAATAACCATAACAAATGGAAATTCAAAGCCAGTGATATTTTCTGATATGGTCTAGAAAAGAAAAAAGGGAACATAGCATTGTTTGATCTTTCATAACAGCCTAAATATGCATTAATATGTTATGTTATACATATTATATATACACATTAATTCATATACAATCAAAGGTAGATGAATAAATTATTACATAAGCACAATTAATGTCATAAAAATAAAAATAAGTAAATACACAACATTAACATTAAAAAAATGTAGACGGACCCTTTAATTTAGGCTGCCCTTGCTACAGCTTAGATGGAACCCAGCCTACAACATATGCATGTATTTAGCTGTAAAAAGTGACTTGTTAGCATGACAATTGATTATAGCTGACTAATTTTTTGATGGTTAACTTTGTTAATAAGTTAATCTTATGATCACATGTTATACTTCATAAAGTAGCTCACATTCACTCTTTTGTTTGTTCAGCAAAATTAGCCTATAACAGCAAGATACACAAATTATTAAATGCAGACTCATCATAAATACCTTGATGGCAACTTTTTTTCTGGTGACCTTTTAATTGATGATGGCTGATGGTCTCACTTTCCATAACTGGGTTGGCCAGAAGGGTGGCCATGCTTCGTGCTAGGATGGCCCATCCCTTGGCTACATCTCTGCAGCTGTACTTTCTGTACTGTTTTGATATCTGCAACATATTATACCAAAAAACACTATTACCTCTATTATCTGATATGTTGCTCTGTTATTGTACACATTGGACTCTTTTCAAATTTATAAATTAAAAATGATAATTATATAAAACCTTTTTTATTTTATGTTCATAACTTTGTTATAGATTAGATAAAGTGACAATGTGTAAGTGTGTAAATATTGCATTTTACTTTGCTTTAAACTCCCATCAAATCATATATAAATCTACATTAAACAAATAAATAATGAGAACATGGTTGAAGGAGCTGCACACAGTATTTACACTGAGAAAACAAATAGTTTCACCCATATGTCTGCAAACTGTCAGTTTCTCCTTTCACTGTTGAGGAAGTAGTATTAAAGAGGAAGTAGTACTGAGTTATCTGTTTAACTGGAACAGGGTACACTATGCTTGTTGTAATACTGCAACATTTGGAATTGCCTGTATTTGTTCTTTCCATGTTTTCAGTTTTTCAGATACCACACAATCAAATTGTGTTGTACAAAATCTTTTCCTTTGTTGACATAAATGGAGATGCAGTTGGTAGAATAGAATATAGAAGATAGTCTCTCTCTCCAGGCTGAAGTATTCAATTGAAAATGACTTTTTTGGGGGACAAGTTTTATCACTGTCAGTAACATCATCTTGATGCGACCTGGTCTAGTTTGGGCCACAACTTAAAAAATAACATTCGTGCCCTCTACAACAGCCCAACTACACATACAACCAGTGTTAATAAAATACTTGTTTTGATTTCTTCAAGTTTAATTGTTTTTCCATTTACACTACATGTGTATGTGCTGAAAACCATGACATTTTAGTACCCTTGTTGCCTGGTGGGGGGTGTTGGGCAGGGGAGGAAGAGAATTTTAGGATTGATATATCAAAAAGGACCCCTAAGCTCCCAAAAAGTGTAGCGAATTTTTTTTCTTAAAAATAATAATAATAATAATAATAATAAAAAATCAAATTGTGATTTCTATTTTGACATAATGTAGCAATTAGTCCAGACTGGGGAAGTATGAGGGGTAAAATGTTATGATATGGCATTTGCATATACAGAAGAACGTGTTGATGAAACACTGATAAATTCAGTGGAAGCTTAGAAATACTGAAATCACAACACATTAGGAAACATAAACCACCTACTTTCTTAAAAATCTTTTTAGATATGCAAAGCAAACATGTATTGTTATTTGTAATGTGTGACTTAAGCCAATTAAGTTCAATACTACCATTTTAACATTAAAATCTATAGCTTTCACCCCACCAGGTTTAAAACCTTTCAAAAAGCTTTTTTGATAAAGTGGGTTTTATCACTTCATTAACAGATTTTTTTAAAGTCTGCAGGACGGTCAGAGAATAAGCAGGGCAAATACATCGACATAGACTTTTCATCTTTTTCAAATACACTGCACCAAAAAGTGTCAAATCTCTCTGAATCCATTGGTTAAGATGATGTTCTCCTTTCTCAAACCTGTCTATTAACTTAATCTTGTTACTTCTGCATAGATTTTTTGGAATATACATACTTAAATATTTTACTTCTGTATTAACTGGGATGTTACAAATAGTAAACTACATATCAACAATAATTAATTGCCGTAAGCTCATATTTTTTACTATTCAAATTTAGTCCTGAGGCCCTGAGAACATTTTTAGGGCATATGCTGTTCATTTTTGTTTTAATCCACTAATTGACCAATTACAAGGTCGGCGCCCAATACTGAAAGCTTTTAAATGTGCAGTTTTTTAGAAATATGACCAACATTTCTACTGACATTAAGAAAAGAAATGGGCTAATAGGACAACCTTGTCTAACACCAACTTTAACATCAAAGTGGCTGTTTATGTCTTTGTAACATGCTTTGATAAAATTCTGAAAAGTTGTCAAACCCTAGCATTTCAAGAACCTGAGATATAAAATGATGCTTTAAAATGCTAAATGCTTTATAGAAATCTATTAATAGGATAAACCCATTGTCTTCTATGAGATCTCTGTCATCTAATAGATGAAGGATTAGCCCTCTTTTGTTATGTATTTATCTAATTTTCAGGACAAGGACAAGTGTTATGGAATGTCTCCTATCAAGGATCTTGGGGCTCTTGCCTGGTTTGGAAATTAAGATTATAATTCCTCATTTCATGGCAGTGGGAAGAGTGAAGTTGTTTAGGATTTCTAGAAATGTCTTCAAGACGAAGTTTTTGCAAAAAGTTTGCTGTTAAACCATCAACTCCTGGGGCCTTGTCAACTTTAATGCTCTAGATGGCAGTATCTAGCTGTTGTATTTTACTGTCAGAATCACAAATATCCTTGAATATTTTTTTGTGAATTAGGGCATCCTGTAATCTCATTTAAAAAGAAAGATATGAACATTATCTGCAGAAAAAATTAGGTCTAAAGATCACAATAGAATAAATTTAATCTGAGATTGATTTTGTCACAAAACATTCTCTATAATGAACAAGAGATTTGACAAGACATTTGTCTCCAGTTGCCCTTTTTCTGAATGGTAATTGTTCTCTTGTAATTGTTCAAAAAGTAATTGTTCTCTTCTGCCTCAATCCATTTGGCCCGTGATCTAACAAAAGCCCCTTCAGCCTTTTTAATAAATATTTCATTCAGTTTGGCTTGAAGGGTCATTAGATATGATATTGTTTTTTATATGAAAAATATTTTGTTCCTGAATCAATTCTAGTTTGCTTTTCTGAGAGGATTACTGAAAAAGATTTCATAGTTCTTTATTTTACATTTTAGAATGCCCACTTATACAAAGATATATCTGCATTATTATACAAGTTTCTGAGATCAGAGTTTTAACATATTCATAGAAAGAATAATCCTTAAGGAGGTCTGAATTAACCAGAAACACAATGGAAACAGTATCAGAAGTAAAGCAGTGCTGCTTCTTCCTGGATGCGTCCTCTCTGAAGACAACTCCCCCTGGCGGTGACCAATCATGCATCTCCCTTAGACTGTATATAAGTTAATTATGCTGTGTTGTCACTGTGTGGCAGCAGCTGAGAGGGCCACCTTAGATATGCTGGGGGAGACACAGCTCCAGATTCAGCATCAAACTGCAATTGTTATCCAAAGACCCCCTGGTACGGTATTTGATTTTATTTTATCTCCCCAAATTTCCAGTATCTTATCAAAAAAGCATATTGTAAATGTACGTTGCACAGGTCAATTGGATGTAGATACTGTAGCATATTTACGTTAATGACCAAACATTTTTCTAACTTCAGCTGTTGCTAGCTGGGGAGCAAACACGGGAAGGTGGGAAGGTGTTTGTGCATCAGCTGGCTGTACAGATAAACACTTGTGACAGAGGAAAGAAGACTCTTGAAAGACACCAATGTTTATAAGTTAAAAAACCTATTGTTAACTATTGTATTATTAACAAGTTATTTTCAATCTCTGGGTCATGAAATGTGGTAAAATATGTGTGTAAAGTAATGCAAGTATTGGTTTACTGCTGTAGAAATCATCTACATTTGGAGCACTGGCCTGTCAGGAAAAGCTTTCTGAACATCTTAAATTCTGGTTTGAAAAATACTCTGAGCTCCAGGAGATGTAGATTTCCATTAGTCCCAAGGTTTGATTAATACATTTTTGTTATCAAACGTTTTCTGCTATGCATTAAATAACGTGATTTTTTTTTCTGTGAAACATGTAAAATGTAATATCTAGTATACTTGGCCGTGTGAAATTTCTTATTTCTTATCACCACCATAAAACATAAATCAAGCAATGAACTTTTTTCCACATTTACTGTATGTACAGCTGCATGAAAGAAAATTCTGAACTCTATGCCCCTGATATGAGGCATACATTATGGTGCAATTCTAGACTGTTGGGTAACTATCACAGAAAATTAACAAACAGAATGCTTGTTTTAACATAATTGCCCTTCACCCACAGCATTTTAAATGTTTTAAAAATAGAAAAAAATAGTTGATATTGTTTAATTTATAAGAACATTCTCAGAATTAAACACCTTTTAGCCTCTACACTTTTGCAGCCTCTGTGCTGTTGCATGTCAATGTGACTGTCTGTTAGGGAGCGTTAATTACACTGTCAAGTTCTGCTGTAATCCTCTGTAGGCCAGCACACCTTTTTGTGACTAAAGCATCCTAAAACAAAATTTAAAAAATAAAATCTCAAAACATGACAATTATTTGTAAGCCATGGTAATTCAGTTCTATGCAATTTCAAACACAGTTTGTGCTGTACTAAATAACATTAAAATGTAATAAAATAACACAGAAAGGAACAAATTAGAGAAAAAACGGTTGGAAAGCAAATAGTACACCATATAATGTTAAGATTAAAGCTTTAGATTAGTTAAATTTTAAGTATATAAAAAAAGAGTTCTGGTCCTCTGTGTCACTGTCTGCTTGGACCACAGAGTGGAGCTGTTTGTTGTGTCAATTTTGCATGATTCAAGGAGCCAAATAAGCAGAAAATAAGGAGAAATATTTTGCTGTAATTGGCATGAGGAACTGTAATAAAACAAAAACAAACATGCTGCCCCCATTTGTAAAAATATGAGCAATATATCTAGATACCGAATGTGAAATAATAAAACAGTACAATATACTTACAATGTATATTGTGTTGTGGTTACTGTAGTTAGTAACAACAAAATGCAATGTGCCGGGGGTCTGATTTTGAAATGAAAACCACTCGTTTTCCACATCGTCAACATAATGTAGCAGGTTTACACTTTGACCTATCAGTGATCATGTACTGTATGTAGCCAGAGTTACCCCCTCTGCTACTTCCCCGTCATCTGCGTTGTGTGTGGGATTGTAATAAAACTCAGGACACCGGATATCAGCTTCAGTCTGTGTATTTCTGTGTACAAATCATTTAGATCAAAGCAGAATGATAAATTGGCGTCAACAGCTTCTCAGACAATGCCTCTCTCAGTCAGGTTCACTGCAGACTGCGCTGCACCAAAATACATGCATATAATAGTATATATATATATATATATATATATATATATATATATATATATGCATATAGTTATTAAACCGACTGTAAGCCATAAGTAGTAATTATTACGTGTCACATTAATTTCCAATCAGTAATAATCTTCAATATTAAAAACACACTATATTACCATGGAACACACTCTGACACAGATACATACAACTGAGCATATACATAATAAAACATAGAAGTGCAATCTCAGTAGTTTTTCTAAACATGACATTGCAGAGGTTTCCTCTCTGCATTTCTTATAAATCTAACATTAATCAGCTGATGAATAGATGTATCTAGAATTATTTATTCAACAGAAAAAGGGGAAAAAAAAGGAAAAAACGAAAAAAAAAAAAACTTACATGGCGTCCGCCATTTTAACCACACAGTACATCCACTGAAAATAAGCACTTTAACTAACGTTTCAAACATGGCTATGGGAGTACTCACCTGTGTACAAATCATTTAAAGCAAAGCAGAAAAACTGGCGTCAATAGCTTCTCAGACAATGCCTAGCAAAAGAAACAAGACGAATATAAGGCACAAAGGCAAGGAAGCAAAACGCCCTTCAACTACCGCAGGAGGGAGCTAAAACACTAAGCATATTAACCATTTTATCGCTCTGCTCGAAAAAAAAATTAAAGCTCAAAAACGTTACTTGCACCTCTGTAGTTCATGTCGCTTTATTCAAAAACTCCATCTTAAAACACTACAATGAGTTATTAGAACAGAGCACTTCACAAACGCACCTCTCTCAGTCAGGTTCACTGCAGACTGAGAAAAAAACAGCGCCAACACGACAAAGGGAGAAAAACTATGGGTGCTGAGAAAGGACAAAACACATACGTACTCCCATAAGCCATGAAGAACAGTTAAGAACTTGCAAGGTAGAACTTAAGGAAGGGATTTCAAGTGAAACTAATAACAAAAAAATGTATATAAATATATGTAAATGAAATAATTAAAGTAAATTATTACACCTGCTACATGTACATGTTGTGTCTGTTTGAATGTAAAATCTTCTTACTTAATGCAATGAAAAATACAGAAAAATTAGAAGTTATATTTTTAGGATGTAGCGCATTTTTTGCAAAGAAATTTTTAGTTATTAACCCAGGAATGAAATCGATTTGCTCAAGCTCCATACTATGGCAATTTAAGGTAATAGTACTTTTCATGAGTTTAATTAAATTTTATTTTCACACTCATTCATGATACAGTGAGTTGCACTTTATCTGCACAAGTTAACAAGGCTACTGTCTAATGGCTTTTTGACTGTTTATTTGCTGCATATTCCATTAAAGATCAAACTAAGGTGGTTCTAACTGATGTGGTTCAAACTACTGTGCTGCAACTGAGCTGCTGAACAGTCATTTCTTGGATGTTTGTTAGTTTACTGATCCATTGTACTGTATTGATATTGAAGGATATTGAATCCTTTTTTTTGTTGTCAATCATAATAATAATAAAAACAACAATACTACTACTACTACTACTTCTATATGGGCACCTATAGCTGTCATGCAAGAGTCAAAGATTCTCTGGAATGAAAGCTAACCTTGCTCAAGGATGAAGGTACTGCTTTCTCCAAGTTCACTTCCCGCAGTACTCACAGATACATGTCCTTTATCTTTATGAAAAAAGAATCACAAGTGTCAGAAACACAACATGACAATTATATTCAGGAAGCTAACAAACACGACTATACACTTCCACTTCTCTGCAAGGAAAAAGTCATATGAACTTTAATGCATGTATTGTTTAATGCGGGTCCAGATGTACATTTCTCTTATTTTATTTATTCATTTATTTATGTTTACATGAAGAGTGTAAGGATTTTTTTAAACATGAAGAATAGCAAGTGATATATGTGTTGTGTATGTGAAAGAACAGAATAAAGATTGTTGTATTGCAGTTTTATTTCTTTTTCAGTGAACATTAACTGGCATTAACAAAATTATTCAAATCAAAAATAAAAATACATGTCAAGCATGATTTCTGGATCATACAGAATATAGAATCTTTCATTTTTTTTTCAAAATCTGTGACTCATTCATTAGGCTGTACTTTTGCCTCTCAACAAAACATTTTACTTTTAATTTAGTTTTTATTTGACCTATTCAGATGTTTTCCTGTTCAATAGTTCTTTTTCTTTGTCCAAGATGGCTTCAATTACAGCAAATGAAGCTTGAAAAGCATCAGCTCCCACACCACGTGTGGCATTGTGGAAGCGGGCAAAGGACCCATCATTCAGCAGCCTGTATTTTAGGGCTGCCAGGTGATTGCTTTGGATAAAAAGAATGTATTTGTTTTACACTTCATAGATTAATATTTAAACATTTAAAACAATTAATTGTTTTACATATCAGTGCATCAGACTGGGATAACTAATCAAAACATTTATAAAACATGTAACTTTAAAGTAATGTACAATAAAAAGTAGAATTGTTTTTAGTCCTATGCAAAAGTAAATATAAATAATAATAATACAATACCTTGTTGTGACGACACTGGACAAGTGGGAGCCGTCAGTGTTAGTTAGTAGATTCTGTGCAATGCTTTCAGTGTTGATAAATTCTCTGGCAAAACACCGTATTTCTTTACAGGCAGCGTCATCACCTAAAAAGACCACCAGAAAAATAGTGTTTTACCTTTTGACCTTAAAAGACGCTGATTTCAACATTTGAGAGGTGTATTAAAGTTATTGAACTTTACATATATATATATATATATATATATATATATATATATATATATATATATATATATATATATTCCTACAAACACTACACATTGTAATAGGCTGCTTGCTCTATTCAACACACACACATTTTGCACATTTAACAATAAAAAAAAGTTTACAATTCAGTTTACTTTCCCGTAGAACAACAGACAGCAAAATGAGGGATCTGTGGCGTCAAGCCATCTGAAGAGAGGATGAAAATGGTAAACTGTGGGACCCAGCCAGTCAATACTTGTATGTCTCTGGCAAACACTTCATCACAGGTAAGTTAATAATGTTAAAGTCAACAGTTATAATCTTAAAAGTCAAAGTAGTGAATGATGGTGCTTCACTGAAAGTGCAGTAAATACCCAAAAAGAAAAGCCAAGGAAATCCCAATTTTTAGTTGGCCTGTAATAAAAGGGGTAAGTTAACTAAAAACTAGCCTGCTAGCACTGGCTGCAACCAGCTGGCTTTTCCCTTGGTTTGATAAAATGTAGGCACCCAGTAAAACAGCTTCACCTGTCTGTTCCCTGAAGTGATTGTTTATGTCAGGGTTATCATCATATAATCCAAATTCAAAGTGTGTCTAAAGGCTGGATTAATGCCATGATAATAAAACTGTGGGGAATCGGATCATAAATATGACAGCCCCAGCCACTGTTTAGGGTCATTCATTGACTTTGAAGGACACAGATTGAAATGACACTCATCAACCCCTATTTCTTTCATTGCTGGTCGTTGATCAGCAATGACATTACATAATTATTTGCCTAACTGGCCACAGGATTTGGGCCAGTCAAATTGGAGGGGCTGCTTTCACCCAAAAAGTAGCATAACGTAAAGACAAAGTACCCAGATGTGTTGCTCTCATCTATGTTTGTTAAGATTGTTTTTGAAAACTGAAGACACTACAGCATGCGCCATACTGAGCCAGACAGATATTGGTCTACCCGGTGCTGTTTTAAGTTGAACAAGTCTTGCTTCTTCCCTACACCAATGCTGCAACTTCAGACCTGCACCTTCATCTTCTTTTTTGAGTACACCTCTGATAGTGTGTCAGAATTGCAGCCATATTTTCAGCATTATGGTTGCTGTGGCTTATGTTATTACCCTTATAAAAAGAACTGTAGTAATATTATAATAAACTGTACAATTTATATAGTGCTGCATGATAATCGCTTAAAAGATAATCTATACTACTTTTTACTTATTTCCCTATGTAGTATCCTGAAGTAAACTATTGTAATTGTCACTGATTAATTACTGTAAGATTCTTATAGCAGTTCTGTTTAAATTCCTGTAATATTATTATAGATCTTTTTTACACAAAGGTATATTCATCTCAGTTCAACTTAATAACCATAGCACTGAATTTAGCTGTTTTTTTCTAGTTCTAGTGAATGACAGAGAATGGTGATATGTGAAAAGAGAAGTGGACAGGCCATTGTACCCGTAAGATAACATGCTAGCTGGAAGTTAACACACTAACTAAGCTAATGTACTAGCTCCATGTTGAATAACAACAAAAAAAAAGGTTTTACTCACGTTTCACTTTTAAAGTAATTGCGACTGTTTGAACACTTGCTTTAAATTCTACTTGGCAGGTAATGACTTTCCCATGGTCAGTAGCCCATGCAGTGTATTTTAATGTTGATCTAGCTTCCTGTTGTGCTCCTGGTACAAGAGACATGCTGCCAGATAATTGTCCACCATTCCATCTGATGTAAGGTCGATCTCTGGGGCACTTGTACATTACTGAGCAAATAATGTCTGTTTCCACTCCCTCAAGAAACTCTGTGCTGGAATCAGGTGTAATCTGGGGACTGTAAATGGGACCTGTTGATAATAAAGATAAAATCTAACATTATACAACCACAATGCAATACTATGAATCTGATTTCATGACTCATGTGCCGCTGAATGTTAAAAAGGACATGAGAAAGCGTGTCTTGATGTTCTTTGCTTTTCTAGGGTCAAAACAATTCATTTTTCTATAATTCAGAAATGTACAACACAGAAGTGTCACTTACATGTTGCAGTGTGCGTTTTGGTAGCTGATGCCGAGAGGCCACCGGGATGTCTGACCACACAGTCAACTCTGTGGTTATCAGACTTAACAATCCCATTACGTATCAGTGTGATTTTCCAGGTGCCACCTCCAATGTCAGTGTGTTCCAATCTGTCTTGTGTTCCTTCTATCCCACTCAGAGTCAGAGTGGGTTTTCTGTGAGGGCAGGTGTGGTATGTGCTGCACTGAACAGTGATCTGTTGCCCAATTTGGTTTCCTCCAAAAATGTCAATGCTGGGCGCTGGTGCTGATGCTGCAACAGGCAAAATGAACATTAGAGAATATCAGCACTGAATTAGGGGAACAAAAGACATGATATAAGATATATGATATATATGATATAAGAAGAAGTAACAAGGAGAGAATTAACAAGAAATTAACCTTGTTCATTACTTAACAAGGTTTTTTACAGTTTGTTACTTGTTACTTTATAGACAAAATATATATAATACTAAAAGTAAAAAATAAGATGAAAGTTTTTTTCTTCTGGCAATACACAAAAATTAACAATATAAACAGTTATAAATAAATAAAAGCAAAAATATTTACACTGTAAGGATATTTTACCCGAATTTCACATAGAGTATTGCACATGAGGTACTGATGTTTACATTACACATGGGAATGGTGAGGGGTTAACAAAATAAGCATTATAAATAGAAAAGCAAAAAATCTTATATATTTTAAAAATATTCCACATGGAATATTGAACTAATATCTGAGACATTGCTACAACACAGTTCAGTTACGTTTAAAAAAGTGCAGGAGTGATTTACGAAAAGCAAAGTGAGAAGATCAAATACTTACTTTCAATATAAATCGTACTGGTAACATCAAAGAATGCGTAAGTACTGCGTCCAACATTTTCCGGGTCTATCCAGGTATAAAGCTTTTCTCCATGGTGGGATAGATTAAGGTCCTCAATCAGCAGACTGCAGTCCCTCATGTGTGGGTCTCCATATAAACTGGTTTTCCATCTGAACTTGTCAATCACTGATCCAGGGTTCCAACTATCATACACTAAAGGGTATCCACGACTAATATACTGAAACCACACTACTCGATAAGGGTTTGTAGGTGGATCTGAGTCGTAGTAGTAACTACATGGTATAACCAAGCAGGAACCGTATAGGCCTTTAATGCTCCCTGGCATTGTTACTGACCATGTCCAGGTACCACTAAACAGGATGCCTGTGTGCCAGAGGCAATAAAGTTTGTTATGGGTCAGTTGTTACAACTAAACATGTTGTATTTTAATTCTTTTTTTCTTTATTTTAAATATATTTTTCTACATTGCTCTTTACCCATCAGTACTCTACAAACTGCTGTTATGATTACAGGTTACTACCAGGATTTGAAAAGAAATAAAAAGCCTGGAGTGGAAAATGGAAAATAATGTTAATCCATTTTTGAATAAATTAAACATTGCTTGTAAAGTGTGGAGCCATGCTGCTGAAATGTTAAAAGCATATGCAAAACTGCATTTTTTTTTTTACATTTCCCATAAAATTAGTGACCTCTACCCGATAAAGGAGTCAAATTCTGTAATGCTTGTTTAGTTGCATAAAGAATATAAAGGAAATAATGGAAACACACTGTACCGTGAAAAATCACATGCAGCAGCAGAAGTCTTCCCATGTTCTCAATTGCAGACAAGCTGAACTTCTGACTAAAAGATAGATATTTCACTGGTTAATTTCATGGATAACTGTACCTTATTCAGTGCTTCATTATAATGTGGTGAAACTGTAATAAATACACTGTTGACCGTCTGTGTCAGTTTTTTTAATAACCTATTCTGCTGAAATCAAAGGCCATAACCTTTATATAACTGACAATTCACTTACAAGGCCACAACTGCAATGGAGAAAGTTCAGGGCTGTTAATAAGTAATAGCCTAATGGATCTATAATTAGCAGTTCTTCTGGCAATACTGATCTACTGTGTACTGTTTTAAAGTAATTCAATAATTAATTTAGTTAAAACATAATGATTTTTTTAATGAAAAAGCAGTTAATATTAAAACAACAGATTACTTTTAAATATCTTACCTTCCTCCTTAGAAAATCAGACCCAAACAGCAACTCGCAGCAAAAACAACACTATTAACATCCATAAACTCTTGCTGCTTAGATAAGCTCATTCAAGAAATACGACATTTGGTGTTTTGATTAGTTGGTGAAAGAACAGAGCACCCAGTGTGATGACAAATAACATACAACTGCAACAACAGAGCTCTGCAATTTGCAGAATATGCTCTTAGATTAAGCTCCTCCCTTCCTAATTTAACTGCTTTCAGTGTGACACGCTTGAAAACATTTCTCTTTGTGCTGTTTTATCTACTGATTTTCATGGGTCTTGTGGTTCCTGGATCATTCTGTTAAAAAAATCTGATTGGGATAGGCCAGATGAGGAGGAATATTATAAATTAGAGAAGGTTAATTTGAGTCAGTCACTAATAAGCAGGGGTGGCACCACAAAACAAAACACAAAAAACAAACAAAAAAAACTGTTAGTGGAACCATCACATCTTCAACAGTATAATGTTAATATTGTATTTGAGTCCTAAACATTGAGCTGGACTTTCTTTTTGATCCAGTGTGTGTAATGTTAACGCATAAAGACATATAATGAAAATCACATGCCAAAAACAATCTGCCTTTCAAATTATTATGTCAGGCTGTACAGACGGATTTGTAAACTGTACTCTCGATTAGCAAAACTGTACAGACGGATTTGTAAACTGGACTCTCGATTAGCAAAACTGTACAGACTGATTTGTAAACTGTACTCTCGGTTAGCAAAACTGTACAGACGGATTTGTAAACTGTACTCTCGGTTAGCAAAACTGTACAGACGGATTTGTAAACTGTACTCTCGGTTAGCAAAACTGTACCAACGGATTTGTAAACTGTACTCTCGGTTAGCAAAACTGTACAGACGGATTTGTAAACTGGACTCTCGATTAGCAAAACTGTACAGACGGATTTGTAAACTGTACTCTCGGTTAGCAAAACTGTACAGACGGATTTGTAAACTGTACTCTCGGTTAGCAAAACTGTACAGACGGATTTGTAAACTGTACTCTGTTCATGAAAATAAGTAGGCCTATATATATGTGTGTATATATATAATATATATATATATATATATATACACACACATACATACATACATACATACTATATATATTATATATATATATATATATATATATATATATATATGATCATACATGAAATTTGAGAATATGGAATGAAATGTGACGTCACCGAAGCACTTGCGCCATCTTGTTTTTTCGGTGTGTTCCCCTTTTCCACCCTGTCTTTGATATGATAGATGGGAAATCTACAGATTTTTCTGTACAACTCAGTTGTTGAGATGTAAACAATCATTCTGAGTGTTTTGATGTGGAATGGCTCATTATAGAGAAACTTACAGTGGTAGTGATAAGAACCAGGAGTAATGATGTTTACAATGCAAATATAGCCATTTTATTTACTATCCAAAACATCTTTACCATCCTTACAGCACCCTGTCTTACAACATCTGGCTTCTATCTCTTTAGGTCAAAACCTTACATCAGAACTATTTAAATCAATGTCTCAGATATCAGGCAGTGCATTTGTAAACATTCCATGTAATAATTTTCTGAGAGGGAGGATTTAGAGGCTTTAAACTCTTCAGACATTTGGTTTCTGAAACCGCATTCATTTAAATCTACAAATAAACAATGGAAAGTTTTAGAATTTTGAAAGAAATTTGACTAAAGAAAAGTTATGACTAGTATAATGAAGAAAGTCCAGAATCTGCATTTCTAGGTCACTATTTAAATTTATGCAAGTTTCTGACATTGACCATGTTAGGGTTTTGGTACAAAAAGGTCAGTTTTTTTAGTCTCATCTCTTTCATTTAAGCTCATGTTCACATGACTCTCTGGTGGACTTGATCCACTCATCAGAAGCTTTTGTTATAGTTAGTGATTTTCAAGAACTTCTATAATTCATGCAAATATTTCTAAGATTATACATTTCACTCTGATTATTATGAAAATATAATCTGTGTTGAAAACATTTTAATTACTTTAGAAAAGAATGCAAAACAGAAGCATTTTCACTTGTGGCTTCAGACTTTTGGACTCCACTGTATGTGTCTGTGTATTCCTGTGACAACTCCTGCACAGAAAAAGGAATGTAGTTAACTTAATGACACAATGTCCACATCACAGGCCTTCCAAAACCTCTTTAACAGGCCTGTGGGTCATCACACATACTGGACAGTAACATGGAAATACACTGCCATAAGAGAACTCTGAGAGGAATTCTAACACTTCAAATATATTCACATAAAACTAGCTGTGGCTAGTTGCCCTGACTTCAGTAAACAGATTGATTGCACTTGGTGCTGGACCATGAACCTGACCATGTCCTGCTTTGACTCGGACTGCTGCTTCACTCATTCTTATACACTGTTACTACGTTGGTACTGCAGTTGCAGGGTGATTGAGGTCAATGTTTGGCTCCTTATCTGTGTTCTTTATGAACTTTTGCTTGGCAAATGTTTTTTTGTTTTTTTTTTCTCCAAAAGAGGAATTTAGTGAGAAAAAACAGACAGTTAAGTAGTTCCACAAGCAAACAGGATGCATCTGTAAAAAACTTCACACTATGCTACTTTCACTCTTCACCACACATGTTCTTGACACAGAAGAATGGGGAAACATAGTGTTTGAGTTGTAGAGTGTGGAGTGTTCTTAATTACATATCAGTGATAAAAGTAACGTAAAAAGTTACTTATAATGATCCTATAATTGGAAAAATTGCTATCATTGGCTAAACAGCAGGCATTTGACAGCCTGAACATTAGCCAGTAGTCACAAAACCTAAAAACATGCCCAGGTATGAACTCTTTACTGTCCTTTAGAATTCCAGAAGGAATAGTGTATTTGTTAAACCATTTTAGCTTGTGGACAGTAAGTATTATGTCAGATGGACAGTCTTTTTTTTACCACAATTTTTATCATCAGTCACGGCCTGTCCAATCATCCACCAAAGTTATAAATTAAAGTTTAATAAAAAAAAAAAGCATTTAAGATGTGTAAACTCTTAGCATGAACAACTTTGTTAACATTTTTTTTCTTTAAGAGGCAAAAATGTATTTTGATTTATAGCTATATTGGCCACAGCACAAACTCTGTAACATGTCATTGGATCACCTAAGACACTTATTCACTGCATTATTCTGAAACAGTCTACAGAGACTGGTGGCCGTACAACATTCAACAGGGGTACCATTGCCTGTATTACAAAAGTACAGACTATTTGCAAAAACTCTGATTATTGCAAATTCTGGCTATATTGCCAATTGTATTTAAAGTAAATAATGAATACTGTATATTGCATTACTCAATTTGTGTGATCAATAGAGCATTTATAAACATGTCCATGTCTAACATTTTTCATTTCTAAGAATTCTTCACTCATCACATGGCATTCTCTGCATCAAAGCACAGAAATACATGTTTTCCTTTATCTTCATGGACTGTAAAGTAAATTATGTTAAACATCTACCCATTCACCAAGCCATGTTAGTCCTAAATCCCTTCATTATTCCATTTAGTCAGGTTTCCTCCAAAATCAGCATGTGCCTTTATTTCATAAAAGTCAGGTCAAAATTAATCTTTAAAGTGTTTTGTCACAAAACAGCATTACAGAAAACCCAGAAGCCCCACATGAGCAAACCAAGGGTGACACTGATGAAAAAATCCCTGAGAGCAAGATAAATCTTGAGAGGAACCAAGGTTCTAAAGGGGAACCTAACCTCCTCCAAAAACAAATCAATAATACACCAAGATCTTCAATAATAGCATTTACAGTTGACAGGGGTAGATCTAGCAGGACTGACTTGTGTCAGAGGTGGCAGTGTCATGTTTAAAGTCACTGAGCTCATCAGTACGACCTGTTCTACTGCCAGTGTTTGTCTATTGAGACTGCAAGGCTATGTGCTTACTTTTATCCACCTGTTAACAATGGGTGTGGCTGAAACACCTGAACTCAATAATTAGGAGGGATGTCCTAACACTTTTGTCCATATAGTGTATATTCAGTTACAGGATTCTAGGATTGTAATTTGTTAGGGTCATTTTAAATCTTAGCATACAGCTAACATACGCTAACATAACACAAAACAAAGAACCAAAGATATGTGATTTTCTAAACCAAAACATCATGTTCCAGATTCATAAAATGGAGTGCAAGATTTGCTATGATGCTAAGAGCAAGTAGCGTAGCGGTAATAAGTTTGCTCAGTCATAAACAAGGATTACCAGTGTATGTTACAGCTTGTGGGATGTGAGGCTTGAGCACACTATTTTCCTACTACATACTATTTCAGATCGACAGAATTCACTGGTCTTGTTCTTCAAACAGCCTCTTCTTCCTGCATCAAATTCCATGTGTGGTGAATCCCTCCTTTGTCTGGAAAGCAGGTTTGGAAGTTGGAATGCAAATAAGTTAAGAGCTTAAAAGCTTTAGCTTTTGATAGTATATTTCAATTTACAATGGATTTTTCAAACAAATTTACAATTTAAAAAATTCAAAACTGATTTTTTTACTAGTCAATATTTTTAATTGTAATGCAAAATGTAAAATGTTAAACTTTGTTAGTAAAAATTCTTGTGTAATTACAATGAATTTGACGTATCATTATTATTAGTATTTTATTTCTTTGTCTTATATTATTATTATTATTATTATTATTATTATTATTATTATCATAATTTAATTATTTAGTTGAGAAATGATATATTTATTTAATTTAATTATATCTTTATTTTATATCTTTATTAATTATTGGTGAAATTATATCTTACATACTAAAATATAATTCTTACAATTAAAAGTTACATTTTAAGATGTTATAATTACATTTTTATACATCATTTTATAGTAAAAACATTTTCTAATAATGAGACTTTGTTTCTCGAGTAAAAGTTAAAAGCATCTTTATCAAACCATTTACTATTATTTATCATCACTTCTTCCCTTAAAATTCAAAGCTCTGTTTCTGAGAAATTTGGTTTTTGTTGTTTCTTTGGTTTCATTTCTTTTGGCAGTCAACCGGAGCTTTACTTGGCCTGGGTCTTTAATATGAATAACCTTGTTTACAAATATATTTTGTTTGGCAGTTGCCTAAGACACCTATGAAAAAGACACTGTGCAGCCCACAGTGACTTTCTGAACAACTCTTATTTACTGTGACTAACACTTCGCTGTTACTACCTGATTTTATGAATCTGGCCCATTGAAACTTTTCATTACAGAATGAGGAAAAAGACCTGTTTTATCAATGTGTCCACATCTCTGGGCTGCTTTTGTCAGAGATTTTTTTTTTTGCTAGTTGTAGTTCTGATGACCAGTATATTCTGATACTGACCCTCTCCTGGTCTTGAACCTCATAACCCAAACTTGAAAAAATCCCTAGAATAAGCCTTCTGTATTGTGTTCTACTGCTTAGATGTCCTGGAAGTTAACACGTTTTAAAAGAAGTGTTTTTTTTAGCCTCTTTTTTAGAAAAGGGAACAGAAAATATTATCAAGACCATTTTAGAAATGCATGTTTGTTTTCTAAGAATTGACCAGAGAACAGAGAGAAAAAAGCAAACATAATCTTTGCTTCCTCTTACATTTGCTGTGTGCAGAGGTTCCCAACCACCTGGCTGCAGACCAGTACTGGGCTATGGGTCGTTTGGTACTGGATTTTTACTGTACTTTTAATTAAGTATTTGTGCCATTTAAATGTAAAATACTTTATGCAATTATAAATACTATTGCCCTTAGTGTTGGTACCTCTAAGGTAGAGTTTGTGAATCTGGAAAGTTTCTCCAGAAGTGGTAAAGTGGTATGCTGGTGTCAGGGGAGGGATAGCACCCCCCTCAGAGTGAAGTGGTGAAGAATGGCCCTCCGAAGAACTCAAGAGCCAATGGTGAGAGAGGCAGCAAGAGGGAGAAGGAAAGAAAAAAAAAAAAACAGCAAAAAAAAGTAATTTTTATAATAGTTTTAAACCAAGAAATATTTTCAAATGATATTAAGGAATGGAAAAAAGTAGCATATTGTGGATTTATACACAGCCTAATTATAAAGCAATCTGGTTTTTATATTCGTTCAGGATAATACATATACATTTGAGAGGCAAATCAAACCAAATATCTTAAAAATGCACTATTAAAATACATTAGCTAAATGCAAAGCTAAATGATCTGGTTTATTGTATTGTGTGTAGTTTTGCTGTGTTATACCAAGAAAAGCCATGAACCTTTAAAAATGTAATTTTTTTATTTCCAGTACTTGCTTGTTTTGGCATTGTGTATGTTTGCCTGTCTGCCCTGTGATGGACTGGCAGCCTGTCCAGGATGTTTTCTGCCTTATGCCCAATGAGTGCTGGAATAAGCTCCAGCACCCCCTACCACCCAGGAGGATAAGATGGCTTAGATGATGAGTAAGCTTGTTTTGGCTACTTTGAAGACTAGATAAAGTGCCAAAATCAAACCGTTAACAAAGAATGAGCTTTACTTTGATAAATTTTAACTCTGTGTCTATAAATATGTATCACTTCACATATCACATATAAATCTACTTTACACAACACAAAACACAAGAAAATACAATATTTAAACTCAAACTACAATAGCAACATAAGGTTTCATCCATCTGCTGACTGAATACCGTTTCTACAAATGGCCAGGCTCTCCATTCACTCCTAAGAATGAATTCTGTCTCTCTGTGTTGATGCTGAACTCTCATTGTGCTGCTTAGAACAGCGTACACTTTGTACCCTATTGTAAACTACAGTGTTTGGCATTGTCTGTGTTAGTTCTTTACATGTTCTCAGTCTTTTATGTCATTGCTGTCCAAAAATGTAACTTTACAGGAGAAAGCAAAAACATTCCTAACGTTTGATCTAAGTTAATGTAAAGAGGCTTTACTGTAGTTGATTTTGGTGAATTTCTATTGGTCCATTCATCATAAAATTTTCAAATGATGTAGAAAAATAAAAATTGACAAAATTTGGGACAGGTTTTCTTTGGACAGCAACAATATACAACATGACTTTACCACTGTAAAAGTGGATCAAAATCTCAGGTTCTGATCAACTGGCAGGCGAATAACAATACGAGCTGGTCATTGTAACATTAGCAATGTTGTATACAGAGGCAAGACAAATATATCTAACATGCAGAAACCTGTATATTTAACACAAACTCTATTGCTACTTGGTCATAAATGAAGATGTAAAGGTGTTTATATGGAAGATGATGTAGTCCTCTCCCGGTTTAAGTATTCAGTTTAAATTTATCTTAGAAGTTCACATATTAGCATAAACTGCGTCACCATCAGTAACTTCATATGTGTCTGAACACTGATCTTCTTCAAGCTGCAAGAACAGAAGAGGGTAAAGTTAAAAATGTCTCTTACATGTACCTATAAAAATCATAAAAAAACATAAAAAGCTACAGGAAGTGGTTAGCGATATATTGTCCGATGCCTGAGACATTGTTTTACAATAGTTTTAAGCTAAGCCCTTACTACAGGTCTCCCAGTGGCCTTTCCACCGGTGGAATGGAAATCAACTTGTCAGAAATTTTTGTTAACCTCCTCATCCCGAATGTCCAGTATACTAGACGTTTTTTCCGCAGGTATTCTATCTCTATGGAAGCAAGTAAATAACCACACTCACTTTTATGTGTTTCTACAGAACTCAGTCCTTCTGTTGGGTGGTCATTTATTAGAATGTTTACTTTTTTATCATGTCTTAAACAAAAACAAATATGGCAGCTGGCAAGACAGACGCTCACCTCCTCCAATACCAAATGAAACATTGTTTCTGAATGATGCTGCATGTATTTCAGAAATGTTTTTGAATGTTTGTCCTTCTAGAAGATCCCTCATGTGAAAAGCAAAAAGGAAAAAGTAGATATTCATTTCTACATACAAACATTTTAAGTTAAAATATGATGTCCAGTAATCTGGATGTGTGGACAAATGATGCTCTGACTTGTACAGTGAACATGTGCATCACAAAATAAAGTCATTCTTTTTTTGAAGTAAGATTTTGTTCATTTCATTAGGAGTAGAAACGTATGTTTATGTAGGAGTGACAGTAGATAATGTTCTATGATTTTGGGGATAATATTGTTTTTAGTAATTTCAATTAATTTTTTTGTTCATTACACTGGAAATTTAAATTAGGCGCTTGGAATCTGGAAGTTGAAAAATAAACATACAGTCCCCTCCACATTTATTGGCACCCCTGGTAATGGTGGGTAAAAGGGGTTATAAGAAATCAAACTTTTGGTAAATTAGCTTCATCTCACATTGAAAACATGAGAAAAATTCAACCTTTAATTGAAGTAAATTTATTGTCAGACAAAAAACCCTCATAAAGCAATAATTATGTTTGACAAAACCATCCACAATTATCTGTACGCCTTGAAATTCTTAGAAACAAAATGCAACTGAAGCATTTTTTTTCCATTTTTATTTTACTTTTCAAGTTGATCAGAGTGTCTAGGAACTTTCAAGCAGTTATCCATGCCTTTCTGTTTCAGCGGGGTTTATATATGAGGGGACACAGAGGTCAAATTCTCTTGAATGAGGAAAGACAAGAGAATTCAAATAAGTATGTTGAAAAGTATGTTGACCTTCTTTTAAGAAATGGCTTTTTAAAAAAGCTATTCACCTAAAAATGCCCCTATCTACATAATCTATGTACATAATGCCCATGTATAATAATTAAGAAAGTTCCAATCAACTGGAACTGTGACACACTTGTCTAGATGAGGTCCCCCCCCACACTGAGGAGGATGGTAAGAGAGACAAAAAATCCCTGTGGATCACTAATGAAGAGTTACAGAAAACAGTAGCATCTTGGGTCACCAACTCTCCAAAAGTACCATCAGATGCCACCTCCATGCCAACAGAATATTTGGAAGGCATGCCAGGAAGCTTTTCCTGTCATCTAACACAAACGTAAGTGCCTTGAGTTTGCTAAACACTACTGGGACTTTGCAACTGTGTTCTATGATCAGATGAAATGAAAATTGAGCTTTTTGGCATCTCAAGGTGGGTTTGGCATAAAAAGAAGGATGACTACACTTAAAAGAAGCTGATGCCCGTTGTTGAGTATGGTGGAGGGTCTGTGATGTTGTGTGGATGTTTTTCCTCCAAATGCCTTGAGAACCTCATTAGGGTTCATAACATCATGGACTCCATGCAGTACCAGGATATTTTGAATCAAAAACTTTCTGCCCTGCCATGAAACTAAAAATGGGTTGTCACTAGATCGTCCAGGAGGACCTAATGACCTAAAACATGTCCTAAAACATCAACACAAAAATGGTTTGCTGAACACAAAATCAAGCCTCTGCCATGGCCATCTCAGTTCCCTGAACCAAGCCCCATAGCAAACCTGTGGGGTGAACTAAAGAGGAGAGTTTACAAGAAAGGACTCTGGACGATCTGGAGAGATTCTGAAAAGAGGAAAGGTCTTTTTCTCCAAACTTCTCCAAAGATTTTGCAAAATGTTGAATGTAAAGGTGCCAATAATTGTGGCACATGTGGTTTTGTTAAAAATAATTATTTCTTGATGAGGGATTTTGTTTTGTTCTCAGAGTAAGTTTACTTCAGTTAAAAGTTGTAATTTTCTCATTTTTTCAGTGTGAGATTAAAAATTTCTTATAACCTTTTTTACTCATCTTTACCAGGGATGCCAATAATTGTAGAGAAACCTGTTTTTATTATTGTCAGGATACCAAACCCAAACAAAAAACTAAACTTTTCCAGTGTTTCAGGAATGTTATTTCTGAAACACTGAAGCGTTATTTCTGGCCACATCATAGAGCAAGTGTATAAAATATATGTATTACAAATATATGTATTAAAATATATGTAGTGCATGTACATCCATGTAGTAAGTAACAAAGTGTATGAAATGTTTTCTGTCTTCATTTTTTTTTGTCTTCAGTGACCTCAGTTGTTTTAACTATTTCTATCATTTAGATATAGTAAAGTCCAGGTAGCTCTAATAGTTCAGAAACTTTTTCATGTATGTGTACAAAGTAAACAAAGTAAACAAAAACAGGAATTGACGTTTTTGATATTTAGTTTGCAGCAGACATGTTTCATAACAAAACATTGTTTTAAAAGTGTCCAGTTTTGGGAAGGAGGATGTTTTTAAATATTAAAAAGTCATTTCAAAATGTAATTAAAATGTAATTGAAGTATGATTTAATTAAAGTAGTACTGTACAAACTTGTGGAATAGGCATATATTTTTCAAAATCCACTTATGTGATTGTAATAAATTACCTATTTCTGTATTTTAATGCATGCATCTCATTTCTCGTTTAGAAACTTAGTGATCACTTTTTGCTTTCTTGCATGGAAGTTTGAATAAATAAATTGTATGTTTTGTTGATTCTCTAACTGAAGATAAGTTAACATGTTTTCCATAGGAAACAAACTTAAATACAGCTTTGTCTTTGCAAATTTTAGTGCACAATTTCTGCTTATTGTATTTAATATTTCTGAAAACTAGTTAGAACATAATACAATGTGCTATAACTTTTGCACAAACCACCATTTATTTATGTTAAATTCAGCAAATTAACAATATTTTGTATTAAACTGCCCAGGCATATGTTCACTGTAAAGGGTGTGTTCACTGTATTTTCACAAAACATGTCAATTGACTAGGGGCGCCCAAAATTATGCATACAACATTACATACATGCTCTGCACTGTTACTGATGTAAATGTAACTTTTTTTCAGCATCTGAAACTACTAATAGTTTCCCCAAAAATAAAAGGTGGAATGCTGGACCTACCCTCATGTTGCCGTATACATTCTGACTGTCAGCGTAGGTTGAGTAGGCTTTGCATTCTCTGCAAATGAAACGACACTTTTTAATGGTGTGAACTGACTGAAATCATGTGAAGTGGTATTAAAGGCCAGTATCTATCACTAAGACATGTTTAATGTCCATGTTTTGGCATGTTTAATGTCCACATTTTGGACATTTCTAGTTTTACACTACAGCTATGAGGTTAGAGTTGCTAACAAACACTAGAAGTCAGCCAAATTTCCTTTTCTGTGGCAAATTCTGACTCCCCTGCAGAATCTGACTCCCCTTCACATACACACATTTCTATTTGTAAATATATCTTCAGTTTGAAAAATTCAGAACTGACCGTCATTTATAAATAGAAACTGTAAATGTAATCTATCGTACATGACTGATGTCTAAAGCGGCTGTGTGGTTGTGGCAGTGTTCAGATATATGGTGAAGATTTGTTCACTTTTATAGACCACAGTAAGTCATACTGTGACTTGATGTATCTGGATTTTGGTCTTGACTCTGACTTGCTGTATCCAGATCTTGTATGTGGATATTGACAGCACTACTTAAACCAAATTGACAAGTCTGTTTATTTACCTAAACCACACTGACAGGTCTGTTTAACCTTAATGAAGACCTGGATGCGAGGTTTGGATCATTTAGGAAAAAGAGATGGGTGAATACTGACTTACACACTCTGAGCAGAAAGGGTTCTATAAAGTATTGAAAATGGGTTCTTTGAATCAGAACAATAGTGCTAAATATTTTTAAAGAACAATTTTTCAAAAAGGAAAGATCCATATAGGAGCCTCTTCATCACAGAGAGCAACCATATAACCAGGTTGTCAAGGTTCTATATATAACCATTGTCTTTACTAAAGAACCCGTCTTGGTTTAAGGCTGTAGTGTATGTTAGCTACATTTGCCTCATAGCTACAGTTTTACTGTTGTACAGCCTTTTTAAATACCTTTCTGAGCCAGGTTGGGAGGCCACATTCTCTTCAGTCTTCGTATGTGTTACAGGCTCTTCTGTCCTGCTGCTTACACTTAAAAAGAAGAACAGTTTTCTTTTCAGATTTTCTACATAGATTTTGGCATATTGCTGAATGTAGTTATTAGAATAATGTTTTATACTGAATACAGAGTGCTACATTCTTACCAGCTTCTTTTTACCATCCATACTGTGAGGCCAGTTACGACCACAAGAAAAAGAGAGACAGCAACTGCAGTGTACACAAGCTTTCCTGTCAAAAAGTAGCATTAGACAAGCATCAAACTGAATGCTTTATATTCTACTATAAATATTGCACACACCATTCATGTTCGGTGTCTGACTTGAGTCTCACCATTGTGAGGCACTCGTAAAGTCATGGTAGATTTCCCCTGGCTGTTACTGGCATGGCAGTGCACAGTGTTCGAGTCTAGCGCCCCCTGTAGAGTAACAATGGTAAGAGAGCCATGTCTTTCTGTGTTGGAGCTGTTCAGCACTTTAGATGGATCTGAAGTCCACCACTTGATGTCGCTGGCGGGATGGGAATCCACCATGCACAGACAAGTCACTGTGGAGATCTCAGAGGTACATGAAGAGCCAACCTTAATCTCAGGAGGATCTGAGGAGAATAATAAAAGAAAATAATCCTAAATTATGAGGTACAAAAATTTTTCAGTATGTACTACCTAGGTGTACTTTTGAGGTATACAATTACTGAGTGTAGCCCATCTGTTGCTGCATGACACACTGACATCGTAGTGCTATGGATGATGGGATTGTTAAATATCTCAGTGTCACTGTTGTATTGACTAATAAAAATATGCAACTAACGGAGGTCCTGTGGTTAGAAGCTGACCAGTGATGATGATGAAGGGCTAAAAGATGACACGCAAATTATAGACAGAAGATGAGTTATGCTGTAAAAATAAAATAATAAAAAGTGAAATGATTTTTTTAAAGCACTCTGAATGTGTGGGATTATTTTTTTAATTACCTTTATTAGTCTCACCTATTTTTTTAACTACATTACGGCACAAAGAAAGCATAGTGAGTCACTCATCAGATAACCATGGTTATGATATTAAATCAGGGCTTTATCAATATTTTGAGATGGTGTTCAGTGTTATTTGAAATCATCTGTAGTACTGAATTTAGGTGAGTTAAGTTGTGTCCAACTTTGTACTGTTTTTATCTGAATTCTGAGAATGTGCCTAGTTAACACACTCTTTGTGGTATATTCAAATGTGATCTGAAGTTAATAAAAGATGAAAGCAAAATTATGATTTTCTGGCACCTCATTTGGAAAGCAGACTTGGCTTTTTGATGGCTTAAAGGGGAATTAAGGGGGGCTGTTTTTCCTACATTTCTAAAATCTCCCACACAGAATGTAATTACATGAAATGGTTGTGAATGCGCTGCCTAATGCTTGAGGCATTATTTTACAATAGTTCAACAATAAGTTTTGGCCTAAATCACTTCTGTTAAATCCAGTTATATTTAGGGTGCTGTGTGTCAAATTGTCTTTTTTTCAGATTTACCACTTTTTTACAATCATCAGAATTATATATTAAAAACTCAGATGACACAGTGTCGGTTCACTGCCATTTTGGATAGTCAAGAAAATGGCTATGTTTCATTTTTAGATATTGTGGCCCCTTGGTCCTATCACCACCACTGTAAAGAAATCTAAATTGCTCTGCAGTACATTATTTCACATGCAACTGCTCTGAATGACTTTGTTTGCATCTGAATCATTACGTTCTGTAATTTGAAATGTACAAAAAAATGGGTGGGATTTCTCCTTGATTTGAATATGAAGTGTAACATGTTGAGTCTCAGATTAGCAAAAGAGTTTTACCAAAAGACTTTGATGCAAGAAATTTTATCTCTGGACAGTATTGTACGTGGAAACAGAATCTTTGCTTATAACATGTTTAAATTCTATATTTACTTATTTTCTTATTATTTATAAGATATTTAGGGTGAGATCAAGAACTAGGCAATTGTACCAAGCAGGTTTAGCTTATCTATTGCAGAGCTTTATGTAAGCATTTTTATTATTTAGCACAGCTGCAATAAATGCTGCATTTTTTTTTTTTTGCACAAATGTTGCGCAATGGGGCAGTCATGGGCTGGAGGTTAGGGAACCAGCCTTGTGACCGGAGGGTCAAAGGTTCGATCCCCCTGGCCGACAGTACGTGAATGCAGTACCCTTGAGCAGGAGACCCAACCCCCAACTGCTCCCCGGGTGCTGTGGATAGGGCTGCCCACAGCTCCGGGCAAGTGTGCTCACTGCCCCCTAGTGTGTGTGTTCTCTAGTGTGCATGTATGTGAATGTTTCACTGCACGGATGGGTTAAATGTGGAGGTCTAATTCCTCTGTGTGCAAACACAGTTGGCTAATGGTTCTGAATTCTAATTCACAAATACAATTTTTAGAACTTATGAAAATTAAATAAAATCTGAACAGGTGTACAAGTGTAATTTTAACTGTGGAAAAAAAAAACATCATGTAAAAGGTTTGCATCTTAATGTTCATTTTGAGAAATATACAAAAAAACTAATTTTCTCCACTATAATTCACATTCTCAACAGGGGGCGCTATTAGCATCTTTTTTGCTTCTTTCAAGAAATATGCTTGAAACAAACAAAATACAGTTATAGAGTGAGATGATTTCACTTAATAAAATGACTTATAACAGTTACAAAAAGTCAGGAAAGTCTGGAAGTTAAATCATGAAATATTCTTCAATCTCATATTAGATATATTAGATATGAACTAGATTTAAGATGGTTTCATTTGCCAAGCTATCATTTTTGTAGTGCAGTACTATGTCAGTGTCACTGCTATGCTGAGAATGGTCCACCACCCAAATAATATTTGGTCGTATTGGGGGTCCTTTACCTTTGAGGTGTGGGTAGAGGTGGACATAGCAGTCAGAACGTCACCAACAGATTTGAGCACCAATTGTGCAGACAGTAATTGTAAACCTATCAAGTGAACCTATGTGGTAGGTGAACTTGAACAAATGTCCAATGCTACCTAAAAAACTGACAAGTCAGTTTACTGTATACTGTATGCAGGATTATCTGTCTAAATGTGATCTAAGGTTAACCAGCTGGTTATAACTTCATGCAGTATCTAGAAAAACAATGGGAATGTCTTTATATTCAGCTGTCAGTCTCTGTAAGTTTACTCACAGACCACATTGAGCTGGATTGGTGTGGAGCTGGCTTGTCCCTCTGTGTTAATGGCTGTGCAGTAGAGAGGCTCAGTGTGTCTTTTCACACTTTTCAGCGTGTAAGTTCGTCCTTCTGACACCAACGTCCCTCTCTCAGTGAACCAGCGGTAGGCGTATGCAGCAGGGTTACTGTCACTGGAGCAGTTCAGTTCCACAGAGTCGCCCTCCTGCACTGAAGAGCTGGAGATCACCTCAACGCTGACTGGCGGATCTACAGTGAATACAGAGCACATTTTCAGTCACTGTATTTTGAGAACTTTTGATGCACTGTAAAAGCAACTGTTTCATCCTTACAGTATGACACAAGATTTTGGTCAAAAACTAAAAATGCAAGTGATTATTTAAGAAAGACTTTGCCACTTTGCTATTCAAGTTTCATGGACCATAACTAATAGCAGTGCACTTAAACACTGTGACTGTTTGGTTATTGTGATTTAAACAAAAACAAATACAATCAAACAACAACAACAACAATAATAATGATAATAATAATGATTGAGGCTGAGGACTGTGATGAATCACTGTATCATAATCACATACAGTAATGTACAAACGTTTTAGACAGCTAAGAAAACCATATTTAAAAAATGTGGGTAGGAAGCATTTACTCAGAAACAAACTAATATTAGAATAAGTACAAATAGCATCAATACTGTAAGTAGTGATTGTATGCCTTTCATTGTGTTCGCTTAATTAAAATAAAAATATTAACATTAACATTAAACCTGTTCTCATGGCAGCCCCTTACTGTTTGTAGTTTTCTACTCTGACTCAATTCATACTTGAACGGTTTTGTTCCAAAACATATTATAGACCACTTTCAATAATTTTCTTTTTTTTATGATATACACTGTTGGGGTTAGCTTTACACATATTAAAAAATCAATGCTATTTTATGACTAACACTACCTTTATTAGAAAAATAATAATGCTTTGCATTATAAAATGGCTTTTCAAAAACGTATTATATCCAAATAGACAAATGGATACAGACTGTTCTATAGAATTAGTTCAAATTGCGGTCTCCGATAAAAAAAATGAAGTATTCAGACCTTAAATATTTATTTATATTTATTTATAGGCTTTATGTTTTGATCTATTTAAACCCAAGAAATTAAATGACATAGTAATAAGCTAAATCTATGCAAAATAATAATTTACAGCGTGCTTTCTATTGGGAGGTGACTGTCCCAAACCCTAACCCCTAAATTTACACTTATAATACCTCCTTCTTTATATTTATTTACATCTTTTTATTTCTTTGATGGTGGTCCTAGGGTATGCTTGCTTAGATGAAAAGGGATGTTCTAACATTTGTTTTAATAAAATGAGCATAATTAGGGTATTAAGTCACTCAAAGCAAAAGGATTTTAGTCTAAAGTCAGTTAAAAGTCTGAAATGTGTTTTGAACACTGATCCAGACACAGCGTTTTGGAATGAAAGCCCTCTTTGTTATGTTAAATCATGTGTGCTAAATATGGAATTTCAAAAATAGCTGCAATGGCTGGAGACATCAAGGGGAAGGGGAATATCTACCAATATGTCAACTACTTTTAATAAAAAAAAGAAATTCTTGTTAGTTCAATGTACTAATTATGAAAAATGAATATATTATGGTTTGTTTGCATATTTACATGCAAAAGCACACTCATTCCTGAGATATATGATTTTAAACAATTTGCTTAGATGCCTAAGACTGTGCATAGTGCTATTTATAAAAATCTGTATCATTCCTACAATTAAAGAAAAATCAAACCCCAAATGCTTTATTTAACTATTTGCTGAGAACAAAGTCTCTGAGAAGTTCACCAACTTTGTGGTTGGAAAATGAGTCAGAAGTAAGGAAGTTGTCCTTTGACCTGCTGGTTTTACTTGAGGAACCGATGCCACAGAACAGCAATGCTGCCACATGCCAGTAAGTAGGTAGTGAGGTGCTACTAATTTAGGGTTGTATTTTCATTGATTTATTTGAATGATAAAAGCTTATCCACCCAAATAAGTATAACATATCTGGAATGGAAACTAAATAGGAAAAAGAAAACGCATTTTTAACTTCAACGCGTGTTAATGTAACAAGATCGTATTCTAAATATTTTTATTCTGTTATTAGATGCTGTGCATTGACTCACATGTGACATTAAGAGTTGTGATGCTGCTCACTTTCTTCCCTCCTGGAAACACAGCTGTGCAACTCAGCAATTTGTCGTGGTCCCGTTTGGAGGGGGTAAAGCTCAGAGATGACGTCACCTTCCACTGACCCTTGGTTTGCTGTGTTGATTGACTGCTAACTTTTCCTTGGTGGCTCCAGGTGAGATTTGGTGGGTCAGAAGGACAGGAGTGCAGGAAGGTACAGGTAGTGGTCACTTTCTTCCCTGACTTTATTCGCTCTTCCACAGAAAGTGTAGGTGGTTCTGGGGTATCTACACTTAAATGAAAGAAACGTAAATGATAACACCAGGTAAAATCACCTTTGAACTAAACAGGTGTTCCACAAGCACACAGTCAAATGTCAGAGGTTTTCAAACCTGGTCCTGCAGTAGCCTTGCCCATCATGGATCAGTGTTCTTTAACACAACACACTCAATTTAACTCTAGAAGGACAGAGTAAGCCACTCCAGGACCAGAGCTGCAATAGTTGTTGTACTCGGTGCAATGACAATAAAGTATCTTATCCTATCCTATCCTATCCTGTCTTATCTTATCTTGTCTTACTTTACCTTACCTTACCTTACCTATTACGCCTTTGTTAATCACAGCTATTACTTGTGTAATTGTTGAACAATCCCGACTTTGGAGCTGGTCAGCTGTTGACCTAGAGGCTATTTTCTCTTCTATGTGTAGCCCAGGGTTAAATCCTAACCCTTGTTGTTCAGTGTTTTTTTTTCAGTATGTATACTTTGTGAGAGGCATGCATTTTCACACATGCGTAGACGAGCAGCTGTCTCGTTTGGCGCGCCGAGTTTGTCTGGAACATACTGAAGTTTAACGTGGTCCTGATACCTAGTTTTATTGCGTCCATCCAGTGTTCAGAAGTGCTATTGGTTAGAGAGACTGGCTATCTTTCCTTTCCTCCTATCAGAGTGGTCCAGAGGCGGGATCAGGGGTGGGAGGGGGCAGCACGTTAGAAACAGAGGGAGACGGAGAGAGCCTGTGCTGCTCGCACTGCTCTGTATTTCTCCATGCCCAGTTTTTTTCCGTTTATTTATTGTTTAGAGAACTTGCAATGCCTGCTGATAAGTGTGCATGAGCAGTAAAACTACCCGGTTACTGTACAGAACTGTTAGGGTGAGTTTTCCCCGTTCAGAAGCCTGAGCAGAAGTATAAGCAGCAGCATTAGACTTAGCCGCTAACGAAGGCTGTAGCTGCCAGTATCCATAGCTAAGCCACTAGCTTCAGTATAACCCCTTTCTGTTTTCCTTTTTAGAGCAGTGTTTTAAAAAGGTTTTATTCTTTTGATGAAGAGTCTTTATTTTTTCAACTGCTCTATTTATTTTTCTAGTCCATTTGGACTGAAAGGTTTAATTTTATACTTTTCATACATATCTGAACTTTTTGTTTTTATTATTTAAAAGCAGTTGTACAATCTCAAACATTGTATTTTATAATACATTTCTACTTTTCTATAACCTGTGTCTGACTCTACTCACTGGGTATACTGTTGTTACATTTAGCACCAAGTTAGAAACGGGTGGTTAAGTTATATCGGTGATACAGTAAACTTAACTGGTGAGAACCATATACCCACGAGCTCAGGTTAAATATTCATTTACCCCCTCTGTGGTAAAAGAGGGCTACATATAATTAACATAAAATTTCATTTGACAATAAATGCATATTTTGAAATTTGAAAACTTCAGACAGTTGCATCCAATGGAACCAAACTCACTACTATCACAAGTGCCAATACCTTACTTAAAGGTGCCATAGAATGGAAAACTGTATTTACGTTGGCATAGTTGAATAAGGAAAGCTCAGTACATGGAACTGACATACTGTAACCCTCGAACACTGTTGTCTTCTTCTTTAAATGGAAAAAAAAAGTTGGTAAAACAGGCTAATTCCAAAATTCTAAACTGTTACATAACAATCTTGACTCATTAATATTTACAGCCCCAAAAAACGTAAACAAGCCCGTGTTATAGCCCAGCAGGCAACAACGACAACAGAGCAACAGCAACAGCAACGGAAATGGTGAACTATTTGCAGAAATTATACCTTTTCAGGCTGTGAAGAGATGTTGGCAATTTTTATACCCTTCCCAAGGAACCAAACTGTCAACGGGCATGGTTGAGGTTCATCTTTACACAAGGCTAAAGTTGGCTTCCTATTTGCCAGCTTCTTGATTGAATGTTGTGTTCCATCTTAAATGCTACAGCTTGTACAGGTGCTGGACTGTAATGGCAGCACCAATTACAGTAGAACGGAAAGTCGCAAAACAAGCTGGTGAATCGGAAGCCAACTTCAGGGCAACTTTAATTCAGAGTTTGTTGCACACATTTCACTCCATACAGTTTCTCAAACCATGGACAATATCGAGCAGCTTCACTCAGCGTTTGACACTGAAGAGAGGAAGGGGCAGTTCCAACTTCATTAGAGTCACAACCCCAACAGCAACCTGTAAGTAGCTAGCTATACTGTGAGTTTATCCACTTTTTGACAGCTGAAGCCAGATCATCTGAAATGGAAAGTTTCAAAGTGAGCTAACACCTTTAATTTGTATCGCTGTTGAGATCAAAAGCAAGTAGCAAGTATACTTGTAACATTAGCTACTAGCCAGCTCCAAGTAACTAGCATTGCTTATTTACATGGAGGTTCATTTTATTTTTCTGCCTGTGTCCATTTCGACATTTTGCTTCTGTGTGAGCCATCACGATGCCTCACTGTAAACTAGCCAATCAGAGCAGAGCTCATAAAATTATTCATGGGCCCAGCAAAAAATGGAAAACTGCTTATTTCCTTTTAGGGCCAAATCATAGGGATGTAAATGGGCGTGTAAACTGCATGTGGGCATTTTTTGCCTTGACCAAACAACCCCAGGTTGATTGTACCCAGATTGGTTTTGTTGAGAAAAGTTAACTTGTTCAAGAAGCAGTAATGTGAAGGAAAACTACTTGTTGGAATCAAACACAGTGTGAAAGCAGCCTGTCCACATTACAAGCCTCATTGCTCAATTCAGATTTTTTTGCTCAGACCCAAACTTTCTAACTCGAAGGTTCACATTCGTGTAGGCAACTGACCCAAATCTCTTTCTAATGTAAACGAACTTGTGTCCTCAAATGATCTGCATGCGCACGTCTAAATCAATAGTGTCATGTGAATGAAATATGAGCATCATGAACAACAACGAAACTAATCAGCAGAACAAACTCAGATCTGATCAGACTGACGTGTCCACACAGCTCTGAAAAAACCAGATATGTGACACATTAAGGTGAATTATCTGTGCTACATCAGCCTGTTAATGTGAATGCAGCCTTACGTTCAGTCCCTCGTTTGGGTATCAGTTGCGGGTGATGTTGTGTGTTAAAGAATAACTCTAGAAATGAAGAATCTTCCCAAGTACTTTGAGCTTATGATAATGTTAATGGACCTATTATATATTTTGATTTTCCTTGTTTTATTCCCATGAGGTCTATTTATGCCATTGATGTGGTTGATGTACCATTTTACACTTTCCAGTCTATTCTCTTTAGAATTAAATAAGCTATTTTCATTACTGTGCCTTTAAGACTGATACATGTAATGACCTCTGTTCTGATTGGCTATTCTGTGTGGTGCCTCATTCAAAAACCAATCCAGGCTGAAAACACACTTTATAACTTCAATGTAAATGGGCAGGGCTAAGCTGAAAAGGCAAATGTATTTAAATACGTGACATCACAAATTCAATGATTTCAGAATGGGCTGTTTTTGCACCTTAGTTTGCATATATGGGGTTTGTGGACTGGAGAGTGAAAGACATATGGAATATTTGAGGAATATTTAGTTTTCCATGAAATGAACATTACTTTGGGCTCAATATTTTAGAATGGGGTGTCTAAACTTTTGCCTTGCAATGTTTGTGGTGGGCAGGGGGCTAATAAGACAATATACAAAAGAATATAAAAATAACTTTCTGGCAAGCCAAATCAAACATCCTCACATGACCGACTAGCTTCTTTCTACACTTTCAGCAGCCCAGACCTAAAAGTCTACCACAAGGCTGGATGTCTTGGAAAGTCAGCAGACTGGTTCAATCCATTGGTTCCCAAGTCTTAAATTGGACAAAGTATGTATAGCTATCTTATGCTGTAAATGTAACATTCATATAGTATATTTAAAAAGATAATTTGCCTTTTTGTGTTAGGAGACAGGGTCAAATGAAAGCATTGATTGGAACTTTAAAAGCACTCACCTTTCACTGTAATAGAGACTTTATTCTTTGCGAAGGAGTACTTGTCGAAATCTTCAATCTCAATCCGGAAAGTGAAAGGGCCGCTGTCAGTGTGTTGTAAAGGTCTGATTTTGAGTGAGCAGTTTCTGTGTCTTAAGTCACCCAGGAGGCTCGTACGATGCTGAAAATTAGTGCTGATTTTGGAAGTGGTAGTATGGTAGACAATCTCATTCGAATCTGTGAACCAGATTCCTGTGAGGTCCGAGGCCTTCCTGTCTGGACCAGGGTAGCTGAACAGGCAGGGAATGACCACACATGAGCCCTCCAGACCGACCACTGAGTGAGGCACCTCTAGATTCCATGAGTCACCCTTAGCGACAGACACTGAAATGACAAAGAATAAATAAAAGTTCCTCAGTGTTTCCGTGTATGTGACTATGACATGGCATGCTAGTAATCACCAGGTGCCTTTAGCCTCACTCACTGAAACTTGCTTCCACAGCTCTCTTTACTTCCATAAAAGATGGACTTTAAGAGGTAAACGCCTGAAACCAAACTTTAAAGCAAAGGCAAAAAACGTAATTTACACAGTTTTCCTCTTGCCCCAGATGCAGTTGATCAGCTAAGACATGTCAAGTGTCCAAATTTGGCTTTACTAGCACTGGAGGTATGAGGGTGACAAACACCAGAAATCAATAGTCACCCAAATCTTTTTCATAAACATATCCCCAAAATGTCTTTTAACCCACTCAAACTGCATCCAGGTCATCGAAATGGTCGCACAGACTTTTTAGACAACAAGTGTTAGGTTATCGAACTGCCCGTCACATCCATGGATGTCACACTTACAGTACTGTGTCACTCACTAGAAATACTATAATGCATTCAGTTGCTTTTGCAAATTGAATGGAATGGTCTTGTACAAAAAGGGAACCCTTATCGCAACTGTAACCATACCTTAATACTAGATGTTTAGACTGTACTACACTGGGACAGTGTACACACTTAAAAAGACTGTTCTTCAAGGGTTCTTTAGTAAAGGCAAAGGTTGTATTTAGAGCCATGAGTTCTTTACAGAACCATTTCAATGCTTAAATGGTCCTTTGCATGGTGAAATGGTTCTTCAGACGGATGGAGAAAGTGTTATATATGGTTTTATATAGAGATGTTTTTAAATGGTTCTTATTGTGACTAAAAAGGGTTAGTCTATTGTGATGATGTCAAGCTTATAACAATAGAAGAACCCTTTTTGGTGCTATATAGAACCATTTTCAAAAAGCTGTAATATAGAACCATATACAACACATTCACCATCAAGCTGAAGAGCCATTTCACAATGTGTCCATGGTTCTATACAGAACCATTTTCTTTACTAAAAACCCTTGAAGAACCATCTGTTTTACTTGTGTAGATAATTGTGTTCATTTCAAGAAATAATGGTTGAAATAAGCTGCATTATCTGACAACAGAAAAAGACTATTTGAAATGACTCAAAACGAGTAAAAATGTCTAGAAACTTATATTATCTTATAATATCTTTACAACAAACACAAAATGAGGAATATTAGCTATAAAGACTGGATTCAACATTATTTCATTTGCAAAAAGACAATTTTTTGCTGTTTATCGACCCATACACACCCCCTCGACTCCAAATGTATACATGTTAGCTTTCCTTTGTCATAGTTCAAATTTTGTTGTAGTTTTATATTCTCACACAGATTACAGACCCAACTGCGCCACAATACCAAAAAAAATACACGTAACGTAAAAATTTACGTAACAGTCAATATGTGCCTTTATCCTATATATCGTTCCTGTGAGTACACAAAAGACTCCCTTTCATACGTTCTAACAAACCTTAAGAAACCTGTGATCCATGTTGCTCTCATAAAAGTGTTCATGGAACTAATTCTGCAAGTATATTCCCCTTGTTATTGTTATTACTTATGCATTATTTTAATGGACTACATTAAAGGCACATAAGTATTAAGCAAAGCTCTTAGTACATTACAGTGTGGTAGGTTCTAGACAGTAGGTAACTATCGCCTCCATAGACACATACACATTTTCCTTTACCTACCTTTGAGCCAGAGGCAGTAGATACACAAACACCACCAGCAAAATGACATCTCCTTTTCCTAGTTATGGATCTGGAAGATTAATACTTATTAATACTTAATCATGGCAATTTAGGAGAACTGAAAATCGTTTGAACAATTTTACATTAAATCTGAAACTTAGCCAGGTTAGGTATCTTTAGTTCACTTCAAATGCATTGTATTTTGTGTAGCGCATGTTAATGAGAGTTTTTTTTTTTTTTAGCTTAGAAACAGGAACAGACAATAAAGCAATGTCATTCACATACTTTCAAAAATCATTATTACATTATTATTATTATCATAATTAGTTACTTACTTGTTTTCCCCAGTAAGTGGTGGTGATGTTGATCCACAAGACCACTGTCCTTGACTACACTGTTCCCTTTTCAGAGCCAGCATGATGTCTTTATTTTAGTTATCACCACTTCCTCCTTTTGTCTTGTTTTAGTTTCCAGTAGATTTACATCTTATCTTTTATTTGTGCACAATGCATGTAGAATTAATCGAAAGTACCACATCTAAAGTGTTTATTTTTCAGACAGTGTGGTCAATGCAGTCTTGGTATAACATATAAGTTAGGTCTCCATCACATTCTCTTCTTGCTTGGACAGATACAACCACCAACTTTGCCACAACAGACTGGCAGAGTTCATACATGAACGACCTCCAAGTCAGCGGTTTATATTAAACAGGTGGGTTTAAACAGGCCTCGGTTTGAGTTAACATTAGTTAAGCTTAATGTTACTAACAATTCTTCATCCAGACACAATTGTCTTGATAGCATCTTAGTGTGATGGTGGTAGGATTGGGGCAATTTAATGCACAGGCTTACCTGTAGACCCCCCCTTTTTGGTTTTATGAGATTCATTTATTTCTCCTTCATCAATTCACACACATACAGCAATGATTATCTTTATACACATGCCATTCATATCCATGACTCTTGGTTGGATGGATTATTCAAAACATCAGCATGCTGATTGGCTGCTTTTTCGTAAAAGCACACTGATTTGGCTCTGTGTAGTAATAGAGCTATATAAATAAGAGAATAGAAGTTAGAACCAGTTACTTACAGCAAAAGGCATGAGTGCAGAGCTCAAAGAAAAAGCTCAAAAAGAAAGACAAGAGGAGAATTTTATTTAAAAAATGTCCAAAATAATGTTTTTTTTTAGTTCACTATCTGTGGCAGCAACATCAGTCAGCCCTCTGGTTAGCTCCCATAGGCAGGATGCCATTTTAACATTAGACTGCTGTCTTCTTCAGGAATGAGGTAGATTGAGAGGGGTGTTTTAAGAAATTGGACATAATTAAAGACTTTTCAACCAAGAAAGGGAGAAAAAAGAGAAAACATGTTTATGTTGTAGTGACCTGCTGCTGGCTGGTGCTGGCTCCGAGAGGCTCCAGAGGCATGACCATGCGGGTGGCCACGTGAAGGCTCGTGGCAGGCACACATCCCCCGCAAAAAAGGACTTATTTTTGTTGTTAATATTGTTGTTTATTATTCTAAAGTGTGTGTATGTGTTATTTGTGGTTGATTGTGTCTGGGGTGTGGGTGTTTTGTGTTGGGGATCATTTACTGTAAGGGTGAAGCCTATGGCTAGTATTGACCTCCCCTGAAAGTTCAGTGCTTTGTATATGCTTTTCTGCCCTAGTGTTCAATAAAGGTGGTGGAATCATGGCCGCCCCTGTGTCTTACTGTACACTGATGCTATAATATATTGTTCCATTAGAAGAGTTTTGCAGTGAAAAAGGGATAATTTGGCCTTTGTGTTTTAAGATAGCCAAATGATAGACTACAGTTTGTCATAGACCTTGGTTATTTTGGTGGTGTTAATGGTTTAACTGACTAAACTGTGCCGCACATTGGTAGCGTCTGCAGTGTGGACCATGGCAGATTGGACAGAGCATAGCTATAGCACATACGAACTTAAGGAACCTCCAGGATAAGTTATTTATGTTATACTCTAATTTACTGTAAATTTATCAGTTTTGATAAATTTAGTGGATTTGTCACATTTGGTATCAGCTAACTAACTCCTCACAAACTCACTGCTTTTGAGCTAAAAGGTATGAGTGAGGTTGAAGTTCTTATTCTAATTCTGCTTTCCCCCTTAAATGATGTCGCAGGTGACAGAATGTAACTACTGCACCATTTAAGGTAGAATGAATAGTTGAATACGAATCTGGCTAATAAGAAGCAACTTGTTCTTTGTCTCCTAGTGGTCTGATTCTGGGTTTAGGGTAATGCAGTAACAGAGAGATGATAGAAGCTGCAAGTTGCTGACTGTCAGTGGAGGTGTGTCCATGTTCATTAAAAACAGAGGACTTGAGTTTTCGGAAGCTGTGTGTCGTCCACTGTGAAGTCACGTTAGTCATTGGTTCTGCTGGAGTGGGTTGCACCAGTTTTTAAGTTCATACTTAAGTTTCTTTCTTAAGTTTAAATTCTTTACTAACACTAGTTAGTTTCAAACTATTCTTTTGCTAATTTTGGTTGCACCACACATTTTTCAGGCATGTCTTAACTAGTAGCAACTAATGCCTGTGTCACTTTTGAATGATGACAATGATCAGAACTAACATGTAAACTAGTGGTGCTTCTGTTTGTCAAATAATATAGAGCAGATTTCCAATAATGATGTCAGTTTTTTTTATGGGTACAGTAGCAAACTGGAAATTGATGGTCTTTTTTCTGCGTGGAGGGTATCTTTATGAGACAGTTAGATAAATATCCTAATGCCTTGCTGTTGGTAGGAGGGGGCTTTATTATTGTCTTAGATGGTATGGTTGATAAATGGCCCCCTAATCCAAGATACAGGGACAACTCAATTTTAAAAACATTTATGGATAAATTTGGCCTAATACATATTTGAAGAGTTGAATTTCTATGGAGTAGTTTGTTTACATGGAGCAATAAATCAGTGTGGCATGCGCGAGAGCCGGCAGGATGGCGGGGCCCGGAAACCCAGCGGCGACGAACCTCAGAGAAGACGGCAGGGAGAGAGCCGCGAGTGTGGAGGGGCGGAGCGCAAAGCCCGAGCTCCGCCGAGGGGCATCAGTCACGACGGCAGGAGGAGGACGACGGTGCCGGGCACGAGCGAGTCCCGAGCTCCGCCGCCAGGGCCACGCCCCCTGTTGCGCAGCCAGGCCGCTCCACTACACCTCACTTTAGACCCGGGCAGCTGAGCTGCAAGCTGGGGGCGGTGACGGGGAGGCGGAGCGGCGAGCTCTCGTTCCCTCTCGGTTCAGGTGAGAGCCAGCTGATGCTGATCTGGCTGGCAGCGTGAGCGCCTTTTAAAAGAGCTGAGAGGGAGCAGATACGGACAAGCAGCAGCAGCAGCGGACTGAGGAGCTGAAAAGCTTATTTAGGAGAAGGACTGAAAAGTCTGGCTGAAGCCACTGAAAAGTGGCCAGCATAGTGGATCTTTGGGTTTGGTTTTGTTGCTTTGTGTTTATTTTGTCTGAATAAAGATATGGCTGCTGCAACCGTGAACCCTGCCTCCAGCGTCCTCTTTGAGCCCGGGTAGTACATGCTGTGCTACAATCAGGTTCAAGTAAGTCTCAATCAGATTTTTGGTTGATTTCTGAGAGTTTTGATAAAGAAACTATAAATGTGGATATTTTACCCACTATACCTGCAAACCTTAAGCTGTAACATACAGAAGCCCTCCACTAGGTCTCATGCTATATTCTCATTATACTGGAAGTTTAGTAGCTCAATGCTGTCTTATAAGAAGGTTAAAATGATTATTTCAAATTTCTTGCATGAAAAAATAGGGATGAACTAGGAACATTCCAAATTTAAGGTGAGGAAATTCTAAAGAAAAGTTGAGTATCATTTCTAAGGTCAAAAAAGCTGAAGAGAAAAAAAAAGACAAAAAAAACTCTGACTTGGTAATCATACCAAGTAATATTGGGTAGTTTGACAGCTGCTTAGCTGACAAATGTTTCAGCACATCTTACCCTCAGCCTATTTCACATAATGATACTTGGGGAATTCGGAGTGACATACTGAGCAAATCATTACTGTAGTTATAGTTCTTTAAAAAGAAACCATGTTTTCACTGCAGACCAGTTCGATGTTACCTTGTTCCTCTTTTCACGAGGCTGCAGTTGGCTTTGTATTCACCAGCTTCATATTCAAGTTTTCCGTACCACCTTAAATGGTGCTGCAGTTATTGGTGCCAGAGCACCATTTAAGGTAACTGGGGCATGATTTAAGGTGGACCGGAAAATGTGAATAAAAAGCTGGCATGAATAAAAAGCTGGTTAACTTCAACCTCATCTTATTTTCCACAACGTTCTGTGAAAATACTGTCTGTTTTTGGTTTCCTTTTCTGTTCCTTTTTTTAATCACTGTTTATTGCGACCCTAACCATGAAGAAAATGTAGAGTAGAGTGGGGTGCAGAGTGGTGCAGGCAGAGGGCAGGGGCATAGCCAAGGGGTGGTCAGTGTGGCTGCCCTTCTGGCCATCCCAGTAAACCAAAGTTAGACAGTCTTCCATCGTCAGTGAAGTAGTCACCACAGAAAAATTCTGCAACTTTTTGTGGAGAGTTTTACAGTAACAAACTGCCATCAGGGCTGTTAGCAATCAGTTATGATCTGAAGCTGCTTTCAACAAACTGTACAATATTTTTTACACAATGTAATGGAAAACAGGATCAAATCACTTATTTATCCAGAGTGAAACTGTATTTAAAATCTGGTTAAGTGCTTAATTACACTTCTTTTGTTCATCTTCATATAATTATGTCTACACTAATAATTTGCCTGGCACACTAAAGCAGCGCAGCTCTGTGAGAAACATTAAAGTAGGGTATACGATGGTAAGATAAAAAAAAACTACTAACATGTACTATCATATAGTAATATCTATTGTTTATCATGTCAGACAAACACTCTTTACAGCTGATTACGTGCATGGTTAAGACTAGATTTCATCAGAGGTGAATACAGTGCTGAGTCTGCTAATGCTACAGTAGGTTAACCTTTGTGTGGTGTTCAGGTCTGTGGGAGCCATTTTCAATGTTTACCAAAAGAAAAATTATGCGATTTATTATTATTTCAACCTCAGGTTCCTTGGCCTTTGCTCATTTTCTGTGAAGAACATATAAAATAATACATTTTGAGTGACTTCACACTGTTCACCCCCTACACATTTATATTACACATGTGGTGTTGGGGTGAGCCTGTGGGGAATAAAAGTGTGGAGGTGCCACACAAGGGTTAATATGTTACCTAGCCAAATATGAATTTTCTTATAATGTTACATCACAGCAGTTTGCAGTTTGCCATCCCAATAAAATTGCTGGGTCTGACCTGGCTACCCCATTGAAAAGGTTTTGGCTGCACGTCTGGTTGCAGGAGATATCAAAA